CTCGACGGGGCGGTGAAATCGAAACCTAGATCGAGGTATTTGCTTGTGTGCCCGAGAGCAAATGCTTCTGTCCGGGTTCGATTTCGTCAGGTCAATTATCCACTTGAATCCGTCCGAGGAATTTGGAATGTTTACTGACCAAAGTCCCAGCTGAAAACGAAAGACATTCTTTCTTTGTTCCTTAAGTTTTTGAGAACTGCAAGGGTCTTCTCATCGGAAGGTGTGCTTGGAACGCAACTAGCATCAAAACCTTGGTGTTGTACGTAACCGTAGAGAATGTAACCCAGGTGAATGATTTTCGTGATCTTGTGAGCCACACTCCGCACTCCTCACAAATGATGGAGCTCTTTTCCTGCAGCTTTGGACGTTCGGATTCACCCTCTCCTATATCTATCCCCCGATCTAGTCAATTTACAGGTCCAAAAGTCAGTCCAGCTAGAGCTAAACCAATGTAAATCTGCCTCGTAAACAACAAAAGAAGTAAGTAAGAAATCTTCAGAATAAAACAGTAAGAAACATGTCGCAAGAAGGATCGGAAACCCCATCAGGTCAAACATGGAATTTTCAGAAGACCCCAACATTCCAACTTTGTCCATAATGTTTATTTTACTCGATAAAGAGGGATAAGTATTCTATTTAGTCAACATTCACCAAACTTCATCAACTTATTCTCGTTGTCAATTAACAACACATATCTGGCATGTTATTGTAGACACATATGTCAGTCTTTACATGTTGCAGATCTAGATCATGATCATCTTTTCATGTAAAGATCATTGCCATCTTTTCAGTTCAAGAATCAAGTGATGGATTTGTTTTGCTGGTTAATATGTTTAATCAAATCAGCGTTATCAATACATGATGTGTATATCGATTTCCATGCAGAATTAGTATCAAAGTAAGAAGGCTGATGGGATAGTAGAGCTAGAGATACAACAGCTACATGACATTATTAAATGTTGGATATGACATCATTAATAGATTAGGAGCAAAAATATATATTAAATTTGGTTTACTCCAACAAAAGTTAGATTTAGTTTGTCATGACTAGTTAGTATAATATGTTATGTGCAACAATATTCCAATATGCAATTGATATGATTGATAGGGCAACATGATATGTGTTGAATGTAGTGGATAATCTATGAATGAAAACTTACAAATAAATTGAAATGTCCAAAAGAATACACTTTTTTTTTAATGAGCAACATGTTTGAAAATTTTATTTTTGAAATCCAAATAATCAAGTCAGTGTTTCAAGTTGCAAGATAAAGTTGAAATGTTGAAGAAAAATGCATTAGATACAAAGTATCAACATTGTTTGAGTTTGAGGTATCTGAGAGAATTCTCTTTGTTGCTACAAAATGCCTGTAAACGATTTCTTTGTAGAACTCATTTACAACCTAGATCCTAGTTGAAATTTTTCTTTACAAAAATTAGAACTCTAAAATTTAAGATTTCATCAAAGAAGTATTTGAAAATAGAATCACAGTTTTCAAAATCATTTTTTATTCTTTGAAATATATAAAACAAAAAAACTCAGTTATCCAAATATATTCTATATTTTATTTGTACTAAAATTGATATTTGCTAAGAAAAAGTTCAAAGCAAAGTTCAAAATTTTTGTTATGAATTTTAAAGAACAATAATAAAAATTTAACTTAAAAGAAATTTTTTATTTTTCTAGAAGACCCTAAATGATATTTTCAATTTATTTAAATAATTTAAAAAACTGAATTTCTTAATTTAATTTATAGAAATATTTTTTTAAAATTATATTTTTTAAAAAGAATAAATTAGGATTAAATTTTTTTTAAAAATGTATTAAATATATTTTTTATGAAATATTTTATTTCAACATAATCAATTGGTTTTGAGTATATTAGGTTGCAAATAATAAACAGCTTTAAATGTCAAGATTTGATTGTAAAAAGATTTGAATATGTATGATCATATTTTATTTAAGAGAGTGCTAGTTTTCCCTCACGTGGGGATAATTAACCCTCACTCTACTATACAAAGGTCACTCATTGGTTCATTTGGGTTATAAGGTTCGTGTAAATAAATAAACTTTGCGAGTTTCCAGTCTTTCTAATTGACGTCTTTCTTGCCACTTCCGCATTCGAGTAGCCACGTCAAAAGCCTGGCAGCGGAAAGGTGCTCATTGGAAGTAATTTCTGCTCAGGGTTGAAGAGTTCTTCCCCGCCGAGAGGAACTAAGTACGCTTCGGAGTATGATAGCTTGAAGGGAGTGCATTGTCGATGCTGTGTCGAGTTAGAATCAAAAGATCAGCGACGAACGTGGAGCATACTCTTGACCTGTTCTCAAATCTTGGGTGTACTATGAATGAGGTTTCACGTCTTACTTTGCGATATTGATTGGAATCAAAATGATTTTGGGGACACGTGAATTTGACGGTCTAGTAAAGAGCAAGAATTGCGTGCGTTTAGTGGATATGAATGTATGATCTGTCTCTAATCAAGATTGATATTCGCAAAGGCGGACTTGTGTGAGATTGCAGGCTGGACCTTCTGATAGAGACGTGCTAAAACTTGCGTATCTACGTGTTTATATATGGTGATATGGAAACTTCGCCTCTCTACGTGTTTTCAAAGACATTTGCAATTACTCCTCACAACACAAAGGACATTGTTGGAGCTGTGTCTTTGATTTTTTGTACCCTCACGATCATACGTTTGATTAAGTATGGGATGATCGTCCTCAATGCCCGTAGATTAGAAAGACTGGAAACTCACAAAGTTTATTTTTTTCACATGGATCCTATAAACCGAGTGAACCAATTAATGACCTTTGTATAGTAGGATGAGGGCTAATTAGCCCCAGGTGAGGCATAACTAGCTGCCCCCTTTATTCATTGAAGTCTGAAAGTGTGGATACAATTTTATAATGTCATCAAGATTTGTCTTTAATATAAATTTTGAATAAAAAATTATTTTCAAGAAATTTGTAAATTTATCCAAGCTTAGCAATATACATTTAAAACCTAAATAAATGATAAAAAATCTTAAAATTTAACTTAGTGGAGCTATAAATATGTGAAATCTTTTAATACAAATGTTTTCTTTATGAGAGATTGTTTTATATATATATATAATTTTTAAATATAAAAAAATTAGTGATATTTGATTTGAATAATTTGTGTGTAAGTCAAGTGCATGTTCAACTATTTCTAAGACATTGAAGTCAAAATGTTAGAAATATGTGTACACTTGAAAGTACTTATTTTTTGGTAAAATGATAGTGCAATACTATGATGATGTATGACTCTTTTTGATGAATATGACATATGTGATGTTTAATAATTTCACTACATATATTGGCATATGGTTGATGAATTAAACTCAATTTGATTAGCATGCAAGCTGGTTTGAGAATTACATGTTTTGCATTTTTAAATGACTTACATAAACAAGAATATTGATTTTTATCTCAAAATTAAGATCATGTAATGGTAAATGATTATGTAATCCAAAAAAGTCTAAATAAAAAATAAAATAAAAATTGAAACAATGTTCCAATAAAGATCAAAGTAGAAGCTAAATAATTTTTTTGTTAGATTTCTTGCATATTACATAGATCAATGTTTTATATCATAATGAAATATATTGAGATGCCTTATTTTTTAGATTTCATTTGTTTTGATATCTTGAGTGAAATATTTGAATATCAAAGTGCTACAATGTGAATTCAGGTAAGATACAAATTTTAAAAATTTTAAAAAGCGATTTTTAAAAACATTTCAATTTTTGAGAGTTAAAAATGAGATATGTGCTCACTTGATAATAAGAGCTATTTCTAAATTAAATTTGAACATGGAGAAAAGAAATCTCTATCTAGCCATATACTTAAAATCTTGGATCTTCCTTTCTCCTAAATTCATGGTAGTAATAATGAGGTATTTTTGACCAATGTACATGATATGTACATGATGCATATAAACCATGATAAAACTCAATTATCGGCAAAAGTTACCTGGTATAAACAAGATATAATTTGATAATCAAAATCTTTAAAAACTAACCTATGTAAGATTAACCTGCATCTTGTTAACCGTAGTTAGGCTTGAACTCTAATTAGATTTGAGATATTTAAACCAATGTTGAGCACTTTTCAGTTTAGTCTCACATGTAAATTTGTGAGGAGAGAAAATAGAGAGTTGAGCTATGGAAACTTGATGTAACATTCTTGCTTTACTGAAGTTTTTATCTCAACATTGAATGCAGCCTCATGTGCAGATGTAATAGTTAGTGAAGAAAGATAGAAAACAAATAAGGTCAATGACTTATAGAGAAAGATATCAAACACATTTTTGATAACTTCTAAGAGAAGCCGGTGAAGTAGTCTCATCAAAACAAAATAAAAATCTTTTAACACTTTAATTTCATTGAAATTTGATATCATGAGCCAGATATCTCATAGCATAGTGTTGCACTATTTATATTATTAATGTACTTTAAATAACAAAGAGTGCCAAGTGGATAGAAAAAAACACGGAAAAGACCTACATCGACCAGGAAAGGAAGATATATGTTTTCATGACAAACTATATTCATAATTTGTCTAGAATATATGCAGTATCTACATACAGCAATATATAAATCATCTGAAAAACCTATGCCATATCAACTTATTAGAACTCACTCCTGTACTCCTGTACACGAGTATCCGTCAAACAATAAACAGACGATTAATAAAAAAATGTATAAACATTATCAAATGATCATAGCTTTACTAGTTAATTGTAAAATTGTACACATTTTATAGTAAATTGCACGTTTAAAGAATGCACATCTCTCCCTCGTTTATTTTGTTACTACAGGTCATTCCAATAATTTCCCACCTCCACGTGACCGCGAATTTTTTTCCATGCGAAGAAGATGAAGGTGCTTTCTTTTCTCTTCACTTCTTTTCTTTTCGTTCTATGAACCCAGCGAAACAGGGGTCAATATGCAGCGACGGGTGTGAGAATGACAGTCTCAATGACACTTCGCCTTTTTCAGAAGCCTAACCAATCCCTAACCAATGTCGACGCAGCGCTGAATAGTAGGAGACTGCGACGTCTCGGAAACAGGTACACGGCTGCGCTGCATACTTTACGGAAACTGACCGCCTATCGGGTTCCGAAGGCAATGATGAAGGCTGGCTCGGTTGAATTCCGTGCGGCAGGATTGGTGCCCTTCCTTCTTTCCCAGAGCACAGTGAGCGGGATCAGTCCTAGAAATCTGAATCGCGAATGGCGTCGAGGTCATCGTCTGGCTCGTGTGGGCGGCGGAATGTAGTCCTGGTGTGTCTATCATGCTCGCCTGGATCAGCCGATACTAGCTTTGTTCACATGCACTCAACGATGTCTTCTCCCATGATCGAGGCCCCGTGTCTGTTCTCGGAATATGCTGCTTGGACCATCTTCTCGTAATCGGAACTGCTGGATTCGTTGATTCCGTTAAGTCTCACGTGTTTTCGCTGGATGTGCGCGGTCGAGAACGATAGATTCGAAGCCCTTGCGGAATCCGTATGAAAGGCGGGGAGTGATCTGCCGTGATGCACACTTTCTCTTCGGTCAAGAAGCGCTTGGAGTAACGAGAACTGTCCGCAACTCTTATTACACTTCAAGTTCTAGGTAGCTTGTCCTAAACTGGGAGACCTTTCCGCTATTATGAGAGAAACTCCATTGCGAGAATCAAGAATGAGCTTTCTTTAGAGTGTTGTGCGCACAGTAGAGAAAGTGACTGTTGTCTTAGTTCTGTTCAGCTTCTTTCTCTTCACCCTTTGCAAGTGAGGGGCATTAATCTGCCTTATTCTTCGTAACATTTAGAGCCTAGACATAGTTGACCCTCATCACAATAAAAGGTACCGTCAATGCCGTGAAAGTATCTCCAGGTTCCATGACCTTGTCATCTGGCTAGACGGTATCTTTGTATTTACTTCACACCATAGAATCTACGGAATTAGCTGAAGTGCATGGAATCCTCCGACGTACTATATCGTATAAATGGGGAGAAAGAGATGATACATAAAGGCGCAATGAGGGCAAAGGAAGAGGATGTGTTTATGATAGTGGCTGCTCACGAGTTACACTTTCTCTACAAGTAGTGATATTCTGGTGTATGCTACATACGGATTGGTATCCAAGAAGTTTTTGAACCATTGTATAGAAGCGCAGCCTGGTTATTGAAGATGATCATTCCTACATATTGCCCTTTTCCGGTGCCATCATGACGAACAAAAAGTATATCGTGATTGCAGAACAAAGTTTTGGGCTGTGAAAGTGTTAAAACGTTATGTTGTTTCCTCCTTGTACATTTCGATTAATCAACCCTGCAGACAGATATTTCGTACGTGTACTCATCCCCTTGTTGGACTGCAGGCTAGAACAACCCCGACCGTATGCCATCCGACGGCTTCTAGAGCAAGTTGTTGGCAAGTTGTTGGCAAGTTGCAGTGGAAGCCCCCCACAGTGTAGACTGCGAGTTTCTTCTCAGCTACTGGATCGGCATTAACGTTAAGGATAGGTATGTCTTTCCTGGAACAGTGAGCACAATCTGTGTAGTATTATACGTTTTAAACCTTTTTGGATTGGAGATATCAAGGGCTGTTCTTATTTGTCAAGGCAAGTGTTGGAAATGAGGTTGAAAAGTTAGTGCGTTAGATTGGTTCTCAGCCATCTAAACACCAGAATGTAAACATAGCAAGACATCGGGAAAAATTCCAGTAAGAGTGAGAATATGTTCCTAGCATATTCAATAATAAAAAAGTGTATCTACAAGCAGAATATTTCGTTCTCAGCCACAGAGTAACCGTAAAAATTTCTACACATGGTTTAAGGTACTGTTTTGCATGTTCATCACTAGAAAACTGGAACGTCGAATTTGGCAAGAAGTTTGTACTCCACAATTCCCCTCACCAGATCTTCAATTTCGCAAATGTTCCCTCCACCTTTTCCTTATCATATGTCCTTTGTCTCCGTATCTCAGTCGCTTGAGTAAGATGGACTCCATTCGTACAAGGGAGATATGAGATACCATATGACTTCAAGTGCCTTGTCATTTAATGTATGCACAGCTCAGAAGGTCGACAAAATCCAAGCGTATAGTACATGGCTTGACGAAGAGGAGGAGGAGGTGTAGAAGGTCAGCAGAGAGTCACACGACTTGGATGATTGCTACTTCGGATCAATCGAATCGGAAGTAAGATAGAATATTGCTTCATAAACTAAAGTCTACCAAGCAGGGTCTCATTTACTTGATGAAGTGGAAGGGAACAGGACATGACACTCGAATGCTGGAAAAGAACATGCTGTCTCTGATCAATGCGATGTAACTGGGCCAATGTTGAGGATAAATCGTTTGGACTGTTGCTACTGAGATCTTGGTAAAAGACGAATCAACTGACAGAGGAAAAAACAAATTTTATCCTTTTGCGCTTTTGGGACATCCCACGACGCTCAAACCTTGGCCAGGGTTCGCCTGTCCTGGAAAGAATCCCTTCCCGACCACTGTCAATCGACTGCGTGAGATGTTGTGCGAGCATGCCCGGCGCCCGGTGTGATGTGCTCTGTGTTCAGTGCTCCAGTCTCAACAGAAATTAATAACCTTCAACTAATTTCAGCTCTTATCTAACAATTAGTGCTCGTTGAACTGGGTGCTTGACTGTCATTCTGGTCTCCTCATGAATCATGATACCGATGCTAGATCATAAAACGTGTCAATGAACAGACTTAGTCAAGGAAACAGATGTCGGAGAGAGTATTACAGTCACCGTTATATTTGGAAAGATGGGGAAAGGGAACTACTAATGAATGGCATCTTTGTCTGTCAAGCTCTCTAGTAGCAGTCAGGAGATGATCTCGTAATATGTGGCTTTCGAGAACCGCATCTAAATTGAGTTTCACCATTGTTAAGCAGAGATGATTTGGTATGGAGTGAGATTATGGACTGACATCAATATAATACAAAGGTTGTCTCGAGCAAAGAGAATGTAGACTCTAAAGAATAAAATTTGATTAAAATCCGTTAAAATTTATAACTAGTCTAACTAAAACATGGAATTCCTAAGAAATGTATGTAGATCGTAGGGAGAATAGACCTGTAGAAACAATTAATTAAATTTAAGTTCTGTATGAACTGACAATGCAATTTGCCACTATCCTATACATCAGCGCTGTGTGATTAAATTAAAACATGAGTACTTTTATATATTAACGGCTTATAATAACTGGTAATAGTTTCAAGTGGTACTAGTTTCAAATCCACTTAAAAGTTAATTATACTACTTATACACAATCACGTCATGGATTGTTCTTTGGTGATGTGGAGTATTTTACTCGCGTGATACTTTTAGATGTGAATTTCGACAACTTTAGAAAGTTCTCATCCATGTCAACTTTATTCAAAGGTTTTTTTAAGACTATTTTATGTATACAAGGACTAGCCAGCTATACTGTTTTGACTCAGAATATCTTATGGTGTTTGCGTAGTTTTTACACTTGCAAGCACTATCTTTCGCTGTACAGTGATTGCAACTATACTACAGCATAGGATCTCGATAGGATTTGAAAGCTCAGATATGTCAACAGAATGATGCATGCATCAGATCACGAGACAATCTGTAGTTTTTTTATATGAACAAAAGGCCAAATCTTCTCTTCGTGTCAATTATCCCAGTCAACCCTCTCAAGAGTATGTGGTCATCACTTGGTTGTTGTTTCAAGATTCATACCTATATATAAAACATAAAAATTTTATGTTATTCTCACAGATGGTGTATTCAGGAGTTTTACATTCATTACTACGTTTTTGCACACACTAGTAAGTTCCGATGAACTTATTGGTGGCTGGAAGAATAATACAAAGTAATATCTTCCTATCTTACATGCACAGAATACCCTGAACGGGCAATAGTTGCTTATGCATTCATATGCATGAGCAACTATTAGACTACAACTCAAGAGCGCCTCTTTGTAAACCCTTTGCAATTATTTCTAATGTTCATATCTAATATCGTTCGATAAAAAATACACATCCCGATGTAGACATACGTGGAATGATTGTTAGAGTTATCAATTATGCAGTCGGACGCAACAAAAATCAAAACATTTCTTTTGTCTCTCATAATTATTGAATTACATCCCTTTCTTTTCTCGGAACGACCGCCGATGTATGTGTATTATGCCAATAAAAGAGATTCGGGAGAAATTGTTCGGCGTATGCACCAGGAGACTTCTTTTCCATTCTGGAGCGTGTCAATGCTGAAAGTGTGATTCTGAAGGTGCATTGACCAAAAGTCCACTCAAGATCACATTCGAGGGAGGGCAATCTTGGGGGTCGTTGACGAACAATCTCGCCCAGATGCAAGCCCTCAAAATCCCAGTAGCCGAGAAAAGGTCAAACCGTGCACAGCGAGACAAGAAAATCAGTTCTCCACTGACAGAGGACGCGAGGGCGGTTTAGGTTTGAAACCGTTTTCCGCGGCCTCTTTCCAATGGAACAAACGACGACCAGTCACCGGGGCGACCCGACCTTGCGACCTGCAGCAGTAGGTAAGATCGAAATCACCGACCTGCAACACCAGGTCGTCTGCGGAGACGCAAGCCTCAAGACCTGTGAAGAGTATATGTCACGGTCTCAGGGCGAAGAAAAGTCAGCCGAACTGAATCCGACGCACTCCGAGCGGCATACGGAGCGTCTCGTCTACCACGTGAACGCGCCTGCAGTAGGAGACGGCTCCCTCGTAACTTTGTCCTACCATGCTGCGCAGCAGAGTACGGCACAGTGGTGCAGGCTAGTGACCACGAACTCTGGCATTACCGCGTATCACTCTGGCTTCCAGGTGCTCGACTTTGACCTGCCATGGGGAGCCTACTTTCGCGAGACCTTCCGGATCTAGCTCGTATTACCCGTTGGGTTTCACTCCCGTACGGCTCCTCTTGCAATATCACTCGGTCCCCCGCTGTCGAAAGATCACGTGGAAAGTTCGATTTGCTGTTGGCAGTCTTTTCTGTCATGAGTCATGACAGAAAAGACTGGGTCTCTGGATCAGAGCTCTGGATCAGAATGGATGAGAGAGTTCTCTGTGATGGTGTGCATAACAAGGAAGAGTATGACATGCGAGGTTGCCGACTTCGAGCAGAGTGTAATTGTAGTAATAATCACAAGCGAAGGAACATTGACTTTCACTTTCCTTCCATCCGGCTCCGTTTTGATCGTACCCCCAAGTTGAGGCGTAAAACCTCGATTTCATCGTAAGGTGTTTGGAAGGGTTTCAGGGTTTTAAGTCCCCATCGAGCCGAGATAAGACTAAACGGGTACCCAGGCCCAAGACTACACAATGGAAATATTTTTTAATGCAACTGGGATGTCCGCATTATCTCTGTCGATGTGGGTTGAAGAGGAATGAACTGCTGTAGGTTGGTGTAAATATGGCGAGAAGGTTACAAGTGTGGCGTATGGTGGGTGGGTGAGTAGTTGCGGGATCGTCGAGGGCGAGGGGTTTGAGAGTGACAGTGACGGACTGACCGACTCGGTGACAGAGGCGAGAATGTCGTGCCTGGGGTGACATGATGAAGCAAATGCGAGATCGAACGCATCCGATGGAACTACGACGAGAAGCTCTCCCTATCCTGCATGTGCTCCGCGCGTGTGCGATAGAGACAATGTGTAGCTCATAATAAAGAAGCAGATGGACTTCTCTGACGTCGGCCAACGACAGCACAGATGTGATGAACATGGCTGTAACCAACCATGTAATTTAATTTTCTTTTAAACCTTGTAAAGGTCTGGTCGACTTACAACATGAGCGAGGGCGACCTGCCATGATACTGAAATGATCTGCAGATGAGAAGCTGCTCGGCTGCCGTGCGAATTCCTTGGTGGAATTCAGGAAGGAGGAGCAGTAAGAAATCTGGAAGGCTTGCTATTTGCGTCCTTGGAGATTGGGTGCGTTGGGGGAAGCAGGGAGGGTAAGGATCACAATTTTTCGGTCGATTGGGCAGATGAGTTTAAAGATGGTCGCGACGATCTGCAGGAGGACTTCATCGGAATGACTTTCATAACTCTCTCGTGATAGAATGGTTGAACGAGAGGAGCAGCGTTTAAGGTTTAGGGTTCTGAGACACTCAATAAAGCTAGCGAAAGTACAAGGCTCATCAAAGCCATCGACTTACATCTATACAGCATTTGTGGAGGGACAAGAGGTGGAGAATATGGCAAAAGCGCGCAGAGAGAATTTAAATTTTCGATGAATGCTTCAAACAGTTTCCAGGTTGGATAAATAAAAATCACATATATGAGTCAATCTTGTGTTGAAGTCTTCATGAGCAATTTCTGAAAAAACTGATTGAGAACAATGTAAACGTTCAAGAGATTAAAAAAGAAAGAATTGGAGACCTTCGTTAGACACAAAGAGGCTTGTTGATTCTAGCCTGGATGTAGAAAGAAGGTGTCGCCTTCTCAAAACAATTAATAACAACTATGTGCAATACTCCATAAGAATATAGTCATCGTTGAGTCTCATAGGAATATAATGTTGATATGTTTGGGAGTATATAAAAGATTATCCAATAGATTGCTGGACGTTTTGAGAAGGTGGAAGGCTCGCTTTCAAGCCATCCTAGTTTCTCAAGCATACAGCCACATTCATAAAAATAAATATCTTTGATTCTATCATTCGAATAATTCATAGAATGTTACATCATACCATGTGTAATACATCAACCCTTTATGTATGATATTGATGGGAAAATTGATCAGAGAGCGTCCCACGTATTTCTTGCATCCATTATGTGACGAATTATCGATTTGGGCAAAAGAAAACTCAATTGAACGTGTCATTTCATTTCAACCGTAGGCTTAATACAATGGAGGGATGTAAACATATAACTACTCCATGAAACGAAAAGAATATCGAGTGATGCGAGGCTGTCGTTTAATAATAACCTTAGTTCATGCCAACTGAATATTGACACCTACTATATTATATTTTTGCCTTTCTCGATTCGATCGGAGGAAAAAACTGAAACAAATCAATGGAACAAAGGAAAATATTATCAAGTACAAAGATGAAAAATGCATCTCTAAAAGACTTATAACTAAAACATTTATGTACTTTTGAAAACGAAGATGGATTGTTACAAATCATATGAAGAAATGCATGCAACATGCACTTTATGTAATGAATTAGAAATATGTGTTCGAAGTAATTCGAGTAGAATTATCCGAAACGAATTCATGATAAGAATACATTTCCTTCTCAGCGTATGAGATATGAAAAGCCATGTTCAGCTCAGACAAGCGATGGAATCTGCCACCATTGGCACCCACTTCCCTAGAAGAGTCTCTGTCTGAATCGTGAAGGTCGTATGTTGCTTGTGAGGACAGAGGCGACGGTGTTACAACCTCACTCTCAACAACGCTTGGCATGACATGTGTCGCGCTCGTAAGGTCCTGGCCATCAGTGCGTACGGTGAGTCTTGGTCGCTTGGCAAGCTCTCTGCGCGACGGCTTAATGTGACCGAGGCATGACAAGTAGAATAAGAATGCCTCGTCCTCCTTGGAACAAAATCACCAGCAGGCATCACATTGATGAGTGGGATAATGGACTCGGCCTCGGTGTTGAACCGTGAATGATCTGCTCGAGTTGAGTATCGTGATCTTCTGCCCTGTCCCATTGCTTGTTTGTTATTCCCACAAACATGTCTACGTCCCTGGCAGTGCACAGTCACGACAAAGTATCAGATCGATGAATTTGAGAGGACGAACAACATTCTGGGAGATCGATGGGAGCTGATTTGCGAACCATGTATTGCGAACTAGTCGAATCGGGTCCCCACCCCACTTGAAATCCCACTCCTCTAGTGCCTCTGCAACTCTTGCAGCTCCCAACACGTGCACTTCTTCTTCTCACCGTGATGCACAACGTGCTCCTTCTGCGACATGGAGAGATGGACGAGAACTTGGAACTAAGGTATCTTAAGCAGGATAGCAAGTGTACTGAGTGCCACCTCTTGTCTACTGAATCTAGGGGGTTTGAACAACCAACCCGCCTCCCTAATCATTAGGTGATCTGAAACTCAGTGACTGCCCGACTTGGTGAATATTCACGGATGCTACCGTACGCACTATACATAGATTAGGGGAACTTATAATAGATTTCCAAAGTGTGACAGGGGAAATGCATATCGTGCCCATTGCCAGGAGATGTGCCTCGAACTGAATCCACAGCTTCATCCAATACATAATTGAATCTGCCGTACTTTGGACAGACAAATATTCATGTACTCTTATGATACAGCCCCCATAATGTGTAGTTTGAAATGCTCGAGGTTAATAAGCAGGGACGCTCGCTTTGCGAGAATCTTTGCTTGTTATTCACTACCAGGAAGAATCGCACAATTTGCTACAATCATAATAATCTGGTACAAGATTATTCAAGTAGGTTGTTTGGTTCTCCTATGAAAGAACTAAGCCTCATGGTAGAGTACTGTAAAGGACACATGGTTGAGCCCCTCTGGTATGATCGAGAAAGAAAAATATCTTGGAGCCTGATCAACTTCTCTCAACGTGGAAGTACGATGAAGAAGAAACCACTCTTTATCTTTGGGCTTCGAAGTTTTTGCGATCTCTGAGAAATGCTGTATAATCTCCATATATGTCATTTGCTCACTGATTTCATTCCTTCGTCGAGGACGGCAGCTGAGCGGACCACTCCAACATGTGAGCCAGAAAAGCTTAGATAGTAGCAGTACGCAGCTTTCATTCATCCTCAATTAATACAAGCACATCACAGAGCTCCACCATTTTTTAGCGAATGCAAATGACTTGACGAAGGACTTGAAGGTTTACGGGAAAGAAGAAGTAGTTTAGTCCCAAGACATTCGCATCACTGGCATGTAACCGCGCCTTGGCCATTATGTATGTTACCGGCCCGTAAACGTCAAAAGTAGACGGTTCGAACCCCACAGTTACCAGGGTTGCATAAGTTCATGTGACTATCTCCACCACCCAACGTTAGTGCAAGGGGGAGACCTTCATGTCAATTCTAGAAGTGCTCAACAATTTTGTTGAGCACTTTGAATTCAACAATTTTGTTCCGATTTGTGCAAACCATGATTATGCTGATTTTTTTTGGATTTTTTCTGTATTCTATATAACTTGTAGTTATCGCTTACTATACTGTATTCTAGTATTACTACTGTATCATATGCATTCTTATCGCACTTCAAGCTTGAAGTCATTTAACATAAGATTAATGATACTATTTGGGTTTAATATTAGATTTGGTTAAAAGACTATATCTTTATCGATTGAGATTGAAAGTTTAAGTTTAAGTTTATTATCAATGTAGAAGTGGATACTTTAGCATATAGAATTAATATAATGTAATAGTTATGAATAGGTCTATAATAATAGAGAAAAGAAAAGAATTTTTTTAGAACTACATTTTCATATTTTCAGAACCATATTTCCATTATATGGGGTCTTCCTGCGGCTATTTTTCTTCTCCAGTTAATTATTTGACTGGTTCGTTTTACTACTCAGTAAAGCTTAGGAGTAATTTGTTCACGAAAAGGTAAATAAGACAAGACTAGTGTCCGTGATGACTTGTTTAGAATATGAAAGTCCTAGTTGAGGGTTCTCATGTACAGAACTGTACAGTACTGGTATGCCGGAGATGAGCCTGGAATAGGTAGAGCAGCGTCTAACTCGGGTTAAGGGAGCGAGGTGACGAGGTGCATCATTTGCAGGACGCGTGGAGGTCGAGGGCTCAGCGACGGCTGCGAGGGCGACAAGGCCTGCGTTCTCTTGCCAGCTAGACGGTCCAGAGGTGCTGTGAAGTCAGATGACGTGGTCCGATTCGATTCGTTCGATCGCGTCGTCAGCCGGTCATGTCATACGCACCTGGACACGACACGGGAGTTCCCAGCCGACAGGGACAGGCTTCAGTGGCTGTGGTTCGATACGATCCGAACATCAGTCCTGCTGCTGCTGCTGCTGCTTCTGCTGCCGCTGTTGTCGTTTGTTTCTTTGACTGTCTGTCTGTCGCGTTGAGAAGAACTTGCGATTCTATTCCTGCATCGTTGCCGGATAGAGAGAGAGAGAGAGAGAGATTTCTGCTCTGACAGGCGAGGGTCGTCTCTTACGTGAGAAGCTCTGGAACAGACAGAGACAGAGGCCGATGCAGTTACGAGGCAGGCTCAATGCTCTTCGGTACAGCATGCGGATGTAGTCCAAACCTCGCCACTCTGTCACTTCTCCTCCCCTGCTTCCCATTCGCAAGGGACTCCTCGCGGGATCGAGCCTCATAGTAGACCACCGAGGGAGGGAGAGCTCTCTGTCCTGCGACTCCTGCAGGTCGCGTTACTCTGATGTGATTTTTGTGCGCAGATTGTAGTACGTTAGCAGGTTGACGAAATCAAGGAAATACAGCGTCCCCCCTTCCCCCCGATTGCGCGTGCATGGGCCGATGAGTTTACTGAGCTGGACTCTGAAGGTGGACATGACATGACGTACATGTATGTACATGCCAGAACAATTCAAACTCCTGTGCTGTTGCTGTATCGTGACTTATCCAAATGTGCACCGGACCATTTGATAGTGCTATAGTACCGGGAACAGACATGTCGTTACCTGCATGGTTGGGTGGTTGCCTGACTGGAACTCGAAAGTGGTGAGCAGAGCTAACAGGAAAAGAAATGCCGATCTAGAAAAGTTAAAATGTTCGTTACATGATAGCTTAAAACTTCGAGTAATGATTCTCTCTTTTCGGTTGTTGTGCTGGAAGCTGCAATGAATGGAAGAACTTATTCTCTTTGATCAGACTCCAGTCACCTTCTGTACCACATAGCACATTGTCAACCATTTACACCGTTAACCCGTTGCTCATTGTACCCCTTCAGAATAGCCTGAGAAAGATTGAATGATGGAAGTCTCTCACTAGCTCACAATAAATGGCTAACTTTTCAGCAAAATCACTTTGTGCTACAAGAGCTTTCGGATCCTCATCTGCAGTCTGAGTTTAGACCATGGGATTTCATGAACTAATAATATATGCAAGTCATAAATCCTGATGTTGATATCCGGTCCACTACCCAGCTGTCACATGAACAGTACGTGTAAAGTGAGCACTTCACAATTTTAATATGTGTTTCATCAGTTGCCGGACATTAATGTATTCAAAACAAATAGCTACATCCACAGTGGTTAAGCGTATGTATGAGATTAGACGATGAAAATCACTAGCCTTAAGATACCGAGTTTCCAAGGCTCTAGCACCAAGTATGGATAAGAAGATACATGTCTGATTGTGGTTCACTGGGCATCATCCTGAGCTGTCAGTTTGATGCTTTGGAAAAGCTCACTGACTAGGCACAGTGTTTTCAAGTATGAGATGGATATCTAGACTAGAGTCTAGAGTCACTTTCATACATCACGAGAAGCCGACGCAAGTCTTTGAACTAAGGGAGTGCTATCACAATGTTTCTTTGGATATGTTTTAGTATGATAGCATAAAAGCAACAAAGTAAACATGTACTTCATGATAAGAAGTTACACGCTGATAATCCCATTGAAGTGGGGGTTTGGAGAGAGGCGAACGTACTAGGCGTTGTAATGAGCATGTCGACATTCCTCCAAAAGTGATGTGAGTCAACTATCAGCTACTCTAGTAAATGCTCAGAGAGGATCGTGAGAGAGGGAGCCATCACATAGATTCGAATCTCGTTCTATAATAAACGTACAGACACCAGCATAACTACTGTTGAATCTATGTCATATCATGTTCCTCAAGGCTGTTTATACCTGCACCGTCCCTGGACAGCGACTGCCTGCATTCTCGACTCGTCTCCGATTCTCTCTCGTCACTGTTACCGTAGTCAGGAGCATTACGGGTGGTTTTGTCAGTTCCCACGTCTCTTCACTCCATCTGCCCATTTGGCTACAATCGTGTATAAATATCAAACATGTCGATGGCGATCTCAGTGTTCTGTCTGTCCTTCTATGCTTTAGTTCATCTGGATGACTGCAGTCAAGAGAGATTTCGAGTGTCTTCCTTTCTCTCCTCTTCTTGTGCAAAATAAAAATCCGAAAATACACACTGTTGTTGCAATTTAATTGTCGCACTCTCCTGCCTTCGACCTCATCTTTCCCATTGGAAATCAAGAGCCCAACGCACAAACGTCGTAATTCGTTGCTGGAAGTTGTCCACATGTACTTGTGGATCAACATCTTGCTCAAGTTGCAGAACAATGTCCACTGAAAATGTATGAATTCAGCAAAACATATGTAGGACTCTAGTGAAGCTTTGGCTCGTTTCGACGCTGGATAGTAAGCTCCTTGCTTTTTCAGGAGTGATGAAGACTCTACTGCTTACTCTACTCGTTGTTGGACATCTGCATGGAGCACTTGGTATATACTGGGGATGGAGCCCAGCTCATGCAACCTTTTATGGCGGAAGCGATGCACAAGGAACTCAAGGTATCGTGTGATACAATCTGAAACTAGTATAGGCGCCAATTGAACAGCTAACCACCATCTTTCCGCATCGAGGTTTTATTTTGCTCTTGTTAGTATGACAAAGACGAAGGTAGGATGTAGCTCGGCAAAGTATCAATTGTTCTTACACCTCGAACGGCACGTAATCTGCCAGGAGGTGCTTGTGGTTATGGTAATCTATATCGAATTGGCTACGGCATCAACACAGCTGCTTTGAGTACAGCATTATTTGCTAATGGACTCTCTTGTGGAGCCTGCTTCGAACTCAAGTGCAATTCACCGAGATGGTGTAAATCTGGAAGAAATCCTATCAGGATAACAGCAACCAATTTGTGCCCTCAGAACCATGCTCATCCCAACAATGCCGGTGGCTGGTGCAACATGCCCTTACAGCATTTTGACATGGCCCAGCCTGCCTACGAGCAGATTGCCATTTATCGTGCCGGGATAGTTCCCGTTATGTACAGAAGGTACTTTTACCGCTGCTAATGAACCCGTCTTATTGTTGTCTGCAGTTATTTCCCCTCCGAGAGGTGAATATTAATCCTTCGTCCGAAGGTCTGAGAACCCTTGAAATCAAGGCCAGTTATGAAGACTTTCATGTACAAACCGCATTGGGGTCCTTTGTTTGTTTCAGCTTGTTAATTACTAGCAGATCTAGATCACATAGAGACCTTTGGTGGCGTGTGTTCAGACAGACCTTAAATGATTGAACAACAGAAGTGCAGATAATTGTCATCAGAGCAGTATACTATTGGATTTGGACCAGCTTGGTGAGGTCCTTCTGTGATACTTTTGTGCGATAATTTCCCAAGCAATGTGTTTCAGTATTTTGACTCGAGAAACTGATGTAGACTACAAAACCGATTCGTTTTTCGCAAATGGTTCAGAGTGCAGTGCATAAAATTTGGTGGCATCCATTTCACGATGAATGGGAACCGTTGGGAGGTCCTAGTTCTTCTCACGAATGTAGGAGGAGCTGGTAATGTACATGCAGTTTCTGTGAAGGGTCCACATACGAACTGGTTGTACATGCGGAGGAACTGGGGTCAGAACTGGCAAATCAATGACAAACAGCTTGCAGGGGCCACTTTATCTTTCCGAGTCACAACTGAAGATGGGCGTGTTGTCACGTCCTGGGACGTCGTACCTCATTACTGGCGTTTTGGTCAAACTTTTGAAGGTTTAAACTTCTAGGTTATTTGTTTTATCGCCGGGTCTCGTATACCGTAGAGCCAACAGTATCCATGCAACTTTATAGACTTCTCGTTACTGACAGTTTACGTGAAACTTTCTTTCAAACGGGCCCCATATTCCAGGAGGCCCGGTGTCAACCGAAGTTTAGCTATGACAAACTTGACACTGATTTTTGAAAACTTGTCATATTATCCTTGATATTCTCCTGTTGCAGATACTTTGTGCTGTACTGTCGAACCTTTAACTTACAATGAGATGTGAATACGAGGACCTGCAAATCAGTACGTGATTTGTCTTGTTCACTTTGAGTACGTTGTGTATGAAGCTCCGAATGACATGCCATTGACCATGTTCACTTTTCCAGTCCTATAGATTTGACAAACCCATAGATGGTGGAAGTTAAATGGGACATTAGACAGGAATATCCGACATTCATACATTTTTGTACGGTTCCAATGCAAGTGGAACTTAACGGATATTGGAAAGGGGGGCCAAGTGACAAAGCAACAAGGATGGGAAGAACCGTTAATCTACACATGAAGGGTTCAAGGGCACTGAATGTCTTTGACCTCTCTTTGAACCGGAACCAGATGTGAGCTAGGACTTATACTGCAGGTGCTATGGATCTATTGATTTATCTGTTTTGGGTACGTTGTCTGTGGTGATCATGCCAACTGGATATGTACCGTAGTTCGAGTGGGAAGCTGAACTGGGGAGGTGAATTGGAAAAACGGAGCAAAACAAGCACTGCGACGAGTGCTCTCGTGTTACGATCTGCACTTTACAACAAGTCCGTGTGGCAGGCAACGTGGAAGCTCTCACTTCCTGGAATCTTAGCAAGGTGGATATCTGTAACCCTTGTATCTCCCTGAACGAACATTCTTGAATCGATGGACTGACTCAGTGAAGTTTAGGCAATTCTTTCATACGTTTTTTCCATCCGCTGAAAGTGATCGTGTCGAAGACTCTGTACTTCTCTCTTCTTCTCTCTAGATTGTGGTGCCTCACTTTCAAACAAAGAAACCTTCACCTGCATACCGCCGAAGAAATTTAAGCCTGAAAACTAATGTGGATTCCTAGTGGAAGTAGGAAATGTGATGAGGAATACTTGAGTCAAAATGATCGAAGTCTTTCATGAGTCCGGAATGTTTTGAGGCATATGTTGATCGCTAAAAAGTTGGTCTTTAGTCGACGATGATAATTGAGGAAGCTTTCATCACAGAAAAGTTAAGCTATTGCGCTACTGCATTATGTTTAGAATTAATCTAATCCACAGCACATTGAAGCCCTGCTTGTCGGCTCGTGGACCCAACAACACCCTCACTTTCTCACTCCTGCCTACGAGGAAAGGGCCTGGTAATTAAAGAATTTTCTCTAATATAATTACCCTGAAAGTAATTGGTAGAGTCATGAATAAGGATCATGAGCATATGAATCAAGATATATAACCTACAATCCGAAATTAACCACAAAGCCACCTCCAAAGTCGTCAGCAGTAGCCGGTGTTGGGTAGACTCTAAGTACTGTAGTAACACAATGTCATGTCACAATGGTGTATGAAGTCATGAAACATGGGGGGCGGGAGGGGTGGAGGGTAGTGGTGTTTGGGGGTTTTCAGAGCAGTGCACATCTAAGGATACCGTTGTAAAAACATTCTTTTCGCCTTATGACAAGGACATCAAGGACGATACTGAAAGCTTGAGCCACTCGATTAATCATTGAGGTCTACCACGTGGTTCCTAATCTACAGAGACTGTGGCCTCCTCACCTTGCAATACATGACATCTTTGTGGAATGGTTTTATTGAGCTTGTTATTGAGGTGGTGACATTTGTTCCTTGCATTATGGTCCTTTCAATGCCATACGAAGAATGTCTAGACATATGACATTGCTTCGTTGAGGTCATTCATCCTGTAACATTGAAGACTGTCTTAATCCTGGGCTATCTTTGCTGAAGTAATCGGTCCAAGTGCACGCCTTGGCGTGCGAGGAGTCTCCATGCAGTCTCCATGCACTTATGATTGCTTTGTGTGGCAGTTCCATTGACTTAAGGTCCTGATTCGTATTCTTTACACAAGCGTGAGGCATCCTGTACCCTGTCTGGAATCAGAGCATTCCCAGAATCCAAGACACAGCATCGTCAAAGGATTCTGTCCTTGTTCATATGCAGAGGCCGTAACAGTAAAAGCTTGTTCCACATTGACAGATCTCCCTTTCTCGGCCTCGTAGACGGATGATGGACTCTCAGTAGGTTACATTATCTACGCCAGTAATCACATCAGCGGTTTTTGAACTGTGCCGTGTCTTCATTCTCAGCACACAAATCTTTTTCTATCGATTGCCGGGGCCGAAAGCATAATAGTGCAGCACAGTAGCGGAGAGTGGAAGCTTCCGAGACTCGAGAAGGAAATCAATCTTGGCAATCTTTCTGTGATTCGCATTTGCGACAGCACAGTACCTGAGGAAAAGGAAGGCAAGGAGATACGTAGACCTTGTGTCCTGAAATGAAAGTAATCATTCTCATCATTTGCCGTGACAAATCTTTCTGTTACGCAGATGGTGCCCATGTCCCCATGACATACGGCTCATATGCAGGGGAGGAGAAGACAGAAGAGGATATCGAGGACAGACACAATCGTTGAGAAAGAATGGCTGCCACTGCTGCTGCTGCTGCCATGCCTGTTTTCCAGCTCTACGGTTTGTCCTTCTGCTCTGGCCCCGAAGCACTCGTACGCTGTCAGCAGAGAATTCATCTGAAAGCATTTTCTGCTGCTGCTTCCTCTCCGACTGACGTTTTTTCGCGCTCGGGGCGCGCGAGAAGACAACATGGACTCCCCGGAAGCCTGCCGCGCAAATCGACCCTACGTTATGGCAGTTGTGGCAGATGGCAGGGCGATACGCGGTGTACTTCAAATTTGGGGATGGCTGCGGAGGGACAGAATGTAGAGACCGCCGTTACGAAGGCGAAGGTCGCAGCAGAGCTCGATGAAAGAGGTGTGGAAAGGAGGCTCGTAGCAAACGCTTGTCGCTGTGGATTGTGTGGCAGACGAGGTCTAATTGCAGCTGTGATGGGTGCATTTTCTGCTTCTCAGTCGGTCAAAGCTGCTGGCGCTCTGGATGCCGGCAATTCCGAGTACAAGGTACAATTTTGAGCCCAGGACTGACTTTTGCATGCTGAATTGACTGACCTTCGATGCTGCAGCGGCCGTTCTTGATTGCCCATTTCTCATGTTCTTGAGCTGAACGCTTTTGCAGAAGATAATCGAAACTGTTCATCCGAGCAGAGGAGGGTGGTATGAGGAGTTTTTCGCCAGGGTCATGAATTCTAGCATGGATCTTTACGAGGCGGGGGTAAGTGGTTGCAGTGGAGCAATAGATCAAAGAACCTGAAAAGTGGTATGCTCACAGGCACAATATTTGCTTGTTTTCAGCCCTAGAATGTCCAGCTATCACGATGAGTGCTCTGATCATGTGCTCTGAATTTGACAATCTGCTGATATGTTGATGTGTGAGTAGGTTGGGGACTACAAACGAGAGCTCTTCGGAAAGCTAGACGACAGTGTCGAACAGGTTCTGGAACTGGGAATTGGAACAGGGCCCAATTTGAAGTACTATGGAAATAAATCTGGCATTCAGAAAGTCATCGGAGTCGATCCTAATTTACAGATGGCCAAATTCTGCTCGTCAGCAGCGCTGAACGCAGGCCTTTCTCAGTCACAGTTTGAGTTCATTCATGGTGTAAGAATTTCACGACATACCAAGAAGCTAAATCTTATTTTGGGTATATTTGCGTTGAGAACTGTTGCTGATTTCTGTTTCGGATTGTAATGCTATATGTCAATTGGTGTCAGTGTGAAGGTTTAGCTACACATTGTGGTCCTTGGTTTCGACTCATTAGAGAAGAAAATCAAGCGTATCTGACGTGTATTAGCCCAAAAGAAGCGTTTGTAAATTTGTGCCTCTAGAATGTAAATTTCTGAAATTCCAGCTTCTAAAACTAAACTTCGCTCGGTAGCATTAAACAAGAATCGTGTTTGGAACACAGCGGGTCAAATAAGACTATTCGCATGAACTTCAGGTCGGGGAGATAATACCGTTGCCTGATGCCAGCGTAGATGCCGTGGTGTGCACTCTTGTGTTGTGTTCTGTCAATAACGTTTCTTCGACTTTGAAAGGTTTTGTGTCTTCTAAACCCACATACCTGAGCATGCATTTGGAGCACCGAGCACCTTAAGTAAGGGAGTTTCTGACATTATACTAGTCTACACCTCAACCTTTGAGCGAGTCCAAAAGTTTCTGCGATGTCTAGTGCATGTTGTCTGCATATCGATGCTTAATATGAAAGATTCTTGTAGTCATTTCTTTCAAGAAACTCATTACTGTCGTCAAATGTGCGCGTATAACTTGTTGGAAATCAGCTCTCTCAGGCAGAATTGTGTTTCAGTTCCGAGCCACCGATTGGACTTAAGTTTAATAACCGGTAGAGGTCTGTGTTTATTCGTAAAAGGATTCTTAATCATGTTGCGAACTCATTTCCTCATCACGGGTTATCCTTATGAACCAAGTGGCCGATTTTCAGAGGTGAAAAGAGTGCTCAAGCCTGGCGGTGCCTTCCTCTTCGTCGAACATGTTGCAGCACCAGGTGAATTTCTTCCATGGCAAGTTGCAGCCTTCTCTTGTGTCAGCTTTTAAATCCTTTTTTTCAACTAGTTCTGGATCAAGGTTGTACTGAAGCCAAATCGTGGACTATGACTACAGAGGGCAACGGTCTGCGACTGTGGCAGAGGATATTAGACCCTCTTCAACAGCTATTTGCAGACGGCTGCCATCTAACACGAGACACTCTCGGGGAAATCGAATCAGCTCAGTTTGAATCTGTGGAAGCAAATAACTTCACAGTTCCAGGTTTATTTGTCATCGGTCCGCATATTTCAGGAGTGGCTCACACTGCTCACAAAGATCTGTAAGCTGTCATTCTCTGCGTCTTACAGTGCATCTTCGAAGGTCAGTAACTCATCATGGGTCCTGAGGATGTTTGTGTCTGACTTTGCAAAGTCAAAATTCCTCTATTCATCAGTGAATCAGATCGTGCGAACAATTAGTATCTTCCAGCTTGAGCTGAAAGATAAGACAAATGAAGTTTCTTCTTTAGCTCACATCACTTCCCCGCAAACTGATGGTTGATATGCTTACTCTCATCTGCAGGCATGACATGATGCTAGGGTTTAGGGTTCAAACTCACTTGAAGGTCACGTCCCAGGTAACGTCTGATATTTGGGCGCTTTGATATTATACTCAACTGAAATCCACGTTTCAGGTAATATGTGGCTTAGACTGTACATGCCCATCATGTATACGACATTTTCATTGTCATGGATTGGCCAACATCTCCGGTACAGGCTGTTTAGCAGTGAGACCTGGCCTGTCTTTCCAAGTTACAGGAGCAGATATCGCCTTCTGGTGGGGTATCCCACATCATCCAAAACGACTTGTGTACGAGAAATGTTCTGCAGTTTTAGATTCAGTAGTTTACATCATTGACAAACACTTCAATATTACACCGACATTCCCTGCAACAGTTGCAGATTATTTTACACCAACGATGTGAATAGATTTGAGTTCTAGATCGTTGTTGATGAAGATAAGCTGCGCATGAAAAACATGAAAGACATGTTCCCAAACAAGTTGCTGCCACTACGGTGCAAGTGTTAGTGCTACACTCGGAGCAAAGATTTTGTGCTTCAAACAGATAAAAAAATAGCTGTATAACACAAATAATTATGCTCTCAGACTCTTGCCAGGCAGGCTCCCAGAGAACCCTCCCCTTTGACCTCAGGATGTTCCCTTCAGCGTAAAGTTTCGCCGATACCTGGCGATCACTCTTCTGCACAGTACACGAACGTGGGCAAGCAGTATGAGAGAAACTGGAAGATTGACGTCGAGACCTTCAAAACCACGTCCACATCTCCCTCGGATGGATATGCTGGAAAGCTGTTGATTCGGATACGGAAGGGCACTGGTACCTGTCCTGAAACCTGGACATAGAACAAGTCCACCACGACCTTTACCGCCTGTCATGCACTAGATTGATTGCCAACAGACTTGTGTCCGTACCCATGCACCGCACGAAGCCAATAAAGGGACGTGCAACGAGGAAGAATCAGCAGATTACACAGCTCAGGTTGGAACCCTGGGTCTCGGTAACTCGGGTTGGATTCTTCGACACAGATCCTTTCATCTTCGATCATCGAGCACATCGCTGTGGATGCTCGATCTACACCACGCTACAGGAGCAGAGAGAGCTCGGAGCACGTCCACGTTGCCACCGGAGCTCACTCGTCCATCATCGACGACCTCAGGTCCAGTAGCGGATGGATCCAGTGCTGTATCTGTCACTGTAACCCCCACAATGATTCGTCTCAGAATCTCTCGCTCGCTGCAGCCGTCATCAGCTGCCCGAGCCATGCCGTGAGTTTATATCCCCCTGCCCCACGGACCGTACTCTTGCTTCGTATCTCAACTTTTGCATGCGAGTTTTCCTGGTAACAAGTGATCACACGAGAAGGGGCAGGGGGAGGGAGAGAGAGACAGAGAGTGATGGAGAGGTGCTGCTCGGTGGGTGAGACAGAAACATTCCCTTGTCTTCTCTTCTCGGTGGTCCTCACCTGGAAAACATAATGATACTCCCCAGTCCACTTCGCTGTGTGCACTTTGGAGCCTGTACTGTCCTCGTGAGTACATTTGGACGATCCAAATTGTCAACTCCTACGCGAGGGTCGCTTTTCGTACGTACTCCTACGACACATGTCGAAGAAACGGGTCGTAGACGTAAAATCAGCCACTGTCGAAAGCATGCCTGTCCACTACTGCTGTTTTTCATTTTTATATAAAGGTGACCAAACTTTTGTGGCAAAAATATCACCAATTTTCACATCGTGCGGGAAGCTGAAGACAGGAGGAAATCATAAGCGCAAGACTATGAATTCTTTTCAAGTTCACTTGCTCGAATATTACAACAAGCGTATATAATTTTTTTTGAAAACTTCTCAGATGCACAAGCTCATGAAGTGAATATTTATAACAAGATGATAATACTTTCTTTCGAATGATAATGATGTTAATGTCTGCTTCATCAAACACAATGATTTTCTGTGATAATGAAATAAAAAGCATAGAATCTCGAATATAATTTAAAGTAATTTATTGTATGGAGGAAAACTAAAGCAGTTATTTACAAGGAGCCAAGGAGACAATAAAGAATTTGTCAAGACCCCATTAGCAATGCGGTGAAGGACCAATGCAATTAATAAATAATGAAAAACCAGTCTGAGTTTTCAAAACCAAATTCCGCCTTGTATATTTAGGAAGGAGACTAAACTCGACCGGATAAATTAAAGCTCAAAACGAACTCGGAAACTGTTGAACTTGAGGTTGATGTAAGAACAGAAATCTGAGCCACTGCATTATTGTCCATGGGGTAAGGCGCGGGTCGGGCCGGACTCGGGGAGGAGAAGAGGCCCGCCCGGCCCGCGCAGGCCGCGCAACCAGCGGCAGTAGTTCGCGGCGCGGATGATTCGGACGAGGAGGAGGAGAATGAGGAGCGCGACGGGGCGAGGGCAATGGCTGCAGCAGCCATGCATTCGTCGCCAGCAGCAGCACAGGCTTCGGCGGGCGCTTGCTCCTGGGGCCGCGCGAGTCCCTCGGCGTCGTTCGGCGACTGCCCTCGCCATGGTGCGAATTTCGACTCGTCCGCAGATCGTCGTCGTCCTGCGCTCGCCTCTTGCTCTGGGCGCGGGATTGTGATTGGGATCAGAGCAGGTTTCGAAGCGTCTGGTGGACTTGGTAGAAATGGAGCAGGAGCAGGAGCAGGAGCAGGAGGAGGAGGAGGGCGAGAGTCGTGGAGTTTGGCCCTGCCTCGCCCCTCGACCGCAGTCCAGAAGAGGAGGCAGGGCAGGGTTCGGTTCAGCTCGCAGCGCGGGGTGGACCCGCGGGAGCAGGACAAGGAGGTTACCGTGAGGGAAATTGCCGAGCTTGCAGGCAGTTTGGTCTCGCTCAAGCGCTTGATTGGGAGTGGATATCGAGCAATTGGTCCGGAAATGCGAGACAGAGTCGATAGGCTGTATGATCGAGTTATGATTTTACAGGAATCCGCCAATCGAGCTGTGACCAATCAGCTCACGGCAACTCTTCGAGTAATTCGCTTCTCTCTGCGCTAATTGTGTAAACGACCTTAAAATCTCGTGTCTGTTTTCGAGAACCGAAGAAGATTTGAACTTATTTTCCTTTTTTTAAATTTTTATTTTGGGGTTCAATTTGTGTCCACTTTTTTCCTACCCACCGTCTGAATTTCTCGGAATATACTTTTGCTGATGACCATTTGGGTAGCCTTTCTTTTCTGCAGCTTCAAAGAATTATTATTCTCTACGCCTGGTTGGAGTGAATCTGCGCTGTACGTAGTAACTGTAATCTTTTATTGTGTTTTTGTTTATTTGAATTTGAGACTGTCGCTGAATTATGCAGGACATGTAATAATTTTACACCTCGCGAATCTTCTATGTAATTTTCACTTAGGTAGCCAGTAAGCTCTCTGCAGCGAGTCCAGTGTGTGAGATATCTTGGAACATCGGAAGACACAGCTTTGCCGAAAAAGTTAATATAAAGCGTTGAATGCCTGAGCAATTAGTGAAGTAAATGTGGCCTGAAATATAGGAGGGTTCACTTCTGTGCAACTATTCGACCGATTCAGTGGCTGTTCCTGTTTGAATAAGACATAAGCTTTTTGTAAGATAAGACAGTAGTCAAACGGGTGCATTATGCTTAATTTAAAAACTGTTCAATTTGGATTAAACAAAGCCTTCCAAAGCACTTGGAGGAGATTTAAAGCTTGGCAAAAGCTTCTAATGTACAGACGATGACATCTTCCTGTGGTCTCTTGTGTAATACAGGCTTTGCAAAGAGATCATGGTTCTCTTGAGAATATTATCAGGCTCGCCATGGAAGCAGAACCTACTCTGGCCAACTTCGACTCTGCTGGTGTGGATTCGGGTATGCCCAAGGATGTCGAGAACAACATTCAGCTAGAAGATTTGAAACCTAAAGCATCCATATTTCAGTCTTTAATTCGTCAAAGTGCCGTGGAGCCCTTATCAACTTCAACGCGTTATGTTATGACATCACCAGCTAGTCAGGTACGAGGATGGCAAGCTGCATATGGCAAAAATTTGCCTTGCATCTTCGTGAACTTTGTGATTGGAATTGTTCTCAGTTTTATTTTAAAAGGGGAAAAGTGTCTTTTGATAGTCTTTGATGAGAAAGTCCTGCCGCCGGCCTCTATTGTACAACCGAATGTTTTATTCCACCCAGAGCAGCAAACGCGAGAAGCACCTGCTTTACAAAATTACACATCGTATCTTCTTCTACGTTTGCTACCTATGTAGGTTGCTAACTATGCGGCTAAATGACCTCACTTATTGTCAGGGTTCTTCTCCGCTGGCGGCCTTTCGTGCAGAAATAGAGAGACGCGTCATGAAGCAGGTAGGTGCACACATCATCTCAAATGTAATTGTTGCATACAGAAGACATGCTTTTCTTGATAATTAATCCCTTGAAGGGCGAAGCGTGAAAATTTTTGCAGTCAGTACAGCTCACATCAGGACTGATGTTTGCAGCTTTCTGAAAAGAGAAATATGGCTCCTGTAAAATCATCTACTGACATTTCTACGGAGAAAGCTCCACTACCTAAGAAGGCTGAAAGTCAAGGATTTGAGAAGGTAAGGTTTGCTCTTAATATATGGCAAAATGATATCAAGAGAGTTTCTGTCTTTCACTGTCTATTCTTGAGTCGAGAGAGTCCGCCAGTCAATGATAGTACATATTACTTGTTGGGACTAATTCTGAAACAGTGTGTTGGAATTCACTTTGTTGAAAAGTAAGACAACTCGTTAGTACAACAGTCTGAAAGTGGACGACGGCTTACCCTTGGAACGTATGACCTTAGAGAAAAGACTGATTACATTTTTGGACCGTTTACCCGTATATGTAGCGAGCTTGTTTTAAGTCCAGGTTCTTGAGGTCTGTTTACTGAATTGATGAATGTGCAACTATTTCTAATTCGGAAATGTAAGATGAAAAGAACATTCATCTGAGTTTCTCTCTGTGTAGCTATCTTCGCAGGACCCTATTAGAGAAGAGAAGAAGGAAGATAAAAAAAACTACTCGGATAACAATTTTGATAGCGACATCCAACAAGAAACGCCAACGAAGTAATCCCCTATCCTCGCTTTCCAATGGTTTCGTTTCGAGGAGCCAAAGCATTTCGGTTCCAGTTTCATCGGATTCGGTTTGTTGTTACTCTATATTCCTCACTTTGAGGCAACAATGGAATCAAGCAGGAAGCATCGTTTTAATCCGATGTAACTTTTTACCTGTTTCCTCTGGTAGTGGTTCAGGTTTATCAAGCTCAAATTTGATGGCGAAAGTGGAAGATGTATTGAGTTCCACTGAAACAGAGAGCCTTAAGAGGAATATGAGCACTATAAGACAGGAGCTTCAAGGACTGCAACAAGTCAACATGAGAGCAGACATGGCTGAGAATAAAATTCAGCAACTCGAAGTAGATCTGGCTAAGACCATTCCTTTGGAACTTCATGAGCAAATGGTACGATCGGGCGAAACCTCAAGGAATTCCATTTTCGATTTGGCAAAGTTTGCATTATTGTTGTCAATTGTTCTGAAAAATTGTTTCTCACTCGTGTCCAAAGGTGAGAAACATAAGAACGTCTTTAACCGACGCACGAGTGAAAGTTCTTCAAGTAACTGGTGAGGTTAGGGAGAAAGAGGCTATGCTGGAGGCCGTAAAAAAATCTATGCTTGCAGAACAGGACAAGCTCGTTAACCGGGTAAGCTTGCCATCTATCTCATGCATCCTGTTCATCATTTGCCTGTTGTTGATCGTATAACCTCTCAGATATCATAATCATAAAAAACATTCTACAAGATTTTTTATCTAGACAAGATTATCTAGATACATCTGATTACACGCTGGGTGATAGAAGCAATAGTGAAGAGAGTTTGTGATGCTCTAAATCTCTTTTCACACGAGAGTGCAACTCAAATATACTGTTGCTACTTTTCTTTTAAAGGTACGGCAGCTCACAGGTGATCTCGCAAGAAAAGTTTCCCCGGAAGAGATGGAGGCAGCCGTGTCATATGCCGTGGGCGAGGTTGAGAAAGAACTGGAGAGGGTCCAGCAACGAGCGATCAGTCTGAGCCTTGAACTTGAGAAGAAAGAAAGGTTTTTAGTGCAACAACAAAATGAGTGGCTGATACTCAGGGAGGGTTTGGAAAGTGAGCTTGCAAGTGTTAAGCAAAGGTTGGAAGCTGTAAATAGGAAAAGAGCTGCCGAGCGGGCAGAACTTATTGAGGCACAGGAGAAAGTTAAGGTATTGGAAAAGGAAGTGGTGAGACTTCAAGAAAGTGAGGATGAAGCTCAAAGTCTCAGACTGAAGACGAAAAAGGAAACTCTCGCCACGGTAAGAGTGCTCATCTCTCATATGGTGCAGTCAGCGCGAGCTAAAGCTAAGAGTGATGAACAGGCGGTTAGTCTTGTACAGGAGGTGGCCAAGCTTCAAGAAGAAAAAACAGCGTTGGAGCTTGTCAAAAAGGCAGCAGAAGAGAAAGCCGAGCTGGCAGAAGCGGAAATGGAAGGTATGAGGTCGAGTCTTGTCACCGTCGGAAAAGAAGTTGAGACTCTGCAAGGCGCTCTGGTACCAACTCAAAAAACAGCTGCCCTAGAGAATTTTTTTGCCGCTATGGCGCAACTCATAAAGAAGGAGGATGAGAGGATGAACAGTCCCCCCTACAACTTCCTGCAGATCGATTCCTTTGGTCGAAGAAGAAATTTGGAGGACGTATCTAGAACTGGAGGTATTGTTTTCTCTTGGAGATCTCAGCTACTACGACTGGTTTCAGAATGAAAACATATATTGTCCATCCGATCTAACAGTAATATGAAGCAAGTATTCTCCTAAGAATTTCGATGTATGCTACGAGTTCTCAAATCTCTCAGAACCTCAATTTAAGGTACAAGAGAACACGGACATGAACCAAAGGTCGTGGCAAGTCCGGAGCAGTTCTTCTCCTTAAGTACATTTGTCTATCGTTTCCATCTCATTCGAATGTCATGGGAGGTGCTGAAATCGATCACGTAATCGAAGTTTTGAACTTTTCCGACTTGTGTCACGTGCCAGCAGATGATGGACAGGAGGTAAAGAACATGGTTACTCTGCAATATGAGTCCAGTTGGGAGTGGGCATACCTTCATTTCAAAGCCGACGATTCAGGGTAAAGTTCCTATCTTATCCCAATTTGGCTCTAATTGTACTTTTTACGCTGATTACTTTTTGTACTTCAACGTGTGGATGCGATTGTTTACTTCATTGTTTGTATGTTCTAGGTGGACAGAAGTACCTGGCGTGCTGATGCAAAATGACGGAAGTGGACCGGAAACTCATTTGAAGGTAAATCAAATTTTTCCTTCTTGAAGTCTTTAGGTGTAATATAGGGCATAGTACATATTTTTTGCAGTAGGTAAACTATTAGATCTCGAAGATGATTAGGGCAAAGACGGATACGTTTAGGGCAACATATTACATCCTAGGGCCAGATGCAAGGGCATGAGAAAAACGACCTTCTTACAAGCCAGCAATTGTGAAAGTCTTCCTTTGCTTCAATCTAGTTCCAATGAAATAGCCACATTGACCACGGAGTATCCGGCACTACCTTGTTTGGAGTGAATCGACAAAAATGAGCTGATCCGAATTCAAGAAAATTTCTTATTGCTTGTAGACAGGCTGCGCAGCAGTTATTTAGGTCTTTTCGTATGTAGTTCAAGTGTTGATCAGTGGAGTTGACTCTTTTGTTCCCAGGTCCTCGTCATTCAGGCTTCATCAGTCGAATTTGTTCTCAATGACGGAAAAGGCTCATGGGATAGGTAAGCTCCTTGTAACAATATAGTTGTAAGTATATGACAGATGTGAACAATGGCAAGCCATGAGGTACTAACTTTTCTGTTACGGATGCAGTGCACCCGGGGGTGGAAACTATTTTATTCGAGAATCTGGAAATTACTATCTATCTGCTGGTAATTTGAAGAAGATAGAGTAGAATCGTGACACGGGAGACTTCGCTTTTGTTTTTTCACTGCTGCGAAGTTCAAATCCAAGCACCCTGCATGCGAGTGGTGGAAATGGAGAAAGTGTAAGGGGTTTTGTTAACTTGTTTCTGAACTCAGAAAAGATGAAATTGGGAATTGCCAATTGTGAATAGGTGTTGGACGAGTAGAGTAGCATCGCTTACTTTTAAAACTTCATGCATCTCTTACCGCAAGGAAGGTTGCATCATTCTTCCTGTAATTTCTACTGTAGTTTATATTCCTGGTTAGCTGCAACTTCGGACAGCAAGAGACCAGGAACAGGTCTTGATCGTCCAGAATGTTTCCCAGATTTTCTCTAGAATTGACAAACTGGATCTTCTACTACGAAATGGGTTTCCTACTACTTCCCATTTCTGTCGATGAACACTTTCATCGGAGTGTTAAAAAGAAAGGGATAAATTGGCCGATGTATCACTGTATACATTGGAGATTGTTACGCGTGTACAGAATTTCGACACTGTGGAATGCTTTGAATAAGTCGTGTAATCGAGCCCCAACCAAATGCATATTGGAGAGCTATGAACTACGATATGAACTACAGTCGCCTATTTTGTCAACAATGAGTAGTATAAATAAAGTCTGGACGGGTGATCACGGAACTTGAGGTACTTTATTTCTACGGGTATGACATATTCTTTAGCATGTGACTCACAGCTGCACCTAACGTCGCTATAAGAAGAGAAGTCGAAGAGGGCAGGGAAAATGCAGGCACAGGATAATAGAGTGTGCACACTGCTTGAAACATTGGCGTAAGTGAAACTGTTATGAGTGTCTAGATATGAAGCAAGGAATCAGTAATCCACTCGTCAATTTGATGGCTGTCACTGATGACTGTAACACCCCTCTGAAGTATGAATGACTGATAGTCCCAAAGCCACATATTCTGCTCTTATGTGGGAACTTACTTCCACAAAGTATTGGGCCGTTTCCTTCTACCTGTCACAGTGAGTTCGATTAGAAGAAACGCAGGCGAAGCTAAACAACTCCAAGGCCGCGTAAGTGCGCGGATAGCGCGCACTTAATGAGAACACGCTAACCTTATTGACTGATGTGCCGTGCATTGTCAACAACTAATCTATCTAACGTACGATCGCAGTACATGTGATGCAGAGCTTTCTCCTCTAAAGATTTCAAAGAGGTCCTTAATATATCGATCAAACGATGGTAATTTTTTGTACTACTTGCACTTAAAAAACAGGTCCTTTAAAAGATTAAACTTGTGTTGATAACACAAGTTGAATTGTTGGTCATTCATGCATGCATTTTGTTCATCCATTTCCTATCTAAAAAAATAGTAATTTTTTTAGCATATAGGAAGTTTTCTCCATATCGAACACATCAACTTACTCGGTAAGTTGATGTGTTCCGTATGGAGTTGTTTTACGTACAGTAACGCAATTCTGTTCCGGAGGGGTCCATCAAGTAATTTTCTCCAAAAACAGTGGAAGCAGTCTGGAAAATATATTGTCACATTGGTCATGGAATCCGTAGCTGCTAGAGGGCCATCGTCGAAAAGCCTTGAACCCTTTGCCTGAATGTGAAAAGGGAGTCGAGTGGGTTCGAGGTTTCAATGGATTCACATTCACATCATGCTGAAACCCTAATTTCCGCGACATCCAGCCTCCTCGCCTGCGGGCGTTCTGAGAGGAGGAGACTGAACCCCGTGGACTGTCTTGGATTTGGATTTGCATGATGTATAGACTTTGCGGGCCAGATTTGCTCGATGGTCTCATCCTTCAGACGCTATGGACTGTAATTTCATGGTCGGAGAACTTGAGGGATTAATCGATTGATCGATGATTCCTTTGCTTCTCACCCGAGGGCTTTAGTCGTCTCTTCCTCAGGGCTCTGAATATATACCATTGTTTCGAGCTCAAGACAATCAAATCTCAATCTCAAAAGTGATTTTCGCCATGGACGGTCATTACCACTTACAATTTTCAAGTGTCAGACGAAGAGCTTCTTAACAGCGAACGCTGCCGGACGTACTGTACTTACCATTCCTGGAACAGGGTAATATTTCTCTTATCGACGACGGATCTTCTATCCTCTGCGGATGGATAGGTTGACGATGTCATAGTCCATCTCCGAAAATCATTGTTCGTGTCATTTAGCCTTTCGTCTCCTATAAAGCCATCCAACTAAACAAATCAGATCGCGTTTCATTTATGCTCTGGAAATTGATGTATTCCGCTAGTACATTCCAGATCGACATGCCTCGTATATATTACTCACTTGGAGTATGGTTCTTCAGTAAGCATTAGGGCAACAAATCCATGGAGGAATTACCGCACAAACCCGATGAGGACCATCTCCGACCCACATTGTACTCTCTCAAAAGCCGTGTCTCGTTGGTGGCCCGCGAAGGGGACGTATGCTTCAGTACGGTTTTGCATACGGTAGTGATCACATTCAAGTCAAGCTAGTTGTCATCGGAAGCAAAACAAATGAGTAAGCGAGAGTTAAACCCGGTTGAATCCGCCGGAGTCGGGGCACTGTCAGGAATCATTGAAGTCGTGCTTCAACAACCCTCTGTTTCTGTGAAAAACGCCATCCAGGTAAAGTATGGCACTGAAGAGACTGCAGCAACAGTTAATATGCTTTCCAGTTCTTACCCAGACATATACATAGTCATGCTATGGACTGCAAATGACTGGATCTGTGGACCCTTTGCTATGGAACCTTTTCTCGGTCTGTCTGGCCTCTTTTCTGCTGAGTTGTTTTCAAGTCACTGTTTCTCTTGGTCTTTTCATGAATTTTGGTCTACATCATCGGACTCGGCATCATGATCAGTCCATGGTAGGAAAGATCTCTTCCTCATGTTCCAAAAAGAGCAGAAACATTATTAATTGACGTTGTACTAATGTAAGACGTGAGATGACCTCGAAACCTCTGCCTTATGGAGTCGAATGTTTGCTGATCGTACGAGAGTACCATAACAATATATAAGCGGTCTCAAGAAGTTCATCAGCCGTCAAAGTTTTCACAGCTGATAACTGGACGCGCTGCAATATGCGGCGTGCCAATTTCAGAACAAAAAAACGCAGATGCTTACAGTTCTTTGATGTACAGGACAAAAAGCCCATTTCTTTTAATCCAAGAGTTCTATACAGAGGACTCAGTGTAAATGCCGGAAGTATAGCTCCTGTCAGTGCTGTACAATTTGGGGTGAATTCTTTTCTGGAGAAAAGCTTGTCAAGTAAGTGTGGAGACGGTAACCGTCTTACTAACTAATCTCATAAGTAAGTCTTTCAATATTGATATGTCAACCAGAGCTTCTGCTGCACATTTATTTCCAAAAGCATGTTGGCCTTTGATCATGTAAGGTATGCTCAAGTTCGATCGATGATCTATATCCTAGTTTGTTACCGTGTTTCAGCTCCGGCATCAACCGTTCAGAAAGGAGTCATTGCTGGCATTGCGGGAATGGTGTCGGCTTTCTGCTCTGGTCCTGCTGAACTAATTATGATCCAGCAACAGAGAACGGGCTTGAATCTTATTAAACAGATACAGACGGTCAACAGGAAATACGGAGCTTTGTGTTTTTTTCGTGGATTGGTGCGATCCTTCACCTAATTTTCATTCAGATTGTATTTGGATCCTAGTATGTATAAACTAGCGCTTAACTATAACTCTCCAAATTCTACATTGTGCTCTTGCACAATATTGACATGCTGACTAACAGATGTTTCTGAAGCCCCGTATTGTCTCTGAGTCCATCTTTCTTCAATTATTTTCAAGTTGGGTTGTCATTGAGATTTCCCGTGGTCTAAAGTCTCATTACGTTAGATGAGTCTACACCATCCAATTACATATTATTATTTCACCCTAGAAGAAGGCATTCTATATCGTCAAGTCTTACTCAGCTTCCTGCAAGCTAGGTCCCAAACTAGACAATGGCTACTAATTCAGCGGAGCACTCTCCAATTTTAGTTGGATAAGATTTGCACTCCAGTGATTGTGCACTCAACTTATCGATCAAAACCCTTCCCGTGGTTTTCCCATCATGTCCTCTCAACTGCAGTCTTCAGCTCGGCCTTGTTCTAAACAGTTAAAAGCTTCACTTTAAGCTCTCTTGGCACAAGAAGGAGGACCTCAGACTAATTTGACAGAAAGCTAATCCCTTTTGGAAGGTAGTGATCAAAGTCTCCTCGTTTTTTCAGTTGCTTAGCTCCCTAAAGAGAAGTAGCTGAATTGTATATCATTGGGTTCTATTTTCGCTTTTTGAGTTTGTCATTTATCTCATTCATAATCAGTTTCTGATCCATTCATCCTCTCCTCAAGTCTCCGTAGCATATATCCTCTGAAAGTGAGCTAGAACTTGCATTCTCAGCCTCCAACATTGGTAAGAGAAGGCTTCTTCACAGCGGCATATCTGGATGTAAATCCACTTCTTCAAGAGAAGTTTCAAGCTGCCGCCAGTTTTAAAGATCGACAGACGCTGGCGACGGTCCTTGCTGCTGTCGTTTCCGGATCTCTTTCCACGTTTATCACCCATCCTTTCGATACCATAAAAACCAGGATGCAAGCCAATTTAAACCTTCAGAAATACAGGTATTCTTAGTGATGTTATATTTAGGCTGAGCTCCGATGCTGAATGTGATCATCCACCAAGTTTTCTTGTCTCTTGGATCATTCCATTGTTATGATTTCGGACCCGAATTATAAATTGAGATGCAAGTTGTATTTAGTGTCTTTTGATTCTCTCGTACTATGCTCTGCTCACAAAATTGGCACGATTGGTCGCGGACTTCTAACTTCCAATCATGTAGGTCGAACAGCTTTCATTGAGAGCTCACTGTGTCCTTGCAGCTTCAATTCTCGTTTGTCCACGAATATTTTGCTCTAATTTGCTCCACCTTTTGTGTCCACAGAACCGTAACCTCTACAGCTAAGGTCCTCCTGCAAGAAGGAGGAATGGCAGCCTTCTACTCTGGACTAATTCCTCGGACTCAACGTATCATCTGTGCAGTTTTCATATTAGGGGAGGCAAAGACACACCTCACTGAATTGTATCTGAAGCATTTTGGATGAGTCAAAATTGCAGGAAGCCTGTATAGTTCTTGGTCAAGCCAGCATCTAATGCGCGCATGGGTTGTAGTCTTAGAATCACTGTCAAAGTAAATTGGATTAGTTTGTTATACTGACTTCTCTCCTCATTGCATCGGTAACTCCTCGGGTTCATGGGGTGTACTTCGGCTCCTAAAGTCTTTGGAACTTTAATCTAAAAGGAATCCCGGAATCAGTCGATAAAGTAGAACCTTGTCTTTTGATAGAACCAACACACCTCGGAAACTGTCCATTGTCTTCAGGGAAGTGTACGATCCAATTTTTTATACAGTACCTGTGTCAATTTCGGACTGAAGTAACCAGGGGCACACTAACACAGGTTTGCTTTCTCAACCCCGCGTAAAAAAAAATACCTCAGGAGAATTGAAATGGCAAGTGTCTGCTGACTGTACTTGCAAGATGTAATAACCGCAAGCTTTGGAGTACACCCCATATATTCTACAAAGAAACAGGGGAAAAGATGTGATATCAAAGAGTGTTCCGATATCTCGTGTCTTTCTATTGGAGGGTAAGATTTGGTACTTAAAGTAATAAACGGGTTGACTTAAATGTACACTTTATGGTTCATCAATATATTGATAGCTTAACAAATTACCAGATCTAAGGATTCAATGTGCAGTATATCATTGACTGTTAAGGCAAAGTCTCTTTGATGGTAAATCATCTATGTACAATGTCACATATTTTCCATGGAATGCAATTGTGTTTAGGAAATCTCATGGTTTGGTTTCATCTCTGTATGGCCTGTTACGATTCTTTTTGTTATATAATCTGGCCTCTTTTCGTGTAGAGTATATTACTCCAGCGTGATAATATGAAGTTTTAGCTGTGTAGTCAAATGTAAGTCCTTTACAGTCCTTTTCAGCAGTTTCAAGGACGCGGGTTTCCTGAAACAAAATGACAGAGCTGAATATGCCAGCACAAACTGACAGATCGGTATGACCAATAACGCATAAGTCTGGCTTGAAATGGATTATTGGCTTGCTGCAGTCTACAGTGTAGGTTAACTTTGGGATCCATCGACATCAAAATTCATTTGTTGAGAGTGTTTAGTGAGAGCATGAAGGAGCTCTGAGCGCTATCTTGACCTGCTCCACTGACCAAAAGCTGTCACGAGGGCTTCCCAAAACGCTGGAATCGCTTCTTCGTCCGCTACATCCTTGAACGACGGAAAGTAGTTGACATCAACAATTACGTAGTCCTTCGTTCCTGCTTGCACCTGACTCAACCAACCGAGCCACGAACTGCGTCAGCACTCGGTAATTCTTCTTCACGACACGACACGACTGGACTGCAGTCACATCACCTCAACAGGAGCGGTCAGTGCGTACCACGATGTCGAAGCCTATGATCGTCAATCCCAGCTTCTTACTTAGCCAGCTGGCCGCCATCTGTACAGCCTCGTTGTCCAATTCGCTCGACTCCTCAGGAGCCCCTTGCCCTTGTGGAATCTCCATGTCCGCTTCTACCGGAAGTGACTTCAAGCTGAAGCCAGAAACGCCGATAAATAACATTAGACCCTATCCTTCACGCGGTAACCTCTGACTACGTACCACAACCATGCATTCGTCATGATCGTGGTTAACTGCACGGTCGGGGCAGCAGTGAGGAAATCGTAAGCGGATGGAGTTTTTATCAAAGCATTCATAAAATACCTGTCAAACAATATTACAGGAGAACCCTCATTGCCGGCAGCAAGTCTGGACGCGTTAGGAGTGGATTTCCGACGTGAATACAAAAGTTTACTGCCAACCACGTACATCTTGTACTGGAACGCTCCATGGTCAACGTATTCCTGCGTCCAGTCCAAGGAGTGAGTGACGATGCAAATGCAGTCGTTTCAGAATGGCACAATTCCTCGTTACTTAATACACTAAGCATCTGGCTGGTCTTCCTCTGCCTAGTTTGTCAGTGTGACAGTCGTACATGCTTTGAGGATTTGATTGATGTACTACCTGGATAGTGGCTGGCAGAGGAACTGGGAGTCCTCTGAAGCCATTGAGATCGAACACAATGGCCTGCATCATTTGCACAAAAGAAGGACGTCAGAATCTCGTCTTGTGTCCACTTGTAAGATATCACCGACCACAGCTCGAGTTAGGAGTGACCATTCGCTCCTCCTTCACATCCTATCTCCATCTCTCGAAGACATCACGATAGCAGAATTTCTAACGAATTCAGAGCAACAAGCCAAAGATCTTTTCTCTGAGGTTTGAACACATGAACTCACCATAGAGTGGGACTCCGAGGCTCCACAAGCAATTCGGGGTTTCACAATTGTTGGCAGCACCACGTTTTGTGAGCCTAGTGCTTGTGACAGCAGTGGCTCTTCAAACGAAGTTACCTGGCAAGGAAGGAGAGAGATCACCGCAATCGTAATCTAGAGTTCTTCTACCATTCAGACTATACGCCCCTGAGGCTTTGTCAAATACAACAAATTCAAGACAAAAAGCTACAGAGCATGTAGGAGCGTATCAAGAACTCGACCAACATTTAGCTTTTCCATATTCCATAATCCATAATCCTGCTGCTTCAGTGCAGATCAGAAACTGATTTTTTATGCTTTTCAGCTTTGTATGGTTAGTGATACAGACCTCCACGGAACGAGGGGGCCTGATAATCTGCTGAGCAGGTATTTTCAGACCTTTCAAAATTGCCTGTGTTGAAACACGGTCCAGGAGTGGCAAAATCCGCTCGATGGGATCTATCACACATATTTCTGCATGCTCCTGCAAATAACTGTTCGAGATTAAGAGATCACAATAACGAGATGCGATTCAAATTCACATTATTCACATCCATCCATTAATATCTCTCTCCGTAGCCAACAATAAAACCATGCAACTCTGTCATAAGGTGACTATATTTTGGTAGACATTTTGCTCCACTTATCGGTGAGAAGTTATAAAGGAGCGCGGCAAAGAGATGGAACAAAGCCTTGATTGTTGCTGTGAAGAGTTTCACCTTTGGAGGTTTTGAATCCCCTGAGAAAATTCGATTGAAGCCAAGGTCCCGAAGTGTCCAGGATTGACGCTCACAATTTCATCAGTAGCTTTATGAAGAATAACGTCCACAGCCAAGAGCTGTTTCTCTAATGGTTGATTTAACTGGAGAGCTACGAAACTAAGCCCATAGCTATTTCGAAGCATTGGTAAGGCACCCCTCTGCAGTGAATATAAGAAGACATCCACGTTAAGGATCAAAATGATGTCACAATCAGTGAAAGTTTCACTACAATCTAGAGTGACGATAATCAAGTGGAACTTCAGGATTCCATTTTCTTGCAAGATCAAACACACTAAAAGCTGTGCGTAAAGGGTACAATGTCTTTTCCTTAAGAGTTTCTTGGCACCTTAAGAAATTCCAACTCTCGGCTCCATTTCATTGTATACCCAACCACCACGATCCTGTCCTTCAATGCCTGTGAAACTCAGGGAAAGCATCAGCACACAAGAAGTTTCTTCGACTTGTGTGAAGAAGTACAAAACTACTCCACAAACTACACTCATCTGCTCATCAAGGACCATTAACTAGGTATCTCAGGGAGGTATCTGAGCACCTTGAAGTTATTATTTTAAGCCAAGACAGCCTACGAAGCATTGATAAGTCGCAGTCTGAAATTTACAACAAAATAAACAAAAAACCCTCCATGCTCGAGTAAGGAACCACACCCTCTTATTGAGCACTGCAAGAGCAGCAGGAATCTCATAAAGCTGTTCCACAGTTAGTAAAGAGCCATCTGTGTCCCCATTTCCAAGTCCTGCAATCAAGTTGTTATCGGGTAATCAGAATGATACATTTCACCTTGAGGTAGTTTCTAAAGATTTTGATCTATCAGTAACCCCTTTCTAGAGTTAAAGGTGACAAATTAACGGAAAACGATTGAGTGGCACTTCAAATTTGTGGTAAGGCATCCACAAACCTGACCTGCAAAAGGTTGTGCAGCAACTCTGATAACTTTCCAGCCTTGGCTACTGAGATCCCCGTCAACTCGATGGGGATGCTGACCAGTAATATAAACAGATGATGTAAAAGGTACAGCCCATCCTGCTGTCATCAAAGCCTCTGTCGGAGAGGAATTTGAAAGCAACCTTACATATCGTAGGGATTCTGCAACTCCAATGTCCCGGAGCAGAAATTCCTGCGGACGGGTGCGCATGACAAATATGCGTCAGGTGACTGTTTGAGAAATATAGCTCAGCTACAAGTGTTTCAGTACAAGCAACCTGCTGAACATCATCAATTGGAAATCAAAATTCCATCCAATAAACTGCAGTGGAATTTCGATCAGTGGAAAGTTTGTGAGAAAAACTTCAGCAGGGAAATACTGATGATATCAACAGCTGCTACAGTTCATACCTTGTTAGAACCCACATCATAATCGTCTTCTCTTTGAAGGAGTCCCTGTCACCAAAACAAGCGAATCAGTCCTGTAAATGCTTACAAGTCGTTGTCTGAGAAATTTAAGCCATACAAGGTTAGGTTCTAGCTCAAAGCAGACGTAGTTTAAGATGAGGGAGTAGTAGCGACAAATATCTTGATGTTACTGACCACGTAGAACCTGCAGAGTACCACTGGATTAGTAAACACAGTGTGCAAACGTATGTATCGACCTTAAAATGGAAAGAGCAGAATCAAGGGCATTGCAAAGAACACGAGATAAAAAGGGAGGCAGAGAGCAAAGTAAATCCAGCTTTCGTATAATTCATGCAGCAAGAGAAAATGGTTGGAATAGAAGGCATGCAAATTCCTGTATTGTAAGAGTAGGTAAATATTACGAGCCGATAGTATTATACAATTCCCAGGGTTTGGAGTTTGGTAACAAAGATCCAATTGATAGCAGCTAAGATGAAGTCTCGACTGATCTGATTAAGCGAACAGAAATCAGGAAGTTTTGAGAACGTTTCGAAAACCAGTACTGTGATGCGCACCAAGGCACCGGATAAATGCATGGAATCCTTTGCTATCTTACAAATCTAGGCGAAATTCCAGCATACACACCGGAGGAATATGAACGGGTGGTTCGAAACTAGTGATGTGGACTTGAACACACAGAGAACTACAGGGAATTGGGTGCAACCACAGGGATTCACGCAATTTTTAGCAAAGGAATGCAACGTGGAAGAAGCGGCTTCCTGGAACTAAATCCCTGGATCACTATGTTGCCAATGCTGGACAACTACCGAAAATCGTCGAGCTTCCGTTCTGAAGTTTGAGCTGCGTCTGAAGCTAAGATCCAAACTACAGCAGCAAGGTAAGAGCGCAATAATAGTGGAGCGGATCCAGAGAGGAGAGAAGAGGAGAGGAGAGGAAAGATCCAGAGAGTACCAACCAGACACAATCGGGAGTACTGCAAGCGACTCAGCAGCTGGTGCGCATCAGGTTGGAAGTGCAGAACTTTGCCTGATTTGAACAGCAAACTCTCATCGATCAACACTCCCTGCACGCCTTCCATGTCCATTTTGTTTCACAAGGCGCTTCCAACATTCGATCGCATGATCCAAATTCTCCACTCGATTGTGTCCGGCCTGCCAAGAGACCAACAGCAGTAAGTACTCCTGTCGGAATTGCAGCTCTTACGAACTCCTCTTCACTGATAGAACTACGTACCGTACGCAGTCGGCCCTCCGATCGAACTACGTACAATGGGGACTGAATCTCAGGCATAGCGCCTTCCGAGCCCTTGGGAGGGACCGTCCCGTCGCGTCCCGTCCCAAGAAAGCGGAACTCTGTCGATGTGGAGAGCAAGAGGGACGCGCTGACGTGGCGGCAGTGTGGCACTTGGCATCCGACGTGGCGAGGCCTTCCATCCTCTGCAAGCTTTTCCTGTTTCGGCTGTTTGTCGCTTCTGGAGTCCTGGTTTCACTCCACACCAATTTCCCGCCCTACTACGGGAGGGTGTAAAATTAACTTAACCGCCGTTCACTAACCTGACCATGGTCTGCTAAACCTGACCAGGGAAGCTCCTCGGGAGTAGGGCCCGTCCTGAGTCGACTCTGGCAATGTCTACGACAGAATTGCGCAATTGGTGCCTCTCGCTTCTTTACGATGATTCGAATTTGCGCAAATGTCAATCGAATTGATCTTTTCTATAAGGTCCAGCTCTTGGTATTGTGATGAGAAAGATCAAGCTTTCTTCTTCCTGTTCAGTTCGCCAGTTTCCGGGCGGGGCTTCGTTTTTTTCCCTCTGGAATAGTGTGACGTAATGTCAGTGCGGCGGCCAGATTCATCGTGTTGTTTAAATTTTCAGATCAGAAACACTGCGATGGAGAAAATTCACGGCAGAGGAGGGATGAGGAGGGATTGAATCACCAGATTATTATGAGATGCTCTTTGTGGTTTTCTGATCTCACATCAGACGTTCTCATTTTGTACATTTGTCTGATTGGTCTACTTTGCTGCGAAGCGTGGAGCGCGCCATGAGTCTAATTTTTTGGTGAGGTATGTTTTTTAATTTGGTGTGTAGTCGTATTCTGTTTCAGACAGCCGGTGCATTGAAGGGGAGTCGAAATTAATTTTTATGCTTGACGATGAGTTTGCGTATTCCCGAGTATACCAGAGTTTGGTATGACGATTGTAAGTTGAATTCAGTGAGAGCTAATGGGAAGCATTGTGAATTGCTTACATGCGGAGCTGGAGTTATCACGAGTTCTTTTGCTGTGGAGATGGTGACGTCATGGTGTCATTTTCTGGGATTCGCAGTCTTGCGGAAAGGAGTAAGCTTTAAAAGTCAGCGGATCGTAGAAGAAATGCGACTTTTACGCTCTATGTAAACCCTGAAGGCCATCAGCAACGGGATGGACGCGTTAGTTTCTGCAGCACTGCAGGAACTGGCGGTGGAGGGTCCAGAAGGTAACTCCACTCAATATCTTAGTGCATTGTTTTTGTTATGATTTTCTGCCTTACTTGTACAGCTTTCGCCTCGATTAATTTTGCTGATTGAGATTCGTCAAGAACGAAAATATGATCGTCCAGTAATTCAGCTCGCGATAAGATGTGCATGAAGTCTGTGACAAAAGTGACCGTACATCGTTCGTGTTTGCAAACTTGGCTGTTGCCCGGCAAAGAGTGGTCTCTCTTTAAACTTCAAAATTTGCTCCCTGCAATCTGCTTGTGAAAACAGGATGCACGGTGACAAAGCTCTGGACTTTACTGCAACCTGCCGCTGCTGAACTCGATATTGAACTCGCGGGACGTCCTAAGCAGTTCTTATGGCAGGAATTGTTGGAAGTGACGGATATCGAATTCTCACTTCCCAACTCTGGCCCTATAGATGCCTCAGATCCCAGACTTCAAACTGTAGAGTCAGCTGAATTGTTAGCAGTACAACTAGTGGCACCCGAGGCTTTACGAGATAGTTCTCTGGGGTTGTACGACTTGAAGGTCTGCGATGCTCGTCTATCGAAGGAGCAACGAAGTATTCTGGAGCGTATTGCAAAATCTCGGTTAGTTGTGACGTACCTGGTCTCTCAAAATCCTCACCAGTTTAGCACGATAGTCTATAGGACGTGACTCTGGAGTGACGTTCAGTTGGTTTCGTAGACTAGAAGTTCATATCGTGTTATTCCCATTACCATACAGTTACGGGTCTTCAGTATTTGTTCTGGCGACTCTTTCGGTAATTGTAAAAGTTCTCCACCTTGCAGGACTAAAGGTATCACTCAAAGTCAGCTTGCAAAAGAGTTCAAGGTTGCGGGAAATAAAATATTCTATCTCGTCAAAATGCTCGAAGTAAGAGGTCTTGTAGTGCGCCAGACAACCCTCGTGCGCACTGCCGAGGGAAAGGCGGCAGGGACTAAAGTGCCCATTGTTGCTACCAACCTGCTGCATCTGACTCGTTTTGCGAAAGATGTCACATTGTCTTCACACCAACGATTTGAAATCATGAATCCATCGAACGAAAATGGTTTAGAAGCAGGAGGTTCCATCGGCGATGACGCTGAGGGAGATGAAGTGGGAGCTGCAACGAAGGCTAGTGATATCATCATCAAAGATGACTTTCCAGCCATGGAGGAAATTTGTCAGCGGCTAGAAGAAACAGAGGGGAAGGTATATGATAGATATTGTTTTCATTCCCAAAATTAGTATACGACGACAGGACGAAAGTACCACGTCTAAATCTGGTCAATATTGAGTAGAGAAACTTTGCATCTGAACAAGAAACACAGTTTGTAGCTCCTAACATCAGCATATTACTTCAGTTTTTCACTTATGCTTTCCTTGTCTGTACCATGATGTTAAGCTCTCAACATTTGCACTGATAAATTTTCTGGACGTAGGTCCTGGTTGTGGCTGATCTTAAAGGAAGCTTGGGTTATCGCAAGGCATTAGGGCATCGAAATTGGCGAAGAGTATGATTCCTAGACAAGAACTTTCTTTCTGCCATATTGCAGTTCAGGGATTGGCAGGTTTGGTGTTTGAAATGAAAACCTTGTGCCTTGCAATTTAGTCTGGTTTTTGGTTGAGGTAAGTTATTTGCAAGAGATGATGAAAGTTGTTTTACTCTGCAGCTGATGAAGAGACTCCAAGATGCTGGTGTTGTGGACGTCTTCAATGCGCAGATTGATCGCAAGGTTAAACTCTTTCCTACGCTGGATTTACAAAAAAGTTGCAAGCTGATAACTCTATTCGCTATACTAGAAGAAAATACACAAACGCATTTAGTGACTTGTGAATGGATGAAGATTGAACATAAAGATCATGCGACCTGTTGTTGTCCAGATTCCAGGAGAAGAAAATTATCAGATGTTACACATGTCATTGAGGAGGATCTCTGAAGTGAATATGACTTGAATCAGTCGAAAAGTTAGATAGAAATGAAAATATTGTAAGTCTCCACTCAGCAGCTCACAACACCATTGTGCTTATCAAGCGTTGCCAGCCTGAATATCCAGTGCACCCCTACTATCTCGAAAAGTTTCAATGCATATTGCATGCGCTAAACTGCGCAAAATTCATCCGAGAATGCAAGCAGGAGCGAAGTGCGATCTTTTCGTTCAGGATAGTTGCTCGTTTTAGAGTGTAAGAATCTTTCGGTATGACGCGTCCACTACGGCGACACTATACCAGTGGTTTTGTCCTTGTAGTCTTTGATGAGCACTTATGTGTTTTCTGTTTCAACACAAATTTAGTCACACTTTTAGAAGTAAAGAATGATAATAAAGCTTTACCACACCGTGGACATCAGTTATAAGATAAGATTTCTCAATGAGAGCAGGGTTAGATTCACGAAACTTCGTTACGACGGTGAAACTGAATGTAATACACGAAATTGCCTGTTGAAATTAAGAAGTAAGAATTGAGGAAGTACTCTAGGGTCTGCTGATGTTTTTTAACTGAGCTATAACGTAGCCTGTAGAAGTAGGTAAATCATGGACAAGATGTGCCTGATTAGTGTGGACCATCTGGAGGTCCAATAACACATTTCACTTATTGCGGTTTACTCCTCTCAACACAGCGCACGCATCACAATATATATACTCATTGTAGGACGTCATATAGAATATTCGAACGAAAGTCTTGTGCCTAGAAGCAAGGAATGTGTTCTAAAATAAAGTTTTCGGGTTTCCAATGCTTCCTGGTTCGCTATCAAATGTAATGTATAGTAGTTTTCTTACACCTTCCATTATAGTAGTCACTCATTATAATTGACCAGCGTCAACGTTTTAGTTGTCGGTCTTTGGAATCCATGCAGTGTCAAAAGCAAAACTGGCCGAGCTTGATTATGTTTGGTTTTTCTCATCGACTTTATATCTAGGTTCGCAACATAAGCAACCGGCAGAGTTACACATAATTCAGTTGGAGCACCAATAGCCGGAGTACTTCAAGGTCGACAGCTTTCAGTAATATGGCGAGTGTTTAGTTTGGTTCCAAAGAACTCTTGGGGTCAAGAAGCAATGGTGAACAATAGCCTCTTGCAGACTGTGTGTTTGATTTCCTACCGTGACCTTTTTTTGTCAATCCAGGTTCTACCTTGCCTTCGGTTGCTCAAGTCTTTCGATGTGAAGTCGCTCAGTGGTGGAGTTGAGGAGGTGGACACCGAGAATGGGTCAAAGCGCGAAAAGAATTCAGAAATGGTGATGGAGCTTTCCATTGATCAGCAAATCTACCACCTTGTTTCTCAGTCTGGAACAGATGGCGTGCAGATGATGGAAGTGAGTCTTCGCTCGTTGTTGTTTTACTTCTTTACCTCAACGAGACTTTCTACTGTTTCAACAACTACCTAAGCTGAGGATGATTTCTGTTATCTTCCCATCTGTAGTTAATATAGTCCTCGCTTTCCACAGTAAGAATTAATATTACTCTTGTTTCCCATTCTATAAGTGTTTTGTAATCATATCTCCCCTGTATTGGTTCTGTCAGTATATTTTCGATCGTCAATTTCAGACGAATGCGTAGGGGCCAAATGGGAAGTTCTCATTCTGTAATCATTATGAAGTCTTTCCTTATGACAAACTCGGAGCAGAAGGCTGTTGCAGAAGCACTCGTCTGCTGCTTTTCTGATGCCTGAACTGTAGTTTGCAGTTTATTCCCAAGTATAACCAATTATCTTATTTACGTATCGAGCTATTTGTAGGTGTTCAATCGACTCGGTTTACAGAACAAACGGAACTACTGTCGTGTTGCAACCATGTTGGCAAGGCAATGTCTCGTTTCTGAGGCTGAAAATCACAAGAGGTCAACTTTATACCGGCTGAAAACAATAAATAATTCTTATAGTGCTGCTCAGACACAAGCTCTAGTGTCTGCTGAGGGTCAAAAGGTTAAGACCCTTGAAATTGCAGCCAGCTCTCCGACTTCCGCATCCGGCAGGGACGATGCTCTTATTCTGCATCCCAAGGAAGCTGGCACGAGTTTGATGAAGACCGTGAAAGAAGTCAAGCAGCAAGGAAAAAAGACAAGACGCAGCAGAAAAAAGCCGGAGTCTGTTCAGGAAGGAGAAGGGAGAGCAAAGAATACACAGGTCTTGTCTTTATTGAACAAGGATGTTCTAGTATCGGATAGAGAAAACAAAGGTTCAGAGGCTGGTCTTCAAGGGCTTGAAAAGACATCTCTGGTACCTGTTGTTCCTATAAGGACAACTCAACCTCATTCAGGAGTCCAAGTCTCTACAACTCGAGCTCAAAGAGAACAACGCATACTTGAAAAGCTTCAGGTGATTATTGTGTATACCGTTCGCCCTCGTATGACGCTTTTTGAGTGAACGGTCAACACAGGTCACCTCCCAGGCATGGGGCGGGGTATGGTCTTCAGGCTATGTCAGGCCTATGCTACTGAATACAGTTCATCTCTTCATGCTACGAATGTGATTCTTTATCCACGAATCAGATTTTATGAGAATGATGCTGAACGAGCTTTTTCTTGTATCGATTCATGTTCGTGTTTCTCACAGGTAGAAAAGTTCGTTTTGCGGGTTGAGCTCCACAGATGGTTAGAGGATTTGGAAGATCGAAAGGGTACCATGATGGACAGGAAAACGCTGACTCGCATTCTTCAGGCTTTCCAGCGTGACGGTCTTTGCAAATGTGTGTTACTCAGTATGCCCGGTCTAACGAACTGTGGAAGGCAACGGACTGTCGAGGTTGTGCTTCTCCCGTCGGTCATTGTTGATCTAGATGTGCTGAACAAAGTGCACGATAGAGTCAGGAAGTTTGACATGGATAGCAGGGGCCATGGTCAATCCAAAGTGAAAGGTAAAGACGATGTACCTATCCTTGAAGGTGTGAAAAGGATGTCTACCGGGATGCTAAGAAAGAAAAACGGAGCAACAAAGTTTGATGTCCCGACTGACGGTAGTTGGTCGATGCAAGCGAACGGCTTCATCCCCGCAAAGATGGTCCGAGTGAGCATGCTGCATCATTTCTTGTGGAACTATGTCAACAACCTCCCTGATGAGTCGGAGAGACTTGCTCGTTCTGGAATGTCTGAGGAGATTGTAGGAAGCTGCAGAATCTTTGCTCTTTCCAGCGCCATACAAACTATGCCTCTGGAGCTTTTTTTGCAGATCATTGGTTCAATTCATAAAGTTGATAGTGCTCCTCAATGGTGTAAGCAAGGGCTGCAACTTTGTGAACTTCCGAAGGAAGCTTTCTCGATACTTCTTGATACAAACGCTACAGGACGACTCTCGTGGCTTGTAGATGTTCTCCGCAGATTGAAGGTAGTTACTTTTGTTATTAGAGTAATTCTCGACCTTCACAGAAAGTGTTGTATGCAAGAACTCAAAAAACAGTTGGAATTGCCAGATTATTGTACAGATGAGGCCGCTCTTCTATATAAGTGAATTCTAGCAAAATCTCTGCAAGTGGCGATTTATTTGTTTGTTGTCAAGTATGGTGGATTTATTTTTACATTGATTTGAAGTTGGTCAGGCTTGTAATGGGTTGCGGAAGTGGAGCACAAGGCGATGAGCAAGATCTGAGGAAAAGTTCACTCTCAGCCGTGCTTACTTATGCCTTGGAAAGAGAACCATATCTTGAAGAACCGGCTCCCAGTCCTCTTCCATCTTGTAACTTAGATAATTATGACACATCTCCACGGGCACGGCACGAGTTCAGCATCGCCACCAAGGATGGGTTGGACGCATATTGGCAAACTCTTGAGTACTTCTATTCAGGAGCTCAACCTGCACTTGCTCGACATGCCTTCCCAGGATCTAATGTACCTGAGGTACTTTACATTCGTTCGTCTATCTTAATATGGAGACTAAAAGTACCCGCACTCGAGGAGTATATCTTTTGTGTTTTGATGGTGACATATTTTTATCGACAGTCATCTCCAGACCCTCAACATCAAGTTTCATCTCAACCTCTTTGACTTCGTAGTTCATACTTGCTTAGAAAGTGTTTTTCTTCTCGCATGTTTGTTGTTTTATATTTACAGCCGTCTTGTGATTGTCTGTGACAGCTATTTGGTTTGCGTTCATGGACATCCCTGCGCCTAATGAGTACTGAACAACGTACCGAATTGTTGAAGCGGATTGGGGCTGGTGGTATCGACAAGCGTAAGACGGCACAAGAATGTGTTCAAATTGCCAAGGACCTGAAATTGACTTTGGAGCAGGTCCTTTTCTTGACTCTGCTCTTCACTTTAGCTCAATATGCAACGGAGAAGTTTTGATGATTCAGCATTGTATATATTCTGTATGTACCAGCGAGTAAAGGGTAACAGCAGTCATGCATCTCCTTTTCGGGGAAAACTTGGTTTTTCTAATCTTCGAAAAAGTCTCATCCTTGCAACAACTCCCATCATGAGAGAGACCTTCTTCACGTTCAATTAGTTCTCTCTTTATCCACCTACCTCTATCTTGTCTTCTACATGTACCAAACTTCTTGTTATTAGCCACGCCACGACAGCCATATACTAAAGATGTCCGTTCACTGACGAGTTCCAAAAAGTATGCACAGTCAAACACACTGAAGCATTTGTTATCTCTGGCTGTTAAGAGCAATATTGGGATGATCATTTCAATTCAATATATGCAAAGAGGTGCCTGCTGATGTTGTCCTCATCGATGTATTGATTTGATCTGTTCTATTCATATTTAAGTACACTTATTTTCCTAAATCAAAGCCACATCTGGGTGTGAGCCGAAGAGCAATCTTTTAGGAGCGTTAATATACTCCAATACTTATAACATTCAACACGATGACTTCGCCTTGGTTGTTTCGGGATCTTTCGTGAAGTTAGACTTCATCTAGTTGACCACATATACATTTTCACAAATTTCGAATAGCCCCAACTTCGTATGACAATGAACTGTGAGGGATGTAACTTGTGTTAAGTAGATGTTTAGTTCTTTTTTTCATCTATTATTACTAGGAGCTGAAGACTTCAGTTCCTCTTCAATACAAAGTCTGATCACCCTCCTAAACTTTATGTTTTCCATTTCTTAGAAAGTATACCGAGAGTCTTTGCGATGTGTTCTTTACAGGATGCGATGTGTTCTTTACAGGATGTGTTACTGCATGTCTCTTCTTGATGTTATGTGGACATTTTCTTCAGCCGCTGGCTGTTCAATCCGAATGTTGTCCCGGTTATACTCATGTAGTAAAGCCGTCAGAGCTATGTCCGGCCTAATTTGTCTTAATTTTGTGACGGATGTGTTTGTTGAATCTTAGGTACTAAGAGTTTCGTATGAAAAGAATAGAATCTATCGCCTACAAACCTTGGCAAAGACTGGTCAGATCTCGAAAAAGCGAGCAATAGTTTCAGGGGATTTTCCGGAACCTTCTCATGTGAAGGCCTACAAAAAGCAGCGCCAATCAGAACTAGAGGTACGGGTCAACGAGACCGAAGTAAATACCAACAAAGAGAATTCACATGCAGCAGCTGGAGAAGACGGTCCAGCACACGAAGAAGAGGACGATGATGAGGATGAGGACGATGATGACACTGAAGCAAACCGTGAACAGCCAATGAATGACTTCAGTTTTGTTGCTAATTTGAAACCTTCTCGTCAACGGTCCCGACGGTTTATTTGGTCAGAGAGGCTCGATCGGTGAGGTTTCAGGACCATGCAGAAGCAACGCAGTAAATTTGGTTTCTTCTGAGTGCTCACTTCTGTTATGCGCTGATATTTGGCTATATGACGGAAGATCATTTATATTACGTAAGACATCAAGTTTGTGGAACTACTTGTGGTGAAACTAACTTTTGTAATGGACGTGCAGGCTGTTAATTTCTGCTTATGTGAAGCAACGGGCGAGGTTGGGTGCAGTTTACCCTCGAGTAGATTGGAGTACCATGGAAGACCTCCCTGCCCCTCCTTCAGCATGTCGACGAAGAATGTCTCAGTACAGGCATGACGTTGCCGTAAGGAAGGCGATCATGAGCTTGTGTTCTCTTATCGCAGCTCGTTATCTCAAGCACATTGAGTTACAACGAACTCGAAGTGGAGATTCAAATCATCCAGCACATGTTTCAGATACAGTAAAAAGGAATCAAGGCACAGATGGGCAGTTAGAGGGTGACAACACTGAGAATGAATATAATTGGGATGATATGAGCGAACCCTTCCTTGCTGCAGCCCTTGATGAGATATTACGATGCAAAAATGCAGCCAGAGCATCTGCAAGTAAGCGTTCTGGTTCATCTGGTACGAAAAAAGGACGAGATCCGGATAGTGATGCAGAGCCACTGGTTGACGGTGTGGCTGGACAACATGATGTCCATTCATCCTTACACAGTATTCCTGACGCAAGTCATCGGGCCTTTGCGACAGCAAGGGCTATCTCCTCGTTGTCATCCGGTCTTCCTTTCTCCCAAGCACATCTAAGTCGGTCGATGCCCATCGAAGGCAAGGATGCCAATCCGGCTGATGACGACAGTCTCACCAATAGTGGGGGCACAAATACTGGTCGTTTCATGGTCGCTCCTGGTCCTACTCGTAGGATCCGTAAGCATTTCCCAAAATTATTGCGGAAGCCGTCTGGTGTACTTGAACTGACCACTGAACAGCAAGTGCGAAAGTCTGTTGGGGTCGCTAACGCCGTTGAGATAGTCAAGCTAGTGCTACTGAATAGCATAAATGTGAAGGAGTTGGTTGGCACCCTGGTAGACGCAGTTCAACGATTCAGAGAGGTCGAGGTGTTCACGGCTGTCAAGTACCTGCGTGAACAAGGCCTGCTGGTCTGAGTCACTACCCAGTCATCAATCTGAGATTTTGATTTCTAAAGAAAGTCAGAGCAATTGAAACGTAGATGGTAGGTTCTTGAAGTGAATGAGCTGTGATTATGGAACTTTCTTATACTCGGGATGCCAATATCCAGACGATTTACTGATCACAATTTTACTCGGCTGGATATGTTTCGCTGACAGATGGCGGGCCAGGGTACCAAAACCTTTGTTCTCTCTCCTAAGTTCTTCCATGATTGCTCTGCATCTAGATTTCCTATGGGAACTGGTGATCAGTCGCTCATAACAAGGCAGTGGCTGGACGAACGTTCAGAAAAGATTGGGGAGGACTGGGTTACCTTACCTTCACAACAGCAAGCAGGTCAACTTTCACACCTTCTCTCCCTAGTGTCGTCGGGGGAGTTTACTCTTAATCCTTCTGTTCCAGTGAATGACATTGGTGAGGTTGAGGAAAAGACTACTCGGAGGCCCGCCTCGCAGAGACCGTCGTCGTTGCAAGGAGAGGATGGCCGTCATATGAGACTTCAGCATCGGATATCAGTAAGTGCTTCATGGGCTTGTGAGAGGAGAGAAAGAGGGTTTCCTGGAATTGACGTGTGCGTCACCCGTTCAAGTAGATCACTTTGTGATATTCTGAGTACATATGCCAGTGGAGATAGCATCAACCACGACCTTTCCCCGCAATCAATATTTAGCGACGACGACTGCCAGGTCTCTTCTCTGAAGGTTCCTGACGAGACACAAGTGATTGCTCCAGTCGATGACATACATTGTGAAAGGGCTAGTGACTGCCTTGGCGCAGGCAGAGACCTATTTGGCCAGGATTCAGCTATCGTACTTGACACGACAATTCCAGATTTTGATATGTCAGATGATATTGGAACTAGAAGCAAAGAGGTGCTTGACACGTCAACTACAAGCAGACGGGCTGAGCCTATGAATGAGATTGGCAGTGTGTCCGAGTGTACTCTTCATCAGACTGCTGAAGGTGATATGATGACAAGTGATGAACATGCCACCATCTCTGAGGAGTGTAAAGCTCTAAATCTAGTTGCTGCGGATGGGAGCACGACAATGTCTTTCATTGGGAATGTTCTTGGTCAGACTCTAAGCACTAGTCCAGAGGTTACTACTAGTGTTATGGAAAGTCCTGAAGGACAGGTTTCTGATCACTTGACTAAGAACACTGAGACCGATTGTCCGGATGTTGCGGTTATCGTCGATGAAGGTAGTAGATTACAAAATGAGCAGGAATCAGAAAGATCTGATGCAAATTTGGATGCTGACCGTCTTACTGCGATTACTTTAGATAGAGAATCTGGAGGTGGACCTGTAACCTTAGTTCAGAGCTCATCGACTTCGAAGTTAGAGAAGTGTGTTCTATATTTCTCTGAGCAGAATGAGAGGGAGGTAGATAGTGGAACACGTTTGAATCCTGACCTGCTGCGGGCAGCATATAGTGCTATTGAACGAGCCGGTGAAGACGGTCTAACACCTGAGACGTTACAAGAAGATCTGCAAAGCAGTGGTATAAATATATGCTGCCCTGATCGTCGAAGTTTGTCCACTTTATGTCAGATTTCATCATCAGAACTCAGAACTACGTAGTTTTTTAATCAGTTCCTATGTGCATAGAAGGCACAGTTGGAAAATCACTTGACATCTGTGGTCTTCTTTTGCAGGACTCTGTAACGCAGGGTATTCATTCAATGCTGCTGGTTATGTACAAGCCCTGGAGGCCTTTAGTCTTGTAAAGAAAGTAAGATGCCCTTGTCGATCTAAATGATCTTTCTCTATTTTTTTCAAGTTCTGCTGTTTCGTGCGTGCTTTAACCTAGTTCTAGGTCATCGACCCCAAGATCCTCGACTCAGAAACATATTACTCACGTTTGATTGCTTCTTGTGTCAGGTGAATGCTTTTGACCACGTTCGAATCTTAGAATTCTCACAAAGTAAGCGCTTTCATCTTAACATTCTACCGAGAAATAAAGAGAGTAAAAAACGAAAATCCAGTGGTTACACATACATCGATGACAGACAACGCAAGAATTTCTCTTCAAACACCATAGGCTATCCTGGGGGATCTGACCTGTCCGCTGGAGCGAGTCGAAGAAGGCTAGATGAGGCCTCCGCTTCTGCTGCAGAGGTTTCTAGAGTTGGTGAGCATCGGGTCATCTCATTGCGGCGTAGTGACGATGATTTTGAAGATGCAGAGAGCACTGTCGAACTAGTTTCGATTGTTCCCTGGTTGAATGGACATGGTGCTGTTCATCCATCTATGTCGAAGAGCCTCACCCGAAGGGTAATGGGTATAGTTTCACTACATCCCGGCATAGCTGAGGTACGTGAAATCACTGTTTAGTGTTTCCGCATTCATCGTGGAAAAGGCTACTCTACGTGTTGAGTGAGTTTTCTAAACTGGAGTCGAGAAGATTTTGCTTTCTAGAAGCGAACTCGGTAAATTTAAACGTCATCCATTGTGATTTCAATCTTGAAGAGGAAAGCCTTATAACATACAACTTACTGGTATGTCAAACAAGAAAATGAGGATTGTGATTTTATTTTAGTCGAGTAGATGTAGTGAAAGGTTATCTATAATTCAATTATTATGACTTGAAGAACCTATTCAGCTTCTTTAAAATCACATCTTATTTCACGTAAAGTTCTATTTAACCTGAAACCTTTGAGCTTTCAAACATGCAGGATGCGCTTATTGAGCAGTTGAATGTTCTCAATCCTCAGGTAAGAATATTTCGCGTTTGTTTTACGATGAAAGTTGATACCTTAGTATGGATCCTTAATGGGCTCCTTTTGCAATAATTGTCAGGATGTCATCATCCTTGTGTTTAGAGTTAAGGATTTAGTGTTCAAATCCTTCGTCATTTGCGAAGTTGATACTGGTGGATATAGTTTGTTTCCGTCAGAGATTGTTCAATCAAGTAACATATTAAACTAAGTTCAAAATTCTGACTGTATCGGTGTGTGATATTCAGAGTACATGCCAGCTCCTTCAACTTCTTGAGGCGGATGGTCATCTCATATCTAGACCAGTCATGCAGACAAAGGCGGAAGCTCCGAGATTCCTTCAAAAGCTGATAAAAAGGATTGCTTTGACAGACGCTCCCCGATATATGAATCATTATTTTGCTAATCCTTTGTCGGGAGGTTTGTTATAGAACTGAAAGTATATCACAATGCATTCTAGTCCACGGTGTCAAATGCTGTTGCCGCTTCTGTCAATACAATTATATTGTTATCACATCTTTGTATTGAAGTGTGAATCAAGAGAATCCAATTTGCAGATCTCTTCCTAGTCCAAAGGCCACGGCCACTTATCCGCTGCATATATGCTGAGCTTACTCGTTTCACCCCCTTCAGTATCTCTTACATTTTCTGACTGTGGAGACATACATTCGAATCTCTTGGCTCGTAGTCTATTAATATGGTTGCGATGTGGATTCATGTATGATTTCATGCGGTACCTTCCATTACATGATTGTAAGAAGAATAATTGAGATGTTCATCCGCATTAAGGTCATATGCTGCCGTTGTCCACCAACGCACGAGGTTTCCATTTATCGGAGGACTTCGACCACCGTGGAGCGTGTTATATGGTAGTCTTTTTGTTTCATGGTTCAAAAGTCCAGTGCTGGATGAAATTTGAATGCCTTTTTTGCATTTTCTGCATTTTTTGGACGTTCCTACCTCACAAGTATTTTCGGTAGGATGGGAATAATGAACGATGGTGTTTCTAACCTTGACGTTTAATGTGTGATAATGTAGTAAGTATTAACAGTCTTCATGGGACCTCGGAACGTCTGCCATATACATCGAATAGATTGATCGCTCTTTAGTTGTTCGTTCAGACTCTTGCACTTCTTTTAATCTAACGTCTATATATTCCGGGTTGTTTCGGCCTTGATCGTGATTTTTTAAGTGCGCGGCGAAAATACTTCCTGGATATACATCAATTTTTATATTTTCAAGGCTTCTCACATTTGTGGTGTCACATGAATACTAAAAAACATGGAGCACGCTCTATTCCACGTAGAGCAAGGACTATTGACCTGATCGCGATTGTGAACATTCACTATTGGCAGATGCGCTGTGGATTTAGACACCCGAACATCAAAACCTCGTTCTATAATGTCCTACTCTTTTTCGATGTGTTCAGTTTCTCTGCGTGAGGTTCGTGTGATACATTTGACGATTGTCTCGCGTATACTCTATGTATGAATCTCTTCACTCGCCGACAGGTACGGTGTTAGATCGTGTCTTTCACCCACTGAAGATGAACATTTTCGTGTCCATCTTCGTTGTCTGGGAGGTCCTCATCAACCACTTAAGTCTTACAGAAGAATCGCACTAGCGAAAGTACGTAATACATGAATTCTGGCCCTCTAGTGTTTCGAGAATTGTCCACGAGGACGAACACTACAACAGCACTACTTACTTTCTGCACGTCGTGAAAGGAGTACCAGTACCCCTCTCTCACTCTGTAAATTCTAGAGTGGCCACATCACGATGGGGACTTCAGCCAGAGGATTGCTCGATCTACCGACTGACAGCACTCCAAGCTGTGCTTATTTCTAATGGTCGATGCTCTCACTGCTCATGCCATCTCCGCCCTCTGTATCACTAGCTGTGCAATGTCGGTGGTTGTCTTTCTGTGAGCTACTCCAACGAAAGAAGTGGTTTTGTAAAGGAAGTCTTGCGTGCAGATTGAGATTTGATCGACATCACTCATGGTTCGTTCTTATTTCCTGGATTGAAACTGCCCAGGAAATCAACTCACAATGTATGCTTACAGTAAAAGAATGTCAGTTGCCCCTTTCAGTAATCAATATACACCTCAATCCCGCTGGCTGGTGGATAAGTGCATCTCGCCTTCAAGCTGAGACAGGTAAGCAATGATCAATTGTTTAACGACGATATGATTCGGATTAGCAAGTCCCGTTTGACAGTAGGATTCTGCGGACGGACTGACTGACTCATCGAGTCCAGAAGTTTGACATTGACTGGTACGCGTTCTGGAAACGAGGCTATCTGTCTACTCAGCTCACGCCTCAGGATGAGAAAATCCCTGCACATGTCACTGCACCAACAAATATAGCCAACTTTCCTCAGAGCAGGGCAAAGTTAACGAGAGGGAATAGCGAGAACTGGTTGATCCATATTTATCTCTCCCTGGGAGCGCGTGAATCCGAGTTTCCACAATTGGAGGCCGGAGTCACTAACTTTCACAATTTACGAGGTCAAACAAACAGGAAGCCAAAATGTACACCAGGCCATATCCACCAACTTGTAGGCACCTGGGACCTGCACTCCTACGGGCACCAATTGCTTCTGCAATGCCATAACTCTGAAAGACAAAACTGAAAGGGAGCAGGAGAAGACTCTCTCTCTTTCTCTCTCGTGTCCTGTAGTGAGCGCGAGCAATCGGCCATCACTCGCTCTGGGGACCGTGTGGTCACTCATACGGCAGCGATGAAATGGAGGTCAACCGCAGCCAGGAGCGGGAGCTTTTTGCATAGTCCAAGTGTTGGATCGTGACAGGGTCGCCGGTCGCAAGGGCAAGAGCAAGAGGATAGTCGGTGGGGTGGGCCTACAGAGTTCACTAGTTCACAAGTGAGGTGACAAGAAGTGAGAAATTCGAGGGCAGAGATTGAGAGAGATTGAGGGAGCCAGAGTGCAAGAGTGCAAGAGTGCAAGAGTGAGCCTATGGGTCACTTGTACGCCTTGGACTTCGATGGTGTCCTCTGCGACAGTTGTGGTGAAAGCTCCGAGTCGGCCGTCAAGGTGAGGGATCACTCCCTCGGTCGGTGCCTGGCGATGGCGACCGTGTCGTCGGAATGCCCAAGCGAAGGATTGAATTTTTTGCTCGATCCTCTGTTCGTATCTTTGTCACTTGAGTGGTGATGCTTTCTTTGTCCTTCTTCACTTGCCTGCCAGTGCCAGGCATTCATGCTCGTTGAGCCTTGGTGGAGGAGGAGAAGATCGGGCAGCTGTAATTGGATCGAGGACTCGGAGATTTTCGCTTGAAGCCAGTGTGTGTGTGGTTTTTCAGGCGGCGAAATTGCGATGGCCCGAGATCTTCGTCGGCGTGGACGCCGACACGGAGGCATGGGTTCTCGACAGCATGCGGACGGTAAAACATGCGAGCGCAATTCGCAAGCATTTCGCAACCTTGAGTGCGCTTTGGCATCGAATTTCATGCCGCAGAGGAACGAGGAGACCGAGCCTCTATTGTGGCCTTGAGTTCGAGTGGTGTCTAATTCCAGTGACGTGGTGCTCATCAGGTGCGGCCAGTCGTGGAGACCGGCTATGAAAACCTGCTGCTCGTGCGCTTGCTCTTGGAAATCAGGCGACCTCAGGATCAAAATTCAGCCGTGAGGATGCTCAGAGGAGAATCTCCTCACCCCGGATTCCGTTGTAAAATCGCTCGCTCGATCATGTACATGGAAATTTGCATTTAGGTTTCTCTAAGCACTGCTCCCACTCCCTCCCTCCCCCTCTCCGTCGACTGACTGCCTGCTTGCCTTCCGATAACGAACAGAATTGCCCCAACGCGAGTCGTCAGGATTGAAACTCGTTGTGTGTCTGGCCAATGCAGGTGAGCAAGGGTCTGACTGTTGAGGGAATTTTGGAATCCTGGCCCACAATCAAGCCTGTGATTCAAAAGCATTGGAACGAGACCGACAGAGAGGCTCTCGTGGAGCTCTTTGGACGAGTGAGGGACGACTGGATCGCTCAGAGCCCTATCGAATGGATCAAAGCTAACAGGTGCGTGAGGCTCAGCTCAAGCTTACCCTAAAAAAAATGCTTCTCGGGCCCACGAAACTGTGAATTGCTTCACAGCACGCATTGCAGAGAATAGATTAATTGCTCGAGGTTCTCATGGAGACACCAACCTGCTTCTTCGTGCTTCCCTTCGTGACAGGTTTTACCCAGGAACGGCAGACTGCCTCAGGTTCGCCACCTCCAACTTGTACATCGTCACGACCAAGCAGGTACGCGCACGAATTCTTTTTCCTTCGAAAATCTCAGCCTTCAATACTTTGCAAGCTTAATTTGGTGCCACCCCTTGGACACACTGCGAGCCTGAGATTTCGACTGATTCACTGAGGAGCAGAAATGTTGAATGAATGAATGCTCGTCATCTTCCGCTTTCTTGGCCGGGACTCGGAAGCTGCATAATAATGTCGACCGACCAGGACGACCTCAAATGCATCCCTCCGATCCGATCGACTTGCTTCGCACTGTGACGATCGCCAGCGTGAAGGAAGACGCTGCTGCGCCTTTCGAAGGCCACAGATTCTTCAACAGCACTAATCCTAACGCTGGGCCGGAAGATTCATGCAATTCATGCATTCCTTCATTGATCCGACTGCCCGTCGTTCCTTGACCGTAGGCCAGATTCGCTGCGTTGCTGCTCAAAGAGATCGCCGGAATCGAAATCCCTGCCGATCACATCTACGGACTCGGCTCTGGGTAAGCTCTCGTACTCTAATTCTGTCATTCCCGGTAAGATCACGAGGCAATTTGAACGGCATTTGACATGAATTTGCAACGGAATGGACGGGAAATTTGTCCGTCCGTTTTCTGTGTGGGTGGGTGGGATGGATGGATGGACAGACCCAAAGTGGAGGTACTGAAGAAATTGCAAGGCCTCGCTGAGCATCAGGGCCTGACGTTACAGTAAGTCTTTCTGCCCACGGATGGATGGATGGATGGAGTTGTGAGTAGAGTGGCAAGGCGATGGTTTCTATGGTAGGCTAGACGTGTAGCTGACGGGGATCATGGTCATGATGATGTGGATGGTGCCCGGCGTGCAGCTTTGTCGAGGACCGTCTGGCCACTCTTCGGAATGTCATCAACGACTCGGAGCTTGACAAGTGGAATTTATACCTCGGTACGTCCCGCTTTCCACCACCCTACCTACGGGATCCATCCATGATGGATCCCGTAGGTAGGGTGCCATCCATCCATTTATCTATCCATGCATGGTTAGGGAATCTGTTCTGAGAAGCCGCTCGTTCGGTCGATTGTTGAGCTGCAGCGTCGTGGGGCTACAATACCGAGAGCGAGAGATCGAGCGCGGCGGGAATCCCCCGCGTGCAAGTGCTGGACCTGGTGGATTTCTGTGCCAAGCTCAAGTGACCGGTGGACCGGGCTCCGCTCGAGCATGGATCAACGCGCCGAAGCCGTCTGACTCAGCAATCTGACTTGCCGCCTGGGCTTCCATTGCCAACAAAGCTTGACGAATGTGACTTTTTGTTCGGGCCGAGTTGGAATTGCATTTCTCTCAAGTAGCGCCTTCATGATCCCCTTGATGTGGAGTTGTTTTCCAGAGAAATTTTATGTTTGGGGACGTGAAAAACGGAAATTCCATTGCGTTTAATCGAGTGATGTGATAATTCATATAGATTACTTTTCAAATAAAAAGATTGATTGATTTCAAAACATGAAACTTATGGACCCGAATCTGGATGATTTATATGACCTGGATGAAACTAAGTGGAAGTCTGAAGCATAGAAATGTAAACAAATCATACAATATACTACTATAATCCAAAAAAAATGTAAAGAGTTTGATTGTGATATAAATTAAATTTCTTTGATGTAAAAGAAACTATCAAACAAAACAAAACTTTACTTAAACAATTCTATCCAAATCTGTAGGTTGTTATGTATATGACGAGCATTTAGTTACATGCTCCATGATATTCTAAGTGAACGAGATAGTAAACAAAATTTTGTAATATATTTTAGATTGTTTTGCTTCTGTGTATGAACAAACACATCATACAAACTTCGAAATGCAATGAATACCATTAGCAGAAATAATAGTAAAAGTTTATAGATATCTATTAATGAGCAAAATATAAATTTATAATATAACTCTGAAATTAAATATGGATATGGTAAATAGATTAAATCCGTGGGATCCAAAGGGTCAAAAGGCTAAAAAACATAATACAAACAATCCAACTCTAATCTAGGAGAGAACCAAATAGAATCTCCTAGGTAGTGCCCAAAGCACTAAAACGGTAACTAATAATATCCCGAAAATAACAACCTAAATTATAACTAATAACATCCCTAATGTAACAACCTAAATCATATGTTTCAAGCTGAAGCGAAGAATAAAAATTTTCAACATCAACTTTATGAGCCACTCTAATTTCTATATATCTAATACAAGTAAGAAACACATGCCCTTCATCCTCAACATTTCTCCCATCACATAGCTTACAAATCCGTTCATTGCTATTAATATTCAACCAACGTACTTCCTCAATTCCAAGCCTATGAGATCATGTTCTATGTCTGGCAACAATAAGACGTAAAGATGTAGAAATTTCTGCAACAAGGAACCCTTGCTCACAATAAATAAGCATAGTATTCACATGAAGTTGATGAAACTGCATTTCAGTGCCTCCTCTACTCCAAATGATGTTGAGAAATTCCTCCTTAATACGCTTGCGAACGGTTATAGTTTGCATGTCCCAATCCAATTCCGTCACATTTCAACTCAAAGACCAAGTTATCACATTTGCAAACTCTCCCTTGGAACGTGTGGCATGCAAACCATGAAGAGGAAGTCGAGAAGCATCAAGAAATCTCACTCTTCTAATATAATTGATAGTCAAGTAGAGAGCTTCAACCTCAAGAGTTAAACAAATTGTTCCCGCATAAGGAGTTTGATTCCTTACACCTAATTCTTCTTGTAAGAAGATCTTTTGCATCCTCTCCACATGCTCCCAACTTGTCTTCTTACAGCCAGGACCCCACACTTGTGTTCTATAAAAAAACCACCGGCAACACTAAGCTCCTCAATAAAAATTTCCTAAGACTCCAAGATACACAATGAGCTCTTCTACATCAGTTTAACAATAAATATAGAGCTTTGTAACCAGCTTCTACTCTCTATTGCACACAAAGTGCCCAACTATAATTTTGAGAAAAATCAATGCCTAACTATCTGTAACTCTTCACTTGTTCCAATTCTAATCCTTTGTAAAAAAGATAGAACTTGGATCTAGTGACCACAAGAATGACCTTTGATTTTTCCAGATTGAACTCCATCTGATTTCTAGTACAAAAGCTAGCCTAAGTATTAAGGTGTTTCATGTACTAGTAATATGATATCATTTGCATACAAAAGAGCTTTGATTACAAAGTCTTCAAGTTTGATTCTTTTACTCTCACAATCATCCAACCACCTTTCTATATCATTTATGAAAATTCCGAAGAGCTTTGATTACAAAGTCTTCAAGTTTGATTCTTTTACTCTCACAATCATCCAACCACCTTTCTATATCATTTATGAAAATTCCAAATAGAGTAGGAGAGAGAGTACAACCTTGAATGACTCCAATGGTGCTCGAGATCTCTTGAGGCTGAGAGGCATCAATCTTAGCTCAAATTGAACTGTATAAAGTGTGCACAGCTCCAAGAAGATTAACCGGTACTTCTATATCTTTTAATCTTTCCCATAAAAGCTTACGAGTATCAGTATCAAAAGCTTTTTGCAAATCAATGAAGGGACAAAACAAAGCTCTACCACTGCCCTTAGATTTCTTCCATAAAACACGTAAGGTCAAAATATGGTCAATAGTGTTGTATGTAGGACGAAAATCAGCTTGGACCTTTGAATCTTTTGAAAATCCTATGTCCATGTGCTCAACTTTGATTCTACCAAGTTCCTAAACAACTTGGCAAAAATACTACCAATCATGATAGTGCGATAGTTTTTCACCACGTCCTTCCTTCTAGATTTATGAATGGGAACAATCTTTCCATGGACCAAGTTAATGGAAAATCATGAACCGAAGCATCTTCCAAAATCTTAGTGAAAATATGTACTATACAATCTACTCCCCACTTGATAAGTTCAATGAACAAACCATCCAAATCCTCACATTTGGGATTTGCTAATTTTTGAAGAATAGTCATCGAAAATAATCCAAGTGTTGTTTCGCAATATGGCATAGATGTGGTTGCAGGAAAGAAATAGAGCTTTAACGCAAAAGCTACCAAAGATTCTGAATCAAGAAAAGGTTTTCACGATGGTGTAGCTAATCATCTCCAAAAGTACTTGAGATCTTTCATCATGTACTTTGTCAATGATACTTGCTTTTGTCTTAAGAAAGCTGGTTACTTAAACTTCACCAAGTCTTTGTATATACTTGTCAGAAAAAGCCGACTTTGAATATCCAAAGACCTATCAACTGACCTTGCCCTCGCTAGCTTGCATTGAGAGTCAAACCATCCATTACAAGGTAGCCCCTTAGCAATCCTAGAACTATGTCTCAAAAAGAACTTCGATGTAGAAGTTTTGAGCAATTCTATGAATTGTAAACTAGCTGTATGGGTTCCAGAGACCATATGTTGTGAGTCAAAAGATCTTGTAGATGTTTTGCATAAAGATTTCTTTTACAAGGATCTAAGCGAAACTTGGGAGAAGCTAAAAGGGCTTGGCAAGATGAAATAGAGATTGATTTTGACATTGAAAGTGTAAACAAAAGAGGTGCATGATCTGATTCAGGTTGAGGATCAAGAACATCAAAACTAGAGATGAGAGAGTTACTAATCAATAAAGACAAAAGAAAATCTAGTGTGCTAGCCCCGATAGGGAAAAAACAAGTATTAGACTGAGAGTTCGAAAAGCGAGAGGTTATGTTAAGAACCTTCAAGTTACAAGTGGCTCCAAATGTCAAAAAGTGCTCTGTCAAAGAGTTTGTGGAAAGATCAAAAGAGGTTCTAGACCACAAACTGTCATAAATTTCTTCAAACATAGAAGAAGTCAGGGGATTACTAAATTGAGCACAACGTATACGAGAATTGAAATCTCCAGCAAGAAATACATCCCCTTTACTTTGAAATGTAAGAACGTCTCAGATAAGCCGATGATATGATTCACTTTGGTTGCAAAAGCGTGTTGAGTAGAGATCCATGAACAATGGTGCAAAATAACAAATTGTCAAATAGCAATAAGATACTCTAACCATACCGAGAATTAGCCAATGATACCGAGACGTAGTCAATGATACTGTTCATCGACATCTTGAGGTTCTAGATGTATGGAAGATAGAATATGAGACATGATGAAAGTAGCAATACCTCCTTGACATCTTCCCGCATGTCGTCTTCTCTGTATCCATGTCGATCCCACAAAGATAAATCCTTTCAACTCAGCAATAGTATTACTTTCATGTTTTCAAGTCTACACAATGTTGATGACGTAAGCCATCTTCCAAATTGGAGCAGCACTCACATACTTTGTTGTTGAAAGTCCTCAGATATTCTCACCAACACCCTTAGCTTTTCGGATTGCTATGTTGATGACACACTCCTCCTCTAAGTAACGATTGCTTTCCCATCGTGTAAAAAAGCAACAAAACCCGACTCTTGAGCCTCTTTTATCTTCGCAAGCTACTTTCCCCTAACTTCCACGTGTAGTGAACTCAAATCAGGATCTAATCATATAACGTTCCTTCAAAATAGCCTTTTTAGCTAAAGCAACATCACGTTGAGTTTGATTGACAAACTTCACTATAATACTACGAGGTTGAGCTCCTTTATTTTTGTTACGAAAAGCTTGAGCCAATTTCAAATTGGAAACCTGAAGTGTTTCATCCAAAAACTTGATGATAACACTCTTGACATCTTTATTTTCTATTTCAGGTAAACCTAAAATTCTCAAATTCTTACTCCGTGCAAGCTGATTGGACTTTTCAATCTCTGTTTTTGACAAAAAAATATTTGAACAGCCTTTGTAGCTTTAGCTTAAGATTAGATTTTCATATCTAAACTTTTGACCACCTTATGCAATCTAGTACTATCCGCACTTGTCATCTCAAAGCATACCTTCCCTTGGATGGCATCAACAGATTTAGACATGTCGAACATCACTAACACACTTTACTTGAACACCTTCTCCACATTCTTCTGTGATACCTTTAACTCTCAAATTTGATTATGTGCAAGAGTTAAAGCAACGGCTTGCATCTTGAATTCATGTAGAAGTTACTTCAATTCTTTAAAGATCGTTTGCAAAAGCTGAAAACTATCGTCTTGAGTACCCATATCGTAGCAACTTGATATTTCGGTATCAACCGAACACTCGAAACTCAAAGTTGAAACTCCAAAAATGCAGTAACTTCTTACTCAAGCATCCACTCACCTTCAAACTTTCTACGCTACTGCCAAATACAGATCTCCAAGTTCCCACAAAGTTTCAGTCTCATATCATGCTCCCTATTAAAGATAAAAATGTCTGAACATTTTTGTGACCATCAAGACACTCAAAACTCAAAGTCCAAACTTCAAAAATGCAGTTTCTTCTAACTCAAGCATTTATTCACCTTCAAACTTTTTTTGCTACTGCCAAATAATATTCTTTAAGTCATCACAAATTTTTAGCATCAGATCATGCTCCATCTTAAAGATAAAATGTCTGAACATTTTAGTGACCACCTGAACACTCAAAACTCCAAAAATGTCGTAATTTCCGATTTAAGCATCCATTCAACTTCAAAATGTTTATGCTATTGACTAATATTGATATCCAAGTTCCCACAAAGTTTCAGCCTCAGATCATGCTCTGTCTTAAAGAAACGATATCAGCCCCAACACTCAAAACTCCAATTAGAAACTCAAAGAAATTCGTGAACTTCAACGTCGCTACTATAAAATGTGTAAAATTTTGCACGCTGAAGCGCGCTACCTAACTCCACGTCCTTGCAAATTTTTAGCCTAGGTGTACACTCCGACGCGAAATCGATCTCTGCAAGAAACAATCTTGGCCCCAACACTCGAAAACGCAAACTCGAAACTCAAAAAATTCGTTAACTTCGGCGTCGCGACTCCAAAATACGTGAAAAATTGAAGGCTATAGCGCGCTATCCACCTCCACGAACCTGCAAATTTTCAGCCTTGTGGATTTTCCGACGCAAAAAATTGATCTTTGCAAGAAAGGATATACGCCCCAACACTCGCAACTCTAACTCAAAACTCATCATTTTACACAGTCATTTTTTAAATAATATCTATCTATTTATGTTTCAGTATTAGCTGAGTTATAGAAACTTCAAAATTTGTCAATTTCAATTCTTAACATAGAAAAAAAAATAGATACCATTTTTATGAATATAATATATATATATATATATATATTATAGAGTATATTTTTGCACACATATAGATTATTCTACTACACATCATGGATCTACAAATCAAAGTAAGTGCATGAAAAACCGCAAAATGCCAAAATTGACCACTGAACAAATAGACGATGTTGTGTACACTACTCTCTTATTTGATGCATTGATTGTTGTAAAATATAAACTTTTGTCCAAATTATAGTGAAGTCTAGCTCATGGTTGTTGTCCGTTTTATCACAACTGATTGCTGAGGTATTGCCAAAGGAATAGAAGAGGCCAAGAATTCACTAATTGGAGGGTACAAATCTTAAACCCTCACGCAGTCACGGCGGGCTGAGTCGGTAGGGGCGATGAGCCCTGGTCGTACATGGTTTGCGTGGACGTGGTGGGCCCGGGCAGGGAAGGGGCAGGGGAGAGAAGAGAACAGAAGGGAAGGGAAAGGGACAGGGACGGGACTGGGGGGAGCCGTAGGGAGGGTTGTGTGCTGGGGGGCGGGATGCGTTGAGCGCAAACGAGTTGCAGGGGAGAGGGTGGAGATCATCAGCCCTGTGCGCGAACGAGACATCGGCATCGGGGAAGATGAGTTCGGCAGCGAATGCAGCGAAGCGGGCGCTGCAGCAAGAGCGCACTCGATTGCTGTACAGACGCTCTCTGAAGCAGATTCTGAGTTGGGCCGTCCACCGGGAAATTTTCTACGTCGAGGTCGGTTCTCGCTTCCTCTTCCTCTTCTCTTCCTCCTCCAGTCGGATCGATGGCGGTGGGCATGCTGAGGATCAGCTCGTCTGTGAGCTCATCACGAGGGAATGCCGGTTCGGATTTCGGTCCGTAAATGACCCAGTGCTGTGATGCGTGTGCAGGCTAGCAAGACGAGGGCAGCGTTTGAAGCCAACAGAAATGTGGTAAGTAGGCGATTTCCTTACTCTCTGTTTCCAACTGACTGTTCCGATGGAACGCGTCGAGCCGGCTCATAGGAATTTGTTTAGTTACGGTTCAGGTTATCGACTGGTCGAGATCCCTGCGGGCTTGTGATCGGGATTTCGGATTCCCGTAATTGGCATGATTGGGAGTAGTTCACGGTCAATTGTGCATGTTGCTTCGGGAAACGAGCGGAAGATCTTGCCCTAACTGGTCAGGATGGTGATTCAGGAGGATATATCGAGGATCGACCGTTTGATTGGTGAAGGAGAGGCTAAACTCGAGAAGATGCGGCATCCAGATCCTTACACTGGTATTTCGTCTTACAACAACTTGTCTGTCATGTCTATCTTCGTTCGACCGAGTGGTCGAGAATCCATCGTAGAAAATAAGAAGGAAAGACATTCAAGTAGAATAATATTGCCTGTTTTATAGTTCGAGGTCCGAAGGTGGAGACCAGTGGGAAAGGGTTTTGCGTACTTGAGATGACGAATCACTGGTTCAAAATTAGTAATGCTCTTTTGTTGTTTTTACCAGTCCCCTGGGCCCCAGGAGGTTCCAAGTATGCCCGCAGTCCACCTGTTCCCGAAGAGGTAAACATTTCCCTTCGAGCATTGATGTCACTAGTCTCTTACGCCCTGCAATTAGTGTGGAAGCTAGTAATGATTCGGTATCGGTGTGAGGAATTCAAGAGAAGTTGGGTATGGGTGAATCATGTCAAGTTAAAGTTTCTATGCAGTTCCGCTTTCTATTCATGTAATTTGGTTGTTGCTCTCTTTTTATGCTCATCCAACCGAAACTATGAAGATATTGGCTGCAGTGGGTGGGGAAGATGAGAAATTGATGGGATGGGAAATTCTTTTCTGATCGCCTTGTGCAGATTGGTCTTGTATACGATTTCGGCAGACAGGAAGAGTGGGACAAGTAGAGAAATAGCTATGAGGCTCTAATTGCGGCGATAATGCAACCGACTCATATGATCTTAACTTACTTTGGATTGAGGTCCACGCATTGCTATACTTGAGAGCACGATCCAAGTTTGTGTAAACAGAGCTCCAATAAACCTCACTCTGCACCAGCTAACTGGTCGGGGTTATGAGATTTGGCATCTTGCAATCAATATGCCATAACGTACATGAGGGATTTCGCTCAAGCAGGAATGAAAGTTTTGTGACAATATGCTTTGCAGTTTACCATGACCCGTAGATAGTACGAGGTCGACTGTGTGATATTATGAAATTTATTGCATGTGACGTAGCTGCTGGACTGCACTTTGGCTAGCCATATGGCCTTTGGGTGTTATGAAACCTGTGCTTGTGCATCACATAAAGAATAAATGCATTTTAATTTTTGGTCGACATCAATGTGTGGTAAGCAAAGAGTATATTATCGCAAGGAAGTCATGGTGGATACTATCTGCCTTCTTTTGAAGTGCTTGAACTAACTACTGTGTCAATAATTCTAAGACGAGCATAGGCACAGACATTACAGTCATGACCTGCTTGTGAGTGGACCTTACTCAGTTCTGGAGGTTTGGATCTACATTGTCGTCCTCCAATCCGCCCTTGTCTTGATGAACCCGGTGCAGTACCCAGAAACCTCGAAAGAGGGAGCCGAGAAAGTATCACATCAGAGAGGAGTACACCGTGAAGTGCTTGTGCACAGTCCAAGGTTTGGATAACGTGAACACCTTTGGTTTCGAATTCTGCGAGCTGATCTTTTAGTTTGAAACCCCTCAAGACGTCCTAAAATTCCTGTAGAGCTATAACCCTTCGGAAGCGAAGTTTATTCTCTGCTGGGGGTTCATTAACGACAATATATCTATATAAAATCCTACCCATTGCTTAACCTTGCAGGTATAGATATCAAAAGGAAAATACCACGTTCATGGATATTCCCTACGCTGATCTCTTCCCAATTCTACCAACTATGCTTCGCTCACTATCTTTACGGATTATCCATTGGCCGATTCTAAGTGGCTGGCCACCATCCTCTGTCTTCCAATAGCACAGCTCAACGCAGTTTCCACGTAAGAAACCTCGCTCACATGACTCAAAATTACACTGAATATGGGTGGAACTGGATGTCTATGTTGTTGGAATTTGTCGCAATTACGCTCTTTGTCACACGGCAACGCTTCAGGAGTTTTCATTTACCTCCGAAGTCCACCTGGCTGTTGCTCATCCTAAGAGTTTCCAGTAGCACATACATTACATCTCAGTGAACAGAATGCAAATTGTCTTGATGGTCAAACTTCCCATACACAAATACGTCACAGTATCAATAAAATTGCGTCCACAATTACCTCTGAATGTTAAGATACGAGCCAGAAATGACAAAAATCACTTTGAGGGCGATACAATACCAGCAAAGGATGTATCAGCCATTTACTGCAGCAATACAAAGATTTACACAATGGTGAAAAAACTAACCGCTGTGGGTGTCCTGACATGAAATATTTCCACCTAGCCTCACCGCAAGTGAGGCTAGTGACTAACTCAGTCTATAGCCTATCAACATTACAATCTGACATCTCATGAGCCCTTAATTGCCCATTCAAATGTCAGATGGAATATTCTAAAAAACAGAAGGCCATGCCTCACTCTTCAATTGAGAGTCCCCCTGCAATTGTCTGAGCCACAAAAACACGGGATCTTATCTCCTTCCTGCTCAAAATTGAACTGGTAATCGTACGTGATCTCCTCACCAGCATAAATATCTCGTTGTGCAAAGAAAACAACCTGCAGCCGATAAATTAACGGTCAAAATACTGACTTACATCCTCAGATTATTTCTCGGACAAAACGGGCTCGAGCATAAAAAGTACGCAAGGGAATTACATCCTCAACTTACTTCTCGGACAAAACGAGCTCAAGCATAAAAAGTACATAAGGGAGTTACTTCAGTAAAATAACATACTTCGAACTGCGGCAAGAGATTACCTTATTTTGACTCTTGACACAGATGACCTTAGCCACACAATTTGGCTGCCGTCCGCACCCAAGCACATGATATAAGGTCAGTATACTGAAGATGATGAATTTTGTGACTGAAATCGCAAGTACATGTTCCTCATGAGACAACTCGAGCAAAAATGTTGGCAAACAATAAATAGATTTTCTTAAAACTTACCGAGCAAGAATGATTCACAAAACGCGCAATTCCACCTTTGCGAGTAGCATCGATTATCCTCTCTTTGTCAATTCTGAAGAGGTAACAAGCACCTTGGTGTGATATCAAAAGCTTCCCAGAATGATAATCAGCCTCTCGCTTGTCGGCAACGCGAAGTCCAACGATTTCTCCGATATACTCTACCACCTACAGTAGACGTTCCACAAATCAGCTACAGGTTCAGTTCCATCAGAACAATTAGTCTAGTGAAGACTGTCACAAATCTCTCGATGACTTTGCTAAAGATCCAGAACTTGAGGTAAAACTATGAGAAACAACAAAACGCAAGCAACAACCACTCAGTCCGATAAAAGAAAACATTTAAGATAATATGAATATAATGTCCATGAGGTCGTAAACGCGACATAAGACATGTTTTGGCGGTGTCACTAAACTAAGAATCACATCTACTAGTCAGTATCCACGTATCAAGCGATGTAGACCCTCACCATCTCATCTTTGGTGATCAACTCGGCTGTGTACAGACCAAGAGCATGTATGTGAGATTTATAAACAACAAGCCGCCGCCAACCTTGTTCTTGTTTGAAACGCAGGTATTCCTGAACACATCAACTTACGTCAGTATGATTTAAAACTTGCAAAGCACTGTGTTAGAAGTGTCAGAAGAAGAAGGCAGAGATGAATTCATTTCCATTTTAAAGTGATCACAAGATAATCTCTACTCTCAGAGTTGAAAATGCAACTGATTGTAGCAAAAGAAATCTGGGTTCCAAAAAAAACATTTTCAAATTCTTGCAGCAAAGCGGATCAACCTATCAACCACTACATAAAGACGAAACCCATGTTCGGGCACGTGATAAAGCATGTTACGTCGTACTTCCACCGAATGAAATCCCCATTATGCTCTGGCTGGAATTTGCAATTACTTCACAAGCAAGAACGTACTCTATGATCCGTCTTTAGTTCCGAATTTGGAGGTTTGATGAATCTTCGTGATTTTCCTGTCTTTCTTTGAACGATAGCCAGCCAGGCGTTAACCTGCTCGGCTGCAAAATCCGTTGGGTGATGAGCTTGTCTTCTATGCAAAGCTCTCTCTTCAGGGGTTAACTTCCCCTTGTAACCCTGCACATCATTGATATATATCATGTAAGTTACGAAACAACTGGTCTGAGCCAGGTATTAACTTGCTAAGTCTGATGTAAATAGCAGGTGCCTTACCTCGGTCCGGGCAGACTTGCATTCCTTTTCAACAGCTGGTAAGGCAACTTCAGGTGAGACGACTGTCGCTTCTGGAATTTTCACGGGTCCCCCACCTCCGTGAACCAAGCACTTCCCAAAGAACCCTACTTGATCACTCCCGTCTTCAACGATCTCACTTTGTAATAAACCCTGTTAAATAAACACATGAATACTAGGTTAATTTCTGAATCAACAGTAGAGAAAGTAGAGAAACAGACAGAAAGCCTCTGATTACAATCTCCAACTGTTGTCGTTCTCGATGTAGCTATACCTGGTATGTGGTCCAGGCTATAAGTCATCTGGTGACAATTGTTGATTTGAAAAAACCTTTCTGGAGGCGAGAAGGCCATACACGAGGCATCCAAGAAAGTAACCCCAAGAATAAGCTCTAAAGTTTGCCTACTTACCTTTTCATGAGCACACCAAGGATGAAAATACGTGGTACACTTGTCAACTCGACACTGAATACATGAGCCGCCCTTCCTTTTACACATGGAACATATCTGCAGCAAAAAGGAAGTAAGTACTTTATGTCAGTAAAACAAGACAAAACGCGAAAGAATTCTAACGAATCTGAGAAAAGCTAGCTATGATATGTTCAGTCCATAATCTCCTTCAATCTAAAACCTCCGAAAACACACATACGATATGTAAAACAAACAAACTTGAAAGCAATTGAATTAAAGATCGATTACCATTTTTCTTCTCGTTTGAGTGACTCCAGACACATCGAAGGTACCCATAGTTCCAATGTTCAGACACCTTGTTCCTGGCATCCACAAAGCGCACACCATATGCACCCACTGGGTGATAGCTGGATCAACCATACCCGCTGAGATTGTGTTGCTAACAATCCAGTTGCTTCCATTACTTGTAACACGTCTCTCGTCATCCCCACACGGATGAATTGCAACTATGGATTTGCCCTCACCATTCTCCTTAGTGTCTCTTTCGTCCTCCTCATTAGCTCTAGAGCAGGTTTTTTCAGAGAAATCGAACTTGTCACCGTTAGCCTGTTGCTTTGCATCACAGGTTTCACCATCATGGCCATTTCTAAAATTTCTAGGCAATGTGCCATATCCCGTGTCTTTGGGTACGTTCGTTGTGTCTCGCCATGCCTTCACAAGAACCTTCATAAAGCTTTTCGCTTTCTGTGCTCGAGTCATGGCTCCGCTTCCATATCCACAAAGAACGCAAATCTGCGATACAAGAACCGTGTTAGGTCTATGATTGGGGAGACGAATAATCAGAAAATAACACAAACATAGTCGAGGTAGACTTTGAGATGCTTACAGGATTGGTGGGCGCAGCCTTGCATGTCCGGCAGATCCAATCGCCAGTTGGTATCTTTTTGACACCATAACATCCTTGATGCACCTGCGAGTCAAAAGTGTATCCTTGACCTGTTAATGCAATGTTGAAGTTCTGTGTATTACCTAGTCTCACGTCTGAAAATAAAACTCAAGTCCAACTCGCAAGCATCTGATCCATGCTTCCTACGACACCATCTCCAAGACCACACGGCCAGAACAAGGTGCGCATTACCTTCACAGGACAACGTCCACAGGAAACAAGCTTGTTGATGAAATCAGACGTTGAGCTCCCGCACACTTGACAATCGACTGCTTCTCCTCCAACTCGACTGCCAGGAAGTCTAGATCTTGTACATCTTTTCTTCTTTCCAGAGTGCTTAAAATCATCTTCAGGTTCAAGACGCTTCAATGTCCTGTCCTCTTCACCGGAGTCCGCTCCAACTACAAGACTGAACAGTGTTTACTAACGTGTAAGTATAACAGTTGGATAGTGCTTAGTCTTTGCAGTCTAGATATAAAGAAGATCTCAAGACTTCAGTTAATTTCATTGTAGAAAGCTAAGTATGAGATGTCTTGGCCAAAGAGAGATATAAAAGTTGTCAGTTTACCACAAGCTCAGGCATCGCGCCAAGCTTATCATCTTGCTTTCATTCAAATTCGACAAGGTGGACTCAAAATCAAAATGTTGAAATGTAATGCAGCCCACATCGTACTATGGGTATACTCGCCTGGTAGGGGGGACAACAATTGGTGTCGAAGTAGGCAAAGGGGACCTAATTTTCAGCACCCCAGAACCGCTCCCAACTGGTCTAAAGTCTTTACAAACTTTCCGTTTCTTTGTTATACTGCTTCTCAATGCTTCGAACTGTTCAGCTATTCTCTTCCGTGATGTGGTGATTGGTTCCTCGGTGATTTCCGTATCTACGAGTTCGCTCCGGTCTTTCACCTGAGTCATGCTAGTCCTGGACTCCGGTACTGGAGATACCGCATCACTGCTTTCGGGTACGTGAAGTGGCTTCTTAGTGATCTTCAATCTGGTAATCAAAGGTCGCGGCTTCCCTCTGATAGAGTCATCTATCTCTTTTGGAATGAGAGTGTTTGCTTCAGCGGCTTCCAACACGCTGTTCCCAACAACAATTTCCACTTCTCCTGCTCCCAGTCTACTTCCTCCTAGAAGCCCGTCTGCCTTGCTCTGCTGAAAAATGCTTTTCTTGTTGGAAAATTTCGTCCTTGGGGATCTCTCACCACGAGTTATCAGAGATTTACTCTCACTCAAGTGGACGGGAACAGAAAAGGCTCCATCTGTTTGTCTTCCACTTGAGTCCTGCTTCGAGACTCCAGGTGAATCCGTAACCTCGTCATGAAACTCAAAAACTCCACCACCTGATCCAGGCAGCTTTCTCGGAGCAGTCAGTTCATACAAACTACGAATTTTAGGACCTTCTGGCTTACTGGGTTTTAGGACCTTCATCGATTCCTTTACGGACTTAACAGGAAAAGAAACCTCCTTATTTCGATCATCCGTTGGCATAGTGATTGCAGGGTTCGCAAACTCAGGTTTCCTGAGTGCTTTACCTTCGGCACTTGCTTTGAGGAAAACTTTGGACCTGTCAAATGGGGCAGCAACTATCATGTCATCCTCTGATGAAGATTTGGCACCTTCCTCGACCATTGATTCTTTCGAGACGTCTCTAGAAACTGGTTGAGACACCGCACTTATGGTAGGACCTTTCGAAACGCTTCGAATGGCCGCAACTTTGGCAGGTATCTTGGGTAAAGGCAACTTCGTAATCACCTTGGGAACTGATACTGGAACTGTAGTATGAGCAAGTACTGCCTTTAGTGCTTTCTTCGGTGCTGATCCTTTCAAGCCTGAGAAACGTAGTTGGGGCGAAGCAGTAACATGTTTGGTCCCCAAAGGTGTGGGCTTCAAATCATCTTTCAGAGATGCATCCTTGGAACTATCAATGAGTAATTGCTCCTTGAGACCCGTTGCTTTCAACCCATCCTTGGAACCTAATGGTACTCGTAACGCATGCTTTGACTTCAAAACCCTTGGACCCTCCTTTTGAAGAATGCCTGTGTGTTCCTCTTTGGAAGATGAAGCATTTTCTCCGTATTTCAATGATAGAGACTTGTGTCTATCTTTGTATGAAGCTTTGTGACCATCCCTAGAGGCCCTGTGGTCACCTTCTTCACTCTCCTTGGAAATTTTGTGTTCATCCGCCCTATTTGACTCATCCTCAACAGTCGACTCCTGCAAACCATCTATCAAAGCTGCTGCTGTCCACTGCCTCCTGTTCTTAGTTTGAACCTCAGGCATTCTCATGATATCATTTAATGATGCAGTCCGAGTGGCACTTCGAGGGCTAGGGCACCCAAGAAGGACCCGCCCAAGTCTTATGGGTCGAACATTAGGCGTTGGCATTTGTTCTACGGGAGACACATTGGATACAGCTGCAGATTCAGGAACAAAACTTCCCGTAACCCCTGACCCTCTGAAACTCGAATTGTCTACTGTAGAGGCCTCTACCGTTACCAACTCTGGACTTTCTTTTCTGATACTTCGAAATTCAGGGATCGGAGCTGCTAAGCTTTTCTTCTCAAACTTGCTCCGTCCACTTCTTTTAGCCTTTTTGCGGTTTATACCTTGAGGCACACGTATGATGAGAGTTTCACCTTCCTTTTCAATGAATTTCTCATCAGAAGTCAAAGCTTCCAAGCTTATGTCACCGTTGGGTTCCTTCCCCGATTCTGCTAACACAATTGCCCGGTTACCTTGAGTAACTACAAGCTTCCTACCTTTGGTAGAAACTCTTGCGGTTGGAGTGGACAAAAGGTCAACTATTCCGTTTCTATTTGCCAAGCGCTTGGAACTCTCGGCTACTTGCCCTGCCCTTGGCGTGGAGTTGAGTTCTTCCTGTAATGCAACTCCAGATGTGTCCTGCCTCTCAGTCTCCACTGCATTTAATAGTTGCACCCGCTTCCGCTTCAACGTTTGTCTCCTCCTCTTCTCAACCTTACCTGCCTCAACATGAACGTACTCCTCCGAACGCAAAGCTGACTGTTCTTTCGAAGACTGCCCACCTCTTGACTTGGTTCCAACTTCAGATGCAGGACCACCATCAGCATTGCTAGAGGAAGGACCCCCTTGCGAAGACGGAGACTCGTGCTTTTGCATCTCCAAACCTTTTGAAGATGTAACTTTCGGCGCCAAGCCCATGTCAACTCCATCTGAAGAGCAGGACTTGCCTATCCCAGATCCCTCATCGACAACCTCACTGCCAGGGTGTTTATCAACAGACTGAGCATGTGAATCTTCTTCACCGACAACACCCTCCGAGAATCCGCTCATGGCATTCTCGGAACTTTTCGAACAAACATCTGAAACAGGCTGCTGCTCTTGAGAAACCCCAGACCTGACCCCACCTGCTGCAGAACTACCTTTGGCTGCTGTGTCAGCTAGTAAGTCTTCCTCTAAACGAGCCCGCGGTGGCAACAAATCATCACCTGTAGCATCCACTATAGTTTCATTCCCAGGCACAAAGATAGTGCTCATCTCTTTCCAAGGAAATCCTTCCGTGGGCTCCCTTAACTCTGACTTTGCTCCTGCCTTTTCCGGGTGCGTAAAACTCTTCTCAACACAAGTTTCATTTTCTCCTACAGAACCAAGTGCAGGAGAACTTCCTGCCAGAGCAGCAACTGTCGAGGCTTGATTTGGATGTTCATCAACGCTGCTTCCACCACATGAACAGCCCTGAGAAGTGAGAGCTTCAAACGAACGTAGTCGTCGTACCTTTGGAGAGGCACACTCATGACTCGTCGTATCACGGCTAATTCTCTGTCTGAAACCTGTAATCTGCGTGTCATCATCGGCTTCCTTCGAGCAAAGATCCACTTGTTCCGAGGGCCTGCGCAAGTAGAAAGAACAACAAGAATAAAACGTGGGGACTTAGAAAACATTGTCAACAATTTCCGCCTTGGAAACGAGAATCGTGAAGTGAGAACCTGAATTAATCAAAGGCATCACTCAGCACCTGCACTACTTACTTTGGAATCATTCTTCCTTTCACTTTCGAACATGTCGACTTGTCACTGTTGCAGCATGGGCATCTCGACCCGTCCTTTGTACCTTTGCACGTCTCCATGTTGTTGAATGGCAGCTGCTCTTTGTCTTCAGGACCATTTTCTATAAGATCAAATGCGCAAGTGTTCAGAAATATGAGACACTTACTGGAAGAAAAGGCATGGACCCCTCTATCGAAGGTACGTATTGCAAATATGAGTGGACTACTCAAATCACAATGTTCTCTTCTGTCACTAGACACAATCTATCTAGAAGACTAATCAGGGTCGTAAACATGAAACTAATAACCTGTCCTCATCAATTTTACGGTAGTTATGAGGAGATGAAGCAGGAGGGAAAGGGACGAGAAAATACTAGCGAGCGAGGACGGTCTCTCCTTTAGTGGAAGTGTTCATCTTCCTTACAGACTAAGTGACTGATGTTGAGGAGTTTACCTTTGCTACATGGTTGACAATCGGCTTGACTATGCGTCAAAGTTTCAGTGCCACTGGCTTTGGCATCTCGCAAGACTTCAATCTCACTGGGTGACTCATTCGCTTCCATTCGAGAATGTCTGCTTTTAGACGTCCAATCCTGAGTCAGAAAAGGATCCAAATCGGGTCGGCCGTGAGGAGTTGATCTATTGTCAATGTTCGGAAGAACGACTTGCCGCTGAATATCATTTTCCCATGGTTTAGATGAATGATCAGAGTTAAAGAGGAACCGTTCTCCATGCTTCAAAGTGTTTCCACCAGTACCACAAGTCGGCCACCTACTAAGTCCTGCAGTAGTAAGAGGGCCAGATTCTCGACTCATGATTCTATCTCTTTCTCTCATATCCTCAGGAAACCTGCTGTATGGTGCGTCCTCCATTTTTTTGAACGGAAGATGATCAAACAATAATGATCCATTGCCTTCAAGACCTGCAGCTATCACATAGACTCGTCAGGACATCCTGTAAACAGAGACTTCAATTCAGCAGTCATGGGCACGCAATACTGCCTGAAATACATGGCGTACTGGATCATTCGATCCAATAAACAGAAGGATAAGTAAAGACTCGGAAATACTGATTCGGTCGTAGTGGTTAGTGGTAAGTGCATAAAAGAAACTGCCTGCCATAGCGGTAAGCGGGAAAGAAAAGACTGCTTCGACTTAAGAAGATACATCTTACAATAGGATTTCTCCTTATGAATGTTTCAAGTGTGAAGTGGGAAACCCATCAACCTGTGTGTTGTTGAAGCTGTAGAAAATGTACCCAATTTACTTTCCTGCCATAACCTCAAACACGCCTACTGACGGAGTGAGCTAATAGAGAAACTAGAAAAGACAATTTTGACTGCAGAGACAGTACAATGTCCTCTTGCGTGCTCAAATGGACATCGAGAGATCTTTCTTTACGTTGGTGTCAAGTTTTCAACTCAGAAGAGGGCAACTTCTTGTGCCCGTAAAAAGGCATGATGCAACGCAGGTTGCGTTAAAAGATGCATCGGACTAGAGTGTAGTGTAAACGACACATACTAGCAAATGCAGGTTTGCTAGGACAAACTACTAGGACTGCAATATCAAGACGAGATTTTATAAATGTAAGAAGACGGAAAATTAACACTCAAACCAAAGTGGGAAAACGACGAAAATCGTGAAAAATTTGACATCAATACAAAACATGAATAACACAGGAAGATCGATAAAAACTATGAGAGGAACTGAAAAGAAAGGGGGTGTATTCTTGGAGCACATGTCCAGGAAATTTAAAGAAAAGCCCAAAATGGTGATGAAAGACGCAAACACGGCACTACGACTCCGATAACAAATAATGGGCGGCGACAGGTGGATGCCTCATGCAATGTAGCCCCAATTTCCTTCACCTCTTTCCTCAGCAATAGTTCGGAGTAAGTAGCAAGGAAAATCTACTTCTGTCCAGACTCCGTCCGTAATCTATTCAAATATGTTCATTTGCAATAACGTAGGTCTGAATAACTCAAGGGCACAATCTGAGACCAATCTGAGAACCAAAGTTAAATAAACGCACCTCTGGTGGTGTCGACTCTAGATGTTTCGAGACGAGTGGTATCCACAACCCCTACTCTCCCAAAATCTGGTTGATGATGACTCACGTGACCCGGAAATTGTCCCATTCCACTGGTGCTATTGTTCTGCATGTCTTGTTGTCTCTTACCTTCCATCACTGAAACATATAAAATAATTATAAGACTTGATACGTCCGGAGTCCACATTGACAAAAGTACAGTGAATGTGAATCAATGTGATGAACTTAGCTTGGTGCAAAACCAAAGAGAATGAGCTTTGCAGCACTATAAAAACATACTACAAGAATCCTTGTATGAGTGACATCAAAAAGCTCGAAAAAGTACCTTTCTGCATTATGTTCTCAAATATCTCGAACTGAGAACCCTGTATGGGAGGCCCCAACTGTGATGTGTAAGATGCACCAGCAGGTTGAGCTTGCTGCGAGGGTTGACCTAACCTCAGCTCAAAACTAGACAACGAACTGTCCTTTTCTTGCTGCATTGGCTCCCTTCCATCGTTCCAGGACAAGTCCATTCCTTTCAACAGGCTCCTGCTGTTCACAGCGACCTGTCGCTCCACGGCAACCTGGCGTTCTACTGCAGATACGTACTGTTGCTGAGTTCCATGACTAATAAAGTTGAAGAATTCCCCAGACGGAGCGGCTCCCATCTGCGAGGAGTTTCGAAAAGATTGAACTCGAGGTGCAGCTTGACTCCTTCCCGCATTATCTTGAAGGTTCCCGACAGCTGACTGATCACCTCCAAACTCCATAGGAGTATTTCTAAATGTTCTTCCAAAACTCTTCAACAAAGCTTCTCTTGAGTTTTGCAGAGTGCCCTGACCTGAGTTAGGTCGCAGTGCCATACTCGAGAGATTTTGGGCAGAGGGAAGATTCCCTGAAGGCCCGGGAGATAGAGAAGCATCCCACACTTGTGTAAGTCTACTTTTCAGCACATGATCTCCGTACGTTACATCAAGCTCTTTTTGCCAGCTCTGCGTGACAAATGCTTTATACTTTGATGGCCCCGACTCGTTCCCTTCACCCTCATTCCAATCCCATCCCATATTGTCTTCGGGAACTTTCACCTGAAACATCGAGTAGGGGATATAATGACAAACAGAGAGGTTTTTGTCAGAGGGACCGCCTCAGAATGCTCCTAAAGCATCAGGAGGTGATGTGCCGAACGAGTTGGTGAAACCGTATGGCAGATTGTCCACACCTTCAGCAGTATCAATACAAACCGAACCTGGGGCTGCAGTGTACTGAGACAAAAGTATGTTCACTTATCCAAGAATTCAAGTCAGGACACGATCATACGCTACTAGACCTCGCTACACCTGGAGATACTTTCATAACAACACCGTGTAGAGTAGTTGAATCCAAGATGAGGTCACTCACCCCATATTTAGCAAAAAAGATCTTCCTCCATTGTATAAGACACTCCCCACCGTCCATCACGACAACGTTACCAGGGTTTGCGTTGAAGATACCAGCATGCTGCAAAGTCGATGCCTTGTCGTCAGAAACGAGTTGACTAGCAACAACTTAGACCCTCTTAGGAAGAAAACGAAATACAAAGGTTCAGAGTCTCCTAGCACAACGAATAACATTTCTCTTGTATCACACAAAACAATGCTGCACAACCACCAGTAGGTCGATCATTCGAAGATCACACCAGTAGAGGGATCTTAAGACTTCTCTACCTGAGTGAATTTGGCGACAGACATTTGGAAATTATGGCAGGAACAAAGCACCCCCAGCCGACCTGAATCAGACAAACAAAGCTCCCCTCCTGCACTGCCAAAAATCTTCATCACCTTAAGAGTACCAAAGCGTGGTGAAGGGTTCGGAGCACACTAATTCTTTCAGAAAGATTGACATCTAAAGAAGTACTCTTGAGTACACGTTCATAGGGACATCCAAGTGTTTCCCAGAAACTGCCAAAGCTTCAGAAAGCCCTGAGGCAGTCTAAAGTATATCATGCAGCTCTAGAAGACATACACCTTTGCTTGTCACAGAGCGTAAGATCGGAAACAGATTTGAAGCAAAATTGATCACAAGTATTCTAGCATGTGTTCGACAGAATGGTTGGATGTTTCTGGTACCACTTTGAAAGCAAGACAGTCAAAGCCGGAACGAAGGAAACAGTGAGCTCGCAACATAAACTTGGAACAACTTGAACCATCCGGTCAAGACTATTTGTGTCGAGAATATAAGTTAGTGAAAACTCACCCACTCTGTGACCTGTGTCATAATTCGTACAATAAACCCGAAGTCCTCTTGTTGATGATGAAGATTGAGACGAAATGTTATTGCTCATGCCATTACTTATATCGCGTGATGCTTCTAAACTTCTTGAAAAATTGATCGCAGCGTCACGAGAAGCCTCCGCAGTTCTCGAATAGCTTCCACCAACCTCACGACCAGCTTCCACACTGGTTCTGGAGTAGCCTCCACCGACATCGCGCGATGCATCTACATTCCTAAGGTAGCTTCCACCAACATCAAGAGAAGGCTCAGAAGCCCTGGAGTAGCTTCCCCCGATGTCTCGAGACACCTCTGAATTTCTCATATAGCTGTCTCCCGTGCTCAAAATTGGTGGGTTTTGACCTCGGCTTCGTCTGTTGACAATCTCCGTAAGCCACTGAGGAAAAGGACCTTGTCCACTTCCGTCTGTTGAATTGTGAGAGACAATGTTCTGCTTCATCACCTCCATCCCTGATGTTCTAAGAACACTTGAATCGAAACAGTCTTGCCCTGTGCCCATTCTGGAGTACTGAGACATGTTGACCTCACGTCCCAGCATCGACAGGTTCGATTCACGCCCAATCAGGTTCAAAGAACTCTCAACTCCAGCGCCCGAACCTCCGTTACTTCCACGGCTACCTGAGGGTAATGCCGAAAGATGCCCAGTCCAGTTTCCCAACCCGGGACCTGGAACCGAACCCATGTGATAAGATGGGGCATTTCCTGAAGAAAACAGCGCCCTAGAATTCGCAACAGGCTGATAACTCGAACGAAGTTGTTGTTGAGAGCTAGGAATGAGTGCCAGTAAGGAATTGTTCACGTCTCCTCTAACTGATTTGATACCCGAATTCTGCTGCAAACCAAAATTGAGTACGTTCGCAGCGAGAGGCTCTTGTCTAATGGTGCGCTCAATGACGCACACCTCCTGTGAGACATATGGATGGCTATATTGCCCGGAGCTCATCTCAAACTGCACACAGACATAAAGTATCCTCAATAACACGTAGACCAAGAAAGTGACGAGCTGAACTGACACAGCACATACACTCCTCTTTCTTAAACTTCGCACGGTTTAGCCACTTTCATTTAGACAGTCACAAAACGAGCATGGAGACAAGTAACCTAATACCAAACTAGTCGGGATGAGCCTCAGACAGACTTAGCAGCTATCCGTGTTCATGAATTACATATTACTGCCTTCCTTACAGACATCGGGGATCAAACAGCAGGGCGAGGAGGTAACTTCGGGTGATCAGAGCAGTAGTCTTGAAAAGCGCGAACATAATTTTATCTTGACTGCATCATCCGTATGGAATCGTGCAGCACGAATTGTAAACGAAAATCTAGACTACTGATAGCTTTCAATTACCAGCAATCTTTCATCGTTATTCCCCTTCAGGCTAGCACAGAGGGCCTCAGTCAGGTGGGATTTCGATACGATTCTCAGAGGCCATTCGAATATTAATGCATGGCTTTACTCAATGGGTACGAATTCCAACCAAGTGTACTTTACTCGTTCAAAATTGTAAATTTCTGTTGATCACGTGGCAGTAAAGCATCTCAGGTCTTTTTGAAAAAAAACCGTATTTTCTCTCCCTCTCCCTCTCCCTCTCTCTCTCACTCTTACTCTTACTCTTACTCTCCTACTTAGTTCCTTACGATGATTGGAAAAATTTTCACAATCAAAATGTAGGCCGAAAATATGCCGTTTAGCGCTGGATGTGAATGATACCTGATTGAGTGAGCCGGACAGAGGGCTCGGCTGAGAAGCATGCCTGTTCAAGCCCTTCAAATTCCATATCTCATCCATGGCTCCTCTCTCAATTCGGATCCTCTAGCCAACTGGCATCTCGCTAACCAATTCGACACCAGTTTCCTAGCTCTGCCGCAAATCTTCAACTTCCGCTGCCCGCAGCCAGAACCACAAAAAAGCTCTGAGGCGACAAATCGAAGCCACGTTCCCCTCCTGCCGCGATCAGACTACCCTGTTCCTGTCCCTGTCACCTGATCCTCAAGAACCTGAACCCAGCATTGACTGACATGAGACTACCAAATCACATCCATCCAAGATACCCCTGCAGGCTCCGCGCTCCAAATCTGAAAGCCACGCCTGCCATCGCTCCGAGAGACATTCCTCCACCGCGCCATGGGCAAGCGTCGCAGTCAGGCTACCTAAAGGTCAGCTACAATTCCTCGACCTGCACCAGAATCCGGGCACGAATCTACGACGACCGCCGCGAGAGAGTCAAGGCCTGGAGACCGTGTCATCGAATCCCTTGCGCTTATGTAACACCCTCAAATCCCCTCCGCATGCCATCGGACCCTGGCTCGTCGCACCGACGCCACGCAAAGCATTCGACGGGGCATTCAGTCCCCGTCGGCCTCATCTAGAGCCAGCCATCACATCATCCATCGTATCTCGACCAGCAGGACCTGCTGCGCCACCATCCTGCCCCCCACCTCCCGTTCCCGGCTTCTTCTTCTTTCCATCATCCGCCCACTCCCCTCATCTCCCTCTCCCTCCCCGTCTCACAGCGCTCGCGTCTCCCCTCTGGCATCTTTTCCCACCGTCGTCTTCGGCCTCGGGGTCAACACTCTTCGCCTCGCCCCTCGCTCCTCTTCCTCCTCCTCCTTCTCCTCCTCCTGCCGATGCTCCTCTGCTGCTGCTGCTGCTGCTGCTGCTCCAATTCGCCCGTCCGCCTCCTCGTGGTCCTTCTGCGGCCCTCGCCTCACCATTCCCGACGACGACGACCCCGACGACGCCCCCACCAGCGATGGCTGACGACTGGCCTCATGGCGACTGACTGCTCCTCCTGCTCCTGCTTTCCATCGCTGCGCTCGCGCCAGCCCCCCGGACCCCAACACCCAACCAAAGCCCGGCCCGTCCCAGCCCGGCCCGACCCGACCAGCTACCCACTGCTGCCCGCTCGCCCTCCCTCCCTCCCTCCCTCCGTCCGCCCGCCCGCCGGGTCTTCGCGACAGCCCCACGGCGCTCCGCTCCTCTCCCTCTTTAGGGCTTTCGGCGAGGCCCCGTCAGACTCGACCGCCCGGACTGGCTGACTGGCTGGCGGGCTCGGGTTCTTTTCGACGCTCATTCTCCCGCCAAATATAGCGGCGCTCTGCGCCTCCGTTCCGTTCGGTGGCCGCACGCCGTCCGTTCTTGCGCCCGTCACTCCTCTCGATTGCTCGCCCTCCAAGATACTAAAGTGGGCCGAGAAGATTCCCCGTCCCCTCTCTGAGATCGCCGCTGCGCCGTCCGATGGCACTTCGACGGCTCGATTCGCCGTCTCCGCCTTTCCCTTGTCCGGACGTGGAGCGCGACGTTTGCTGGCGAGCGATTTAGTCCCTCTGCGCGATTGTTGGTTTGTGCTGCAGGTGAGGGGTCGCGGGAAGGGGGAGGGAGGAGGGGTGGGGCGGTGGGGGCCCGGGGAGGGTTGCGCGGGGTTTGCTACACCAACCGGCATCGCACGGGATCGATGGCGGAAGTGCGCTGCCGATATCGATTGGGCTAATCCGGCGCTAATGAGCTCACGATGTTTATCTCATCCCTAAGACATGTCAAATCATTTCGAGCGTCATGTCTTGGCCCGCGGCCCTCGCGCGCATTTGCAAATCGGTTCATACTCCAACGATCGTGTGCGTGAATCGCGCTCTTCGTGTACTTCAATTTCGTGCTCGGCAAACCTCTTTGTCAACGCCTTTCTCCGCCCTTCGGATCTCGGCCTTCCTGCACGTTCCTCCGCGCTGCCTTGGCGACATGGCGGTGAAATTAATGAAATGACGAGGAAATGATTGTCTCTCACATGAACGTTGCAGCCCACATAGCCCGTGATTCACGTCGACTGTAATACGGGGTCTCGCTCGTCCAACGATCTCTTGAACAGCGTATTTGGCATTTGCACCTCGTTTGCCATTTATCCCGAACGCATGCCGATAAATTTTATCTCATGCACCTTTCATTCTCCGCAAATCTTCGCCCTACAGGAACCCATAAAATCTCTTGTAAATGCTTCGGCCCTGCTATTTCGGCACGCCATGGCGCTATATACCGCATAACTGAAATTGTGGTTGAGATTACTAACTTAGTAAGAGCTTAATCTGAAGATGAACTCTCAAAAGCTGAAGTTCGTGAACTCCCGTCACTCTCTCCCTGTCTATAATTTATCGTCACATGCCAACAACATTTCAGAGGACATGGGCTACCTCATAAGTCTGGTAATGCACATGTACAATGAGAAAATAATATAAATGTTACACTTTCAAAGGAAGTTGTAATCTGATTCTTGTGGTCGATATCTACAGTGGAAGAATCCATGTCGTATGAAGTATGGAGCTTGCACTTCATAGTGGTGTTGAACGCCCAAGCACTAGGTTATATCTAGTAGAATGATGCACAATTAATACACTCGGATCTCTAGTATACACAGTTCTTGTGTATTTTTGCCCTTTATTATACTACAGTATTTACAGTTTGATTGGCTTCCTCGTACTTTGATCTAATAAAAAATTTCTAGATACTAGTAATGTCATTGAACTGATATTGATATTATTCAATATTATCCCCCACACAAATATTGTGTAAAAGACATCTAAGAATGTAAAAGAAATAGGGACATACCATCAAGTCTTAGATGTATAAACCATGGGATACATGCGGAAAGTAACAGTATCATCACAATGTCAAATGATCTACGCAATGCTTATATCATGAGTAATGCATATATCACTTTATTGCAAACTTATGAAATTAATCACGTTGTCTTGATGAAAACCAACTAGACAATAATTCTTAAAACAATTATATATATGATCATCATTAGACAATGAACTAAAGAAATGATTCACCTTGACGACTAAAATGGCAGCTATTAGCATACTCTCTCGCATCTCTTTCGAAGTTTAAGTCCATGTTTTTATGTAACTCAAAATCTGGAGAAACATATATCTAAATTTATTATTGTTTCTTATCGTTTGATATCGACACGATTTTTTTTATACCTATTGCTCATCCAAGATGATGTTGCACAACTACTAAAAAAATGCACCCATTTATGTAAATCCAATATACCCAAGTCTTCATTCAAGTACATATATGTATATTTCTGTTTGAATTTCAAAGTACTTTAATGTTTTAGTTATATGAAGTTTCCATTCTCTTATGTCATATCAAATTTCACATCTCTACTAGCAAATCTTTAAATAAAAACTCACTAAGAAAATTGTACATCAATATTAATACAACAGTAATCTACATGTATGAAGTATCATATAAACTTGCTTTACAAAAATAGAAGCAAAGAATTAATCAATACAATTATCTTATCTTAAGATGCATAATGATGTATAAAATGTAATATTTAAATGTAAAATATTCATTAGATTCTCTTTATAAAAATAAATATTGGAATAAAAGTAACTTAAAAACTTAAAAAATACAATTTCTATAAATGTGTGAAGATCACATATGCTAATATTTATTTAAACATTTGAAAATCACTTGGCTATTGTGTGCAATAAAAATGATACAATAATAATTTTATTTAAATATTTATTAATATTTATTTGTTGGAAAATGCAATTTAAAACAATGAAACTATATGCACTATATGTAATTTGAATGTATATTTAATGTGCACACGTAAATATTGGATATGATATAGCACACCTTTTTCAGTGCATGTTTGAAATTATGTATTGAGAAAAATAACATCTACCTTCAAAAAGTGAAAAATGTGTAATGGATTATGTACATGCTGAATTTAAACTCAATTACACTAAAAATATAAAATTTTGCTTCAAAGTTAAATATATTTATATTTAAGCAATCTAATTTACGTAAAAGTAAGAATTTTGTGGTTTATGTATCAATGTCATTTACGTACGTCACTGTTTGTAAATTATATATGAAAGAAAATAACAAAAATGACTCTGAAAAACATGAAAGCATCATATTTAATAAATTTTCTGCTTATGACACATGTGTCCATACATCATGTCAGCCGTCTTTGATTTGAAGAATTTATAAGAATTTATTTGCAATATATCTTGATTTAAAATAATATATATGAAAGAAAACACACGATAATTTAAGATGAGCAAAAGATGCACTTTATTTGAATCATGAGATAACACATTTCAGAACTTGACAAAACCTAAATATATGGCTTAATTTTTTATCTCAATTCAATTCAAACATTAAATCACATATATATTATTGAGAGATTTTTTCGCAATTTTTTTAAAGACAGAATATGTGTATGATTTTATTTCTATAATTTTCTGTATATTTATTTAATAGGTTTTAATTTATTCAAAATATTATGAAATAATGAAGATTTATGATTTTTTAAAGATAGGTTTTTTGGTTTTTTATGTGATGTTAAATTATCATAAGATGTTCTATTTAAATTTTCAGTTTACCTTATAAATAATGATAAATAATAGTATTTAAAAAAAATGTTTTGGAAGTGAAAGTCATGTAGATTATTATTTCTTTTGAAATTATGGATTGTGAATAATTTATGTTTTATGTATGTCATGTCATAATACATATGTTCACTTCTATACAAGAAGACTTCATTCATTAATTGATATTTTTATTGTTTGTCACACTTAGTTAGAATAACGATTATTCACTTTACAAATAATAACAGATCTAAGGAGAAAAAATTAAATATTTAAAATTTTGAACAGTTATTAACTAATATCTGTGTAATTGAAAATGATGTTGCATGTTGTGAATGTAATCAAAAAATATTCCTTTAGATTCATCGTAATGATATCAAATATTTTCGTCTTTTGTAATTAGTACATGAAAATTTTAAATTTTTATTTATCAAATTTTTTTCCCAAACAGTACATTGAATTTTAAATAGTAAATATTGTTAATTGATTCATGTTTAAGTAAATAGCTTAAGATTCAAAATCTTTAAAAGATTTTTTATGAATATATAAAATCATACTTAGCTATGATTTGTAAATTTATATAAAAATTTAGATCAAACAGAAATCGAATAAAATATTTTATTGTAAAAGTCTTTCATTCATTTCAAATATTTATATTTTTATATAAGAATGATGATAATATCACAATCCAGAAGTAGATTTACGTTCAAGAAGTTTAAAATGATTTCTAATCCATTATTATCCAAGTTTTACTTTTGCAATAGTGACAAGGGATGAAAATGAGTGTTGAAAATATAAAGTCAGTTAATTAAAAAAAAATGCAATCAATCTCATGAAGAATATAATGAAGGATAATAGAAAAAAACTATGGCCATATAACCACATTCAGGAGATAACTTCAGAATATAAATGAATGTATTAGTCATTAAGATTTCTTGAATAATGATGATGTGTAAAGCATGACTTTGAGTTTACTTTGTGCAAGTTTATTGTTAAGTTCAACTTCTATTGATTTGATGATGGATATTACATCTTGGTTATTTATTTGAATTCATCTTCTTGCTTGTATATAATTTCAATTGCATTTTTATAATTTGTTTGAAATTAAATCATGAATGAAATTATTTTCATCATCAATTAGTTTCGATGTTTATAAATAGTCGTAAAATGCAAGAATTCTCTTACGAATATTCTTCAAATTATATTTCATCAGCATAAATAATCATAGTGTTAAAAAATGAAAGGAACACTTGCAATCAAATTGTCATGGCATCTTAATTTTTTTTCTTTCATCCTTAAATTTAAATAAACTATATAAGTGAGATGAAATATATTTTATAACACCAAAAATGATTGTTCTTTTATACACTTGATCAATGCTTTTTGTTTGATCAATTTTTTTTCTTTATATTAGATTCTTTATATTTTCCAAAATAGAGAAAACAAAATTGCAAGAGAGAATGATGTATCATATCGTCTAGTATTTGATGAATTGGATATTTATAAAGTAATTATGAATTTAGTCTTTGATAAAATTACCTCAAATCAAATATATTATAGTTTTAGTGTTGCTTTCAAATCAAATAGGGATGTACCTAATAAATTGGAGCACAGATTTAGGACATCTCCATGTGAAATATTTTTCCTCGCATCTTATCAAAACCATCATGTTTTTGTTTTCACAATGAGTAAAGTTTCTCTGTTCTCAAAATGAACCCATTTTGATATAAAAATTTGTTGATTCAATAGTTTTCACATTGTTCCGTACACACTCAAATGTATCATAAACAATTCGAATCAAATCAAATAATGAAACCCCATTCCAAATTTACGGACCACCATAGACAACCCACTTAACACTACTCTCAATCACGATTGATAACCCACTTAACGCTACTCTCAACGCTAAAATGCTTAACTTCAAACTCGATTTTTGTCGACTATACATTCTTCCACGAGAATGTACCATCACCCTAAAAACGATGCTAAAAATAAAAATACTTGTGTACGTGAAACCATATTCCCTAGTCACTACGGCCTAGTGTATAATGAAAATTTACTTCGAGAGTAAACAACCATATCAAACCTTATTTTGTGTAATTGATTTAATACTCTTACCACACTCATGTTAAAATCTACTCGGGAAATCTAGGTGACTTGTAACTTAACCCGAGTCGCTATGAAGGAACTCTCCGCTGCTACTGTAAGATTATCGAAACTTCTGCAATCAGCGAGCCCAAAGAAAACTAGTCGATTTCGTTTGCTTTTTCAACCACCAAAACTCGCAATTCGGAGTCAAACATCAAAAAAGGGAATAATATTTCATCGATATTTCATCGATCCTGTACGTTCGAACTCGAAATACCTTGAACCGTCTTCGTAGCGTATCCCGTACGTCGGGTTCATTGCGTACATGATCTGATCTTGCAGTTAGACGACCTTCACTCCTCTTATCCAGGCATGAAATGCCCGGATTTCATTTCATGGTGCATCTCCAGTCGCAAAGGATGACTCAAGACCACACCTTTGCATGTTTGTGATTCTAGAGACGGCGTGGCGATTGTTCTTATCCAGGGCCGCCAGGAGAGAATGAGTCCTGATGCATCTGTAACCGCAGAACGTCCGCTATTGTGTTGAAATTCTGCGCCATGCTCCTCCTCCTCCTCCTCGAGCCTAGAAATGATGATGGCAGGGCATTCTAGATCGGGTCTCACAGGTCAGGCTTTCCTGAAGCAGGGATCTTTCCCGAGAAGCGGAGGAGCAGGATATAATCGTCATGCACCGGGTCCATGCAGACAAGGACGATGGTGCACACAGTCACCTCGATTTGCTCCCGACCGCCACGCCTCTCCCATCTACCTCAACCGGAATCTCGTAGCCTTTATCGGCCTGATCACGACAGGGTATAAAGCCGAAAAACTCGACATTCAGTCGATAAAACTAACAATTCTTTCGATTTTCTTTCTGACTCGTCACGAGTTGTACCCTCCCACGTGAAACTGCAGGCGACTCAGACGAACGAGTGCCCCGCAGCCGATAGGATTCGAGTCGATACAATTATGGAAAATTGGAGCAATCATAATCCTGATCTCGTTGAGTAGGAAAGCCTGGTTCGACACTTTGGTCGCAAGTACCTGACATCAGACGATGTTCCGTAGGGATCCTGGATACGAGGCTGGGAAAGCAAGGGTGTGACAAAATCATATTTCAGATTTTCCTGTTGAGGAGTTGCAGTTTCACACGGGGGACAGTTCCATTGATGGAAAGGTTGCCTGCCCCACAGTCCATCTCGGTGAGGTCATCGAGCATCAGATTGTAAACTCCACCGAGTAGGCTTGAGTTGACTAGACACGCTGTAATATCAGTGTCAAAACGCAAGAAGTACATGAAAGTCGCGCACTGCAATCTACATTTCGCATTTTCGAAGCGATTTACCGTTGTTAGCGTGAATCTGACGTATCAAACTGTTACAATCTCGAAGAAGAAAAGGACTGCCACAGCTTGCAGTCCAAGATTTTTTCTTTTTAAGCACTTGACTATTGTACAAGGAAGGAGTGAACTCATCGCCGATGACGGGCACAGATCGACCCTAGACTCGGAGCGGGCAGATGACAGTGAAAGAATCTGAATGTAGTAGTAATGTTTATCGCGGCTTTGATAAGCGGATCAATAATATGTGGAAACTTCGTGAATAAATTCTAACTGGGCCAGCACTTTCGCAGCACTCTTTTTGATGCTGTGGCTCCCGAAGGTGGCAAGATCTACAAGCGGGATTCGAGACCTGTTTCCGTAGACCTCTTTCATCCCTTTGGCTACAAATATCCTCTCCAGGAACCTAATTGCTTTCTCTTTTAATTCAGGTGTACCTACAGTGAGTATGTTAATGAGGGGGGAGATTCCATCAGAATTATGTAACAACTGGGCTGCAGGCTGAAGCGTATCATCTTCAGCAACCAGCGTTTCTAGTGCTTCTACTGCAGCTTCAGCAGCTGCGCCTCGATCCTCGCTCATGACCACAATGAGCCCCGAAACAGCGTCTGCCTCTACTATACAGAAAGTTGTCTTCACACTACACCTACCACTATGAACCTTGCATTTCGGAGCCCGGGAAGTCCCGAAGCAGCTGCACATTGTCTCGGGCTCTAGACAGAGAGAAGGAGTGCTCTTGGAGAAATTCCCCAGGGCAGTCGCTGCCCTGGCTTTGCTCTTGACGGTTCCAGAATACATCGTTCGTACGAGAAGGGAATGAACATCCAGATTGGCAACGGAGTGTTGCATCTTGGTGTTGGACGGGTCTGTGAATCTTACCAATGCGTCAACTGCAGCTTCCTTAGCCTTTGGGGTCCCTGTCTTGAGCACCTCCACGAGTATGGAGATGGCTTCAGCTTCTACTAAGGCCTCTGTAACAGGGTCCTGTTGGGGCAAGTTTGCAATAATCCCAGCGGCTGCTATTTGCACTTCCTCGGCCATGCTGTTGTCGAGCAATTTCAGCAGAGCTCGATAGTTTTGTTGTTTCTGCATGTACTCCGCAATCTCCGACCCACCGCTTGCCGAGAGGTGATGAAGTATTTGTACGACACAATCGCGAAGTTCCCGGTCGTGTCCCTCGATCATGGGCAGCAGCAGCGATATTCCGCGCAACCTCCTCAGGGTATCTCTGACTTGCGTCGAATCCGAAGATGAGAGCAGTCCCAGCAGCGTACGTAGAACGTGTTTCCGGATAAGGGGATTGTTCAAAGAATTTTCGTAGACAGCGAGGAGGTTCTCGAGAGTTTCGCTGTCATGTAATGGAGTCCCACTACGGTCGACGAAGAACTCCGTGCCATCAATTTCGGCTATAGTATCCAGAATTACAGCGGCATTCTCCCTCACATAAAGGGTGGACATCCCCGACAGCAGATGGTTCAACACCACACGCACTCCACCTGCTTTGGCAATGTGGCCTTTGATGAGTCGGTGAGAACAAAGGCTCTGCAGAGCTCTCATGGCAGCTACTTTTGTTTCCAATTTCCCGAGTTCCATCATCCGCACGAGAGGAGGCACGACCTGCATCTCAGCCATTGTGGTCTTCGCTTCGTCCGTGAGGGTCAGAGCTGCTAGTGTGTTGGCCATTACCACCTTGGTAGCATCGTCCTTACCTGAAACAATCCTCCAGTTAGACGAGGCGATGTGGGATTCGTCGGGTGTGGATGTATGAGGGAATTGATCTAGTGCGGGTTGGATGGCACATCTCCAATTCCCCCCACACACACAGCCTTGGATTCACATGGTGACAGTGACAAGAGTACACAGAGAAATGCTTATTGTCAAGACGGGGTGACGGCCACGTTCGATCAGGTCATTCAATCACATCCTAACGCAGATCACGATTTGATTAAGTGAGGCCTTGACAGGAGAAGAGTGGGGGGAGAGGTCACCTTCGCTCAGACATCGCACGAGGGGTGAGCACCAATTAGCGTTGGCCATCGCCACTACGTTGTCTTTCTCGTCGGAGAGCTTGTCCAGAGTGAGTCTCGCCAGCTGCGCGGCCTCGGTGTCTTTGCCATTGAGTAGAGTCACCAACAGCAGAATGGCGCTACGCTCTCGCCCAATTTTGAGACTCATGCTGCCATTCCCTTCCAGCAACTCAAGGAGCAATGCGGCAGCTGCTTTCGCCACGCCCGCTTCTCGTCCCAGGCAGCGGACGATCTGTTCCAGGGCACCGGCGTCGACCAAAAGCTCCTGGACAAGAGGCAGAGAAACAACATAAATGGATGGCAGCGAGAGAGAAGAGCCAACTACAAATAACTTTGTGCGTGCAAAGCTGGTCAGGAAGAGTAGTTCAAGAAGAGAAGAGACAGACGAGGAGCAGCTCGATTGCTCACTTGATTTGGTTTGTTCTTTTGCACTAGCGCGAGAAGAGCGGCCAAGCTGCCTCGCTTGATATCTCTGTTCGAGGACTTAAGAGCTTTGACGATATCGACCAGGAGGCCTTCTTGGACGATCCAATCTTTGTTCGTTCTGTTCTTCTGGCACAGCTCGATCAACTCATCGAGCGCAGCTTTTTGTTCACCTTCGCTCTCGGACTGGAGCATGGACTTCGCTCTGAGAATACCTATGCAGTAATTGCGCTCCTGCCATTCCTCGATCGACTGCCTGACCGGAATGTTCGGCCTCAGTGTCATATCGCTCAGTTCCTCCTGAGTGACCGGATCGGTCGTGTTTCCCTCTGCGAACCACGCTGTTATCGATGCACGCTCGAAGCATGAGCCTGTTACAAGACTGACCGGATCCACCATTAGCTCCTTCGTCAGAGGGCACATGAACGACTTCAGCGGCAGGATGAGCTTGGTGGTGTTGACAGTGTTTCTTATGCTCCTAACCCTTCCCCAATACGTCTGATTAGAAGAGTCGGGAAGGTAGGAAGAATCAGCTCGAGAGAGCAGGGTGATGACCTGCTCCATAAACGCCTCCTCCTCGCGCTCCTTCCTCAATGCGGCCTCTTCCTTCTCCCGTTTGAAGCTCGCGAGCTCTCTGCTGATCTCGGACGCATTCACCGGGATTCCTACAGCTCTGGCGATATCCACCAGAAGATCATTCGCAAACCCTTGATCGGTTCTATGTTCTCGTAAACCTTGCTCGAGCTTATTGATCACAAGGAGCTTGGATTCCGAAGTCTGAAACTTGACACTGACCATCTGCTGTTTCAACCTGCTCACATTCACACTAATATCCCCGGCCACTTCGGCGCTGGCCAGGGCCAGAAGCTCCAAGGACTTGCCTACGTTCCGAGTGATCTCCTGAGTCTCTCGGACGATGGAGCGACAATTTACCAGCAGATACATCTTGGGCTTGCTGGTACAGGTATCGATCAGAGTTCGGGCTTTCTTGAGATCATCCTGGAGGGATTCCAATGCTGTTCTCACGGCGGGCGAATCTTTCATGTCCTGCCGTCTCAACTCCACCAGCAAGGGCTGAATATCCTGAAGGAAGTTCGACAATATCCTGAAGCTTTCTTTCTCGAAGAGAACATCCTGAGCAGCCACGGCAGTCTCCAGAACTTGCGACGTCAACAGGGTCAACAGAGTGCCGAGCGGTATCAGCTCGAGCACCATCTTGCTCGCGCTGGAGGATCGGAGCTAACCGATCGAGGCTGGGCCGATTTGTCACAGCTCCTTACCACTGCATGCGACCTCTGGCTGGCTAACGATGCCAGAGCCCGAACTTCTCACATCCTCGGCAGCACAAAGTCTCCTCGCTGGAATCTCACCCGCTCTTCCTCGCGAGAATGCTCTTCTTCCTCAATCCGACGAGCACACATGAAGCACTCGACCACAACCTGTGCAGAGCCTCGCTAAAATTTCCTCCGGCCTGGACCTCCCTCACAGGGTTCAGCACAATCAACCTACGCAAGCAATCCCAGCATCAATTGACTTCGACGGGCTCGATGATGAGGGCACGACACGAGCCATTTCGCTCTCGACGCGCTCTCGACGCCCGCTGCTGCTGCCGTCCCGACCGCTTCTAAAGAAATGCACATCACAAGATGAGCGTCCGCACTCGGCTCTGGCCCCGGGATGCAATCAATCGGCGTGAAAGTCCAGGAGCCAAAGCGGACCGACCGAGCGCTGCCGAGAGCAATTGGGTCAACTTCCTCGCAGTCCACTTCGTCTTCGTCGTCGTGTCTGTACGCTGGCCTCGACGACACCCAGGCCCCACCCCACAGCTTCGCGCATCCTTCTGTCCAAAGCGTCGTCCATGGCCTTAAACCCAGCTTATGAAAAGCCACGCAAACGAAGAAGAATGTGGCATATGCGGTGTCCCGGTCAAAGCCCTAACCATGCGGCACTCGTCCGAATCTTCCGTCTGCTCCGAGGCCGGCCCCACAATCGCCCACTGTGTCCGAACAAGTGCGCTTTTCCTCCTACCAACTAATCGGCCGAAGGGCCTCCTCACCCCGTGGCACTTCTTATACCTCGACCGCACCAGATTCAGAGCTTCGTTGCTTCTTCGTCGATCCGATCGGACCTTGCTGGGCCCCGTGAGACTCTCGTTCGATCTTGTACAGGCTGCTGCTGCTGCTGCTATATACAGCCAGCGTCGTCCCCTGAAGGAGGACGATTCCCCGGGAGGATCTGCATCCAGCCCCGAGTGCCACCTGGCCGACGCGATCGCCTCCACCACTCTCATGCAGAAAAGATCGAGAGCTCGTCTCTGGACCGAACGAGAATTCCCGGCCTTTCCGTTCTGAAATTCCCGTTCGCCCCCGGGGCACGCAAGTCAATGGGGAGTGGGGGCCCTGAAACCGCTGTTCATTCCCCTGGGTCGATTATCCTCACGCTCGTTCCTTCCTGCCCTGTCCTCATTCCTCTGTACAAACTCGAAGTCTACGCTGTACTGTAATGTACATCTCTGTACTGTACGAAAGGAAGGCGTTCTCTCGAGTCTCGGCTCTCGGACGCACGCGGCTCTCGCCTCGCCGTCGTCAGAATGGGGCTCTGTCTGTCTGTCCGGCCGTCCGTCCGTCTGCGCGTCGGTCTCCCACCGGAGCTCCAGAGCCAGGATCATCCGAGATCCGTCTGCTGCTGCCTGCAGATCTCTTTGTTACTCCACCGCCTGCTCCCTGTTACCGCAGAAACTGACTGCGCTGGTACGGAGCGAGACGTCTGTCGAGTCTCTTCCGCTGTGGTCAGGCCCGCATTAATTGACCCTTGCCACCCGACCGTGTGTTCCAGGCTCGTGCAGCCTACCGAGTGGATCTGGCCAGGTGTCACTGACATCCACCCTTGCTATCGGAACCAAGTGGATAAATTAGAGGAGGAGTGAACTGCTGTATCGAGAAAAATGGAGATGGATATAACCTTCATAAGATCGACCTTCGCCAAAGTACCTGTTCTCTCTAACCTCCATAAGATCGACCTTCGCCAAAGTACCTGTTCTCTATAACCTTCATAAGATCGACCTTCGCCAAAGTACCTGTTCTCTCGTTCTAATCACGGTGGGAGAGAATTTCCAGATCATGCTCTTTTGGAATGGGAATCCGATGATTTAAGAGTAGCACAAGTGGGAATGACTATTGGAAGCATGTGGTCTTGTCTCCATCTATGATTCCCTTTTTGACCTTCACGTACCCCAGAAAACCAGTCCACGATTACTTTGGTCCTCCACCTTCTTTAGTAGTTGGAGAGATTTTCAACGCCTGAAAATCGTTCTAACTTGTTATCATTATCTAGCTAAAACGAACCATATTGAGCTCATTTTAACAATATGACAAAGATTATACTACAAAAATTCTGATCTTGATCATGGTTCATATGAACGTGGTGCAATTTCAGTCTTATTTTTGACTTTGTCTTCGTTTTATCTCATGTTGTCTACATGTTGACTGGAAGGATATTTGCATCAGGCGTACAGTTTTGAATCAACTAAGTCTTATTTGTAAACAATAAAAAACTTGCACTCTTCAATCTAATGATGTTTGAAGGGTTTAGGGATTTTTGATCCAAAAAATTTGGATCAAAAATTGCCCTAAACCCTATTTTCTTTCAGGTCTTGATTAGTTTTGAAGTCCTATGATATATACATTCGGACAGTGAATGATAAGGTTACATGAAAACATATTTAAAAATTCATCAAAAATGTATGCGTTTGAACTCTTATGCATCTTAATATGATGATTCACAGTTGGAGCGTGAGATGTACATTTAAAAACATGTTTGGGCTGTTGGAAAGAATATTATGAGAGTTTTGAAAAACTAAATTTTTATCCAAAAGAGGGTTTGGAATTCGTATTTACGTTTGAAATTTGGAGATATAATTATGAATATTTTGATATATCAAATTTTAACCACTCTACATTTTTTACATTAGACTTCAATTTTTAAAAAGATTTTTATAATTGGATAAGCCTCAATATTTGACTGATAGCTTAAAACTTTTATGCACATTTCAAATTAAAAACTTATCACTATCCTCACATTCTTGCCGGTACATGGTTACTAGCTTCAAGATTTGTAGATAGAACATGATTTTACTGCAGTATAAGTATTCTCTTGGCCTTCTCCTAAATATCTTTTGTGTTTTACTTTCTCAACAATCTTCATTTGGCTATTTCAAGGTGCCCAAACTATAGCACATAAAGATTAAGAAAGTCAACGATTTTACTTGTTTATTTTTCATAAAGAATTTGCTAAACCTTGCAAGAACTTAACATGTTTTCATTTTTTCATAACTGATATCTATTTATGTGAATTTTAACACCATGATGTGCATATGCATATAAATTCTACTTTTATGATCATTTCACCGAATTTAATATATTTCACAAATAAATCAAGAATCGATGGTAAAAAAAAAGATTGAATTTTTTTAATATAAATTCAGCTATTTCCCAAATCATGTGAAAAAAGCTGTTTTTTATTTGAGATCCAATCACCAGAGTTAAGTTATCATTTTTTTCCTTAAAATTGTTTCAATTGAATCAAATTATTACTTTTAACATAACAATTCAATCCAAGTTTTATTTGCTGGAGCTATGATTTGAAAGATTCTAAAATTTGAAAGAATTCTTTGACACAATTCAGTAGTTGGTGATAATCTCATTCTACTCTCTTCGTCCAAAAAAATAATTAAAATAAGAATGTCATTTTTTACATTGCTATCATTTTTTTGAGTAATTTTTAATATCATTCTGCAATTTTTCAAAAATATTTTTAAAAATTCCAAAAAAATTAGAAAAAAATACTGATGATGATCCAAATTGCAATGAAAAACTAAGTTATTGAAGTTTGAATATCACTCAATTCAAATTAACTTCATTTAGTTTCACATTTATATATCTACTGTGAATAAAGTTTTGAAACATAATAAAAAATAAAATATCAGGTTTACAAAAATTTAAAAAAAACGGATTTAATGTAAAAAGAAAAAAATCGAGTAGATTAGATCCAAGAAATAAAACATGGTACAGATTTTTAAGTTCAAAATGTTTAGACGCAAGGAATAAATTGAAGTTCAATTCTCAAATTGCATTGAGGAAACAACATAATATCAACAGGTCTAGAGAATATTATCTTTTAGATAATTTGATCAAAAGCTAAAAATCAATTATATTGAATGTGACTGCATAGAGAATATTTTATAATGATTACAATTAAATCTATCAATAGTATAAGTACATTAATCACATAATTAGATGTTGATTTTTTATACTAAAATATGTAATATATGCGTATTTAATGTAATATTTAATCCAAAAATATTCAGTCCAAAATATGCATTGTGTTAGGCAGACATGCAATTATACAAACAAACAGAGTGCACATAGTAGTGACATGGTTCACATTTCACAATGCTTCGTCCACTGAGAAAAAACACACCATAGACTTTACTACCAAGGTGAAACCACAAATGTCAACGCAGATGCATCAGATATATATACCAACAACAACGACTGATACTAGATATAAATAGCTAAAAATGAGTTTACTCCTTAATTGGAGTTAAACTCAACATCTATGAGTCAACTTTTCATCCTATAAATTGCATTTGTTTTATTTTTTTGCATAATGATTTTACTTAATATTTTACAATGTTAATATTTTTCATTGATTTTTTCTTTAAATGATTCAATTGATTTAACAATAGGCATTACATTTTCAAATATTGACAAACTTTTTTCTATTTTATTAAAAAAAATGAAATTAAATTTTACATCAATATAATTAAATTTAGAATTTGTATATTAAAAAATCTTAATCATTTTACAATTTAAAGTCTTATTTCATCAAATTCTCAATCTGAACACTTTTAAATCTGATCAATATTTTACTTGTTTTCCAAACAATTCAAGATTCAAATTTTATGTTATCTAATCAATTTGAAGAAAATTACTTGGTGAGATCTATCTGGAACATAAAAAATTTGACGAGATTTTAAATGATTCAGTTTACTTGATGGCACCTTCCACCACAGTCTGCATTCCACTGATAACAACAATTTTTGTATTGAGAGTTTAACGATAGATTTCAGTTGTTCGTTGATGGGAGATCATAATGTAAATAGGCCCTTGTAAATCCAACTCATGACCTCATCTATTATTGATTTGGGCATAATTCAAAACATCACGTGGTCAAATGCAAGACAACCACTAGCCAATCGAAAAGTGAGGGAGAAGGTCTAAATGATGATGATTCTTTCTTACAATGAGTTCATCAAACACTTTGATCATAACATTACACAAATAAAAAAAATCACAAATTTCATATTCAGATTCATCCAAAATTGCTAGAGGTTAATATGAGCTATTACGATAAATTATAATCATTAACTATTCAAATTTTAAAGCTCCAAACTTCTTGGAATGTAATGGACTTTTGCTAAAACTAAACTATAACTTTGTTGTGAGCTGCACTTTTGAAATTGAAAACACATGTTACAAAAACACAAGCATTATAAAAACTTGTAAAGTAACATTGGCGATGGTGATACGTCACAGGGATCTCATAGGATAAAGTAAAACGTTCATGTTTTAGTATGCAACCTAAAGTGTTTTGCATTCAAGGTGGGTATCATCAAGTAGTTTTCTCAATAAATTTGACATTAAAGTATAAATATATAGTTTTAAATTCATATATAAAATACTTATTTTATGTTTGAAATACGTAAACTTCTATTAAATTAATAGAAAATTTATTTCATTGATACATCTAGTGTTGCAATCTTATCTTTGAGTTATTAATTTTAAAATTATTATATATCAGTTTTTATGATTATCTTTCATATGTTTCTTCATCAATTAATTAAATTGTTGTATTGATTTATTTTTTTCATTATACATAAATAAAATTTTGATCAATTAATTATAAATGATAAATAAAATGGTAAAATAATTCAGTGTAACAATGAATTATGAAAATTTGAATTTTTAACAATAATATAAATGTTTGCTATCAAAATTCATGTAACAATTTATGCAAGGAGATCAAATGCAAAACAAAGCAGCACATTATTTTCTAATAATTAGTAAGTAAAATATATAATAAGTATGATAATATTCTTATATAAAAATTAAATCATTTAATTTCTTTTTTTTTGTTATCTTGTTCATGTTTATACAATACTTGAATTTTTAAATTTGCAGATTTAAGTTTCAATCAAGTTTATAAAGGATAAAAGAACACATTTAAATTAAAAGAATTTATTTAACATTTAAAAATATTTTTTTATCTAAATT